TGTAATGCTTAGAGGTCCTCCCTCAACCATGTAGCCCTTTGCAGTCAAGCCAATCAGACAGGCTGGAAGCTGGTGCCTCTCGGTTGCTGGTCCTGAGCACAGGCTTGGGCTGGCCATGCAGAAAGGAGGCACATTAGCAAGGCCCGACTATGCCAGCAGCACTGAGGGCAAGAGCCCAGGGCAGTCGTGGAGAAGAGCCTGTCTGTGCCAGCCCTTTGGGATAGAAGCAGCTCAGATGCAAGCACCTCCTCTATCTTTATGATTAAGGTTACAATGGCAGAATCTTCCTGCAGGTCTGAATGCCCCCTTCTTCACTTTCATTCTCTGGAAAATGGGGAAACTCCTTCTGATTCTCTCCCGGCTCCTTCCAGGACTCCTGCTTCCTTCCTCAGATTTGGGCTCGGTGGCTCTTCCTCCTGCCTCCCAAGGTCCTTCGCACAGAGCCTCAGTCTCTCCTGGCTGGGTCTTAGAGCAGCATCCGATTTTCTTGCCCTGCTCTCACCCGCAAAAGGTTCTCCTGGACTCCGCCCAGGTCGGGGCCTGCCCCATTCCCCCCCCACACACACCAGAAGTAGGTCTGCCCCCATCCCTAAGCCTGCCCAACCTGCAGAGTTGTGAGACCCAAGCCTGGGGTGGGGAGATAAGGAATAGCTGGGGTGGCAATCAGCCTCTGCAGGGAGAGCCAAGCCAGACTTGGCACGGGAGTGTGGTGGGGGGCAGAGGGAACATGGACCGGAGCCAGTCCCCACCCAGCAGGAGCCAAAGGGCTGCCCCAGATGCAGATGGCTAAGTGGATGAAAGTTTGCTCCCTCGTTCCTGCTGGCCTCGGCCTGAGCTGAGGGAAGGGAAACCTGACCCGGTTGCAGCTTGAACGGAGGAGTAGAGGACTCCTTTTGTTAAATGCTGCCTCTTCCTTGTGCAAGAAAGGTAACCAGACGCTGGCTAAAATCTGACATCCCAGCTTGCCTGGAAGAGCAGGAACATGCTCTCCCGGTCAGACCAGGGCTTGGGGGAGGCTAGTGGCAAACCATCAAAAATGTGCCCCACCCAGCCATTAGGAAGGACCACTGGCCTTGACTTGCCAGAAAGCAGAGCAGCAGCAGAGGCTGCCCATCGCAGGGAGAGGGCATAAATCAGGCCCACGAGGAATAGGGATTTCCAAGCCCCCCCCCCTCTGCACAGAACGTCTATGAGCCTTTTTCCACGGTGGAGAGTACCCTGGAAGACCTTGGCACGCCCTATGGGGCAGCTCTGCAGTTCCAGGCCTCTTTACGGGGTGCTGTCCCAGGGGAAGGGAGGTGTCCAGGTTCAACCAGCTCCCAGTTGCCCTGGCACAGCTTTGCTCTAACCCGCTCATCTTCCGCCAATGCCAGCCAGCCTAGCAGGTTCATCCTCAGTGCAGGCGGCTTAAAGCGATTCTGTTAAATGTAGAACCTAAACCGGATGCCATCTATGTGCTGCTCACATCATGCGCTTAAGTAGGAGCTCAAGCCTGTTTGGAAGCATCACTTGGCACAACTTGCAGTGGCCTGGAGAATCAGGGCACACTCACGCTACTTGTGTAGTGCCAAACCTGCAACAGCTGCACTAGCTACCAGTCAGTCCCCTCACAAAACTCCTGGTGCGGGAGGTCACCAGCAAAGCTCTTTGGAGCCCAGTCTGCGGTTCTTCCCAAGAGCATCTTCTCTGAATGAAAGATGGCTGCGGGGCAGATGAGGGAGAAGGGGCTGGCTGTCTTCCCCCAGTGGCCTAGTCCCCACTGGAAGGGAAGCAGCACCCCCTTATGTTTTCAGGGATATGTGGCTCATTTTGAGCCCACACCGGGATGAGGATGGACCACGATGCCCCTTGATAAAGCTGCCCTGGACTGATGGTTATTAGCGGTCTTTCATTGTTTTTATTCTTGTGTAATTTAATTTATTGTATTGATTTGCTGTAAGCCCCTCTGGAACTAGAGCATACCATCATTATTCATGATGGTATCCATCATTCCTAGCCAGGGTGCATTGATAGTTGTTTTTCAACTTTCCAGCCTGGAGCCGAGAGGCGCCTGGGCCTCCGGGAGGAAGGGATCTCAGGCCTTTTTGTATAGTGGGAAAGACCTTGAAGAGAGGAAGCAATTGGTCAGAGAAGAGGCAGCCGAGTCCACAGAAAGGATGGGGCTGCAGGAAGCCTCCCCAGTTTCGCCTAATTCCTTGAGCTGTAAAAGTGAGGTGGGAGAGGAGTATTTTCAGAACTGTGAGGTTTTGTTAATGCAATCTTACAGTCAAGATTAGGCTTGTACTTCAGTATAGACTTGTCCTTCTGGGCAAGTACCTTTTTGCCTGGTAAGGCTGACCTTCTGTTTCTACTCTAGCACCGTAAGCAGATTAGAAGCCAAAGCAATGACCCTGGAATTAACAGGTGTGTGATCATCCAAGCGATCATCCTGGATTCCTTGAACCCTGAACACACCTGCTGCTTGGGAAGAGTGGTCTAGCCACACCAACAGGAAACTCTCCGAAACAGATCATAAAACACTTCTCCACTTTTGGGGAACTAGCGGAGGTGCACAGAAACCTTTTTTGAAGCCTGGAAACTGACCAGTCACCAAAGCAGAGGCCTTAGTGCTCTCCTGCTGAGGCTGGGCAGCCAGAACAGGCACCACCAGCAAGACCCCCTCCAGCCAGGGGGAGACCACCAGCAGGTCGAACCCAGCCCAGCAGCCCTCCCTACCCCAGCCCAGAAGGGGTTGTTCTAGCGGTTTGAATTTGGGAAAGACCAGACCAGACCAGAGGGGGAGCACAAGCAACCACCCACCGGAGCATAACTGGCTGGCTGAGTTTTCCATCCAAAGCTCTTCCGAGACGCGGCTCTCACCCACTTAGTTTCGTACCACTTGACAGGAGGAAGGGAAATGAGGCTGCCCCACCTTCCGCCCACGGCTGAGACCTGCAGTTTGTGCCTGCACCAGCTCAGAACTGGCACACTGGGGAACAGAGATGGGGCCGAGCGGTGGAATCAGTGCCCCTTGTTTGATCAGAGCTGCAAACTCTTGGAAACGATTCTGTGGAGACCTGCTGCAGATGCAGCCATTATCACGCAGCTTCTACCCAAGGGTAGCTGGGTGGGAAGGACCAGGGAGGCTGAGGGTTCAAGATGTGGAGCTCCATCAGCCCCAGAAAACAACCCAGCTGGATCAGGTCAAGGCCCACCTGTCCCGTGTGCTTTTCAGAGTTGGCACCCGGGGCCTCTCATGAGCCTGCAATCCCCCGGAGACCTTTCTCCACACACAACTCCATTGTTTCCCTGCCTCTGGTATTTGGGGCAGGTAACCCTGCTGAGTCTTCTTGACCAACAGCCCTTGTTTAGCCCAACCCTCCTGAAGTCATCCAAGGCCATCACCTCATCTGTAATGAATTCATGTGTTAATGATGCATTTGGAATTTTCTTAGGTCTGTGCCAAACTGCTTCGTCAGCTCGTCTGTGAGAGCTTCCGCCATAACTCAACATGTCCCCCAGTACCCAAAAGGCTGCTGGTTTCCCCGACTCTCGAGAAAGACACCTGGTCCCATATGGTTGGAGGGGGAGATGCTGACTGACTGACACCCAGCCGTGGGACACAAGGGGTCCACATCCCCCCCCCATTATTAGCTAAGAAGACTCTACCACCAGACCTGGCAGGAGGGCCACAGCCAAATGACTCCCTCCAAGAAATGCTCACCCATCACTCGGCTCAGTCTCCGGCAACAGCTCCCCCTCTCGGGCCCACCTATGCCATGCACTATCACAACAGTTGCTGCCGGACTGAAACCTACAAGGCCCGCCCTCTTTTCTGCCATACGGGTTTCGGTGATGCTGGCCAAGTCCGCCTGTTCCTCTGCATAACCTCAAACACGCCCAGCCTCGCCTCAGACAGAGCTGGCGTTTTTCAGCAGGAGCCTCTGGCCCAGCCAGAACTGCTGGATCCCAGGCAGAGCGGCAAAGGAGAGGGGACCTCCACCAACTTCAGTGGGACCCTTAGAAGTGGAGATGCAATGGAATTGGGGAACCAGATGCACAAACTAGGCACAGGGTGGCTGAGGGCCGGAACACTAGGCCCCCAATCAGGAGAGGAGGTTGAATTCTGCCAGCACTCAGGTGCCCCCCCTCCCCATTCTAGTGACCAGCAATTCAAATCCACCCCCCACCCAGGCCCCCTTCAGTACAAGTCTAACTCAAACCACCCCACCCCCTTTTTTGGCCATAGAGAACTTAGACCCTGCAAAGCCCCCGCCCCACATTACCTTCCATGGGCTAACTGAACAAAGGGTAAGCATGGATCCTGTAAATCCAGGCCAGGGGCCAGAGGATGGCTACAAGATGCAGCTTCTAAACATCCATCAGCGCTGTTTCCCAGAGCCGAGGCTGCCTCTTCATTGTGCTGCCCAGACAACAGCAGCTCTGGGAACGGAGGAAGGATCTCGGATGACACTGAGAATAGAGGGGCAAAGTCGCCTGCCAGGTCTCCTCTTTGCCAGCCAAGTGGCTTCCACCTTCTCTACCAGCATTCATCCGCTCCCAGAGAAGACGTGGGCCTTAAACGCCACACCTACACTTGTTACAAGAGGCCTCCACAAGGGGGTGCAAATGGCCAAAGTGTATCATTACACAAACCTGGAATTTGGCTTGAGGGTCCGGGGTTGCTACCTGACCCCTTGCATGCCTCCTCCCTGTTGGCTGTAGAGCTCTGGCGGTTTGATCCCAAGGATGCGCAAGAACCTCTCTGTGAGCAAAGACCCTGGCTGTGGGCAGCATCCCTGGGGATCTTCCTGCTCCACGAGCCAAGCAAAGTGGGCTGGGCAAGGGGCCCTCAGCTGTTCCAAGGGCTCCTTTGCTGACCACTGGGACAGCTTCTGCCCACTCTTCCGGAAGGAGGAGGTGCAGCGCACGAACAGCAGCTGGTCCGTGGCTGGTCCTCGTTCTGTGGCCCTCCTGGCTGTCTTCACTTGGATAAGCAAGTGGCTGCAGACAGAGGGCGGTAGTGGTCCTCAGAATTTTATTGCAAAAGGGGAGAGAAGTCACAGCATCCCCTTTACCTTCTCCTCCTGCTTGGGGGCGAAGGCTAGGCCTGCAGGCCACTGATAACCAGACACTCCCCTCCGCGCACCCAGCCCAGGAACCCAGAGGCAGCTCCAGCCAGGAGTTCAAGCCAGCAGAGGGTGACTGAAAACCAGGTGGGATGGCGGCTCGGGGTCCCCTCCATGGAGGCGCTCTAAGCATGAAGCCCAGCGCCTGCTTCTCCAGGCCCAATAAGGTCACTGACAGGACACTCCACCACACAGGCCCTTCTGCCTAACATCCCACCCCCTCCCCGGTTCGAGGGCCAGGTGCAGTTGCAGCTCCAGGCAATGGCTCCTTCCCAGAGAGGAGAGCATGGCCCCCGGCCATCCCTGGGCAGACGGCTTGGGCTGCTGCTGGACTGTTTCTCAGAAGGCCCCAGAGGCCACCTCCAATCTCCACACGGCAGCTCCCCCTGCTGCCCCCCCGAGCAGCTGCTACTCCGCCGGGATGGGCGTGTTGCAGTTCCCATGGTAGATGCGGACGTGGCCGTCGCAGCGGAAGTAGTGCTCAAAGACGTCGCTGTAGCCGTGGTCACGCCACCAGGTGCAGAGCTGGCGGTTCCAGGTGCAGTCCAAGATGTAGAACAGCTCGGGGTGTTCCATGCCCACCAGGGTGAAGAAGTCCTGGTCCCCCAGGTGGCCCTTGAAGTGGAACTTGCTGGCCAGCTGCTGCACCACCGCCGGTTCCAGCAGACGGTTGTAGCGCTCCGACTGGCGCATGGCCTCCAGGTCCAGCAGCAGCACCCCACTGTTGAAGCCAGGCAGCCCATCCGGAGGGGGATCCCCCACCTTGGTCCTGGGATGTTCCTGCCGATACTGCCAGAAGATGTGCCTGGTGGGGGGGAGGGAGCAGGAGAGGTCAACGAAACTCTGGGTGAGAGTGCCTTCCTGCCTCCACGAAGGGGCCGTTTCCAATGTTCAAGCTCTCAGGTGCCCCAATCTGAGGAAGCCACCAGTGCACCAGAGACAGTCGCTGCCCCCTTGCAAAACCATGTCCTTCCCATTTCCTCCCTCTTGCCTGCAGGCGTGTAGGGGGGCTTCATGACACTACTTGCCAGAGCACAACACCCTTTGTCCACAGATGGCACGCTGCCCACAGGGAGGGCAACCCAGCCTGGAGCAGCTCCAAAAAGGAAAGAAAGAGGAGCCCTTAGTCCATTCGCAGCAAGTTTCCTTGTGGGTTGAAGCAATGCATCTCTGTGCCCCCTCAGCAGCAATGGGCACAGAATGACATGCAGCCCTGGCCCTAAAGATACATTGCCATGAGGACCAGGAGCTTTAGATGGCTTGTTTTCCAGGACACCAAGGCTCTTTCTCTGACTAGCCCACTCCTCTGTCCCAGTGGTGCCTTGGTCATTTGGGCATCCAGGGAATTACAGTGTGCACCAAGAGGCCTCTGTGGGTAACAAGGCCAGTCAAGACTTTCAGTCAAGGTCACGACAGGACCCTGCTCGGTCCAGGGACCAAAAGCCTATGGCTGCCCTAGGAGCCGGTATTCCCCCTGGTACTTGCCTGGCCTTCCATCGCCTGGACCTGACCCCATGCAGGCTGTTCACCCAGCCTTGTCTGCAGGCTGCAGGCTGCAGGCTCTGCTTGTTGGACAGGGAAGCCATCCAAGACCCCCGTGCCCTACCAGTGCCCAGTAAGACCCCCCCCCACAGCCCAATCTGTGGCAGTCACATAGACCGCTTGCCTGCCCCACATAACACTAGGGTCCTTCTGCCCTGTGGGCTTCAGCTGACATCTAGCAGCTCACACAGTGCCAGGGCTGGTCTGGTCAGCACCCTCCCCCCACCATCCTCAGGGGGACCCAGCAGCGAAGGGCCCAGGGAGAGGCACCGTGCCAGGCATGGCTACATACCGGTAGACCGGCTGCATTTCTCGGGCGATGCCGATAACTGCTCCTTCTGGGAAGTTGTCAAATTCCTGAAACAGTTCCCGGATGTTAGCCCGGTACTCCACATCCAGGTCCACCTGTATGATCCGTGAAACCTCTGGAAGGGCAAAGAGAGCTGGTAAGACGGAAGCCTCTGCTGTCTTCAGTGCTCCCAGCTGTTAAGCAGGGGAGCCCCCCCACTCCCCGACCGGGTCAGAAAGGAGGACGCCCAAAGGCAATGATGGCTAACCTTTTTGCCAGTGTGTGCCAAAAGCGGGGGGAATGCAGGGGGGGGGGGATGTTGCATGCATGCGTGCCCACACCCCTAATGCAATGCCCCGTGCCTGCCCCCCTGCCCCAGCCTATCTGTCTGGGGGGAGCGTGGGGTTGTGTGTGTTGCAAACGCGCATGCCCATACCCATAATGAAATGCCCCCTTGCCTACCCCTCCCCTGCGCCAGCCCACCTCAATCCTGGCAATTTACCAGAGAAGCGGGAGCAGCTGGGCCTGGGCCGCGTGGTCCAGGCAAGCGGAGACAGCAAGCAAGCGAGGAGCAGGCGTGGACAAGGAACCAGACAGCAGCCAACACAGACAATGGTTCAGGCTCGCATGTGTGCTAAGAGGAGCTGCCCAGTGGGCATGCGGTGCCGGGAAATGAACTTTCGGTCTCCGGCACACGCATGCACACTGGCCAGCTGGTCTGGTTACTGTCAGTCATGCGTGAGCAACGATCAGCTGGCTGTCTGATCTTCGGGTTTCTGGCACTGCTGCACTTGTAAAGGCAAGCTGATTGTCACGTGTGCATGCGTGCGAGTAACCAGGAAGAGGCATGGGCGGTGACATGGCTCTGTGTGCCACTTCGGGCACACGTGCCATAGGTTCGCCATCACAGCCCAAAGGGATGGTGGTTTGGCCTCCAGATGTCCTTTCAGCAGCCGGGCCAGGACCTGGAGGGGCGTCCAACTGGGTTGGCCAACTGGGCTTCCTGAGGAAGGGGCCTGCCTTTTCTCCCCTGCCCCCTTGAAGGCTCGTCCTGCCCAAAGGCAAAGCCCACGGCTGCTTCAGCCATTTGGCGGCAGGCGCATTTTCTCCACCTGCAGAGGGAACACTCTGACTCTGGACCTTGAATGTCCAGTGCCCTCGGCCGGGTCTCTTGAAGGAGGCAAGTGAGTCGGTGGCCGCCTCTGGCTGGTCTCTGCCTGGAACAACCACCAGCAAAGTAGAAAGCATGCCAAGGACTCCTCTATGCAAAATACATTTTCCCAGGGAAAAACGAATGGTCAAAATGTGGCCATGAAACATGGAAAAAGCCCCCGGGCACTTCCTTAGACGCCTCTGTTCGGCTCCAGTACCTTGGGATTCCTCCCCTCAGCGCCACCCTCCTGCAGGTCCTTTTTTTTGGGAGGGAGGGGGGGAATCCAGCCTCAGCTGGGATGCTACAAATATTTCTTCAGGTTTATCCTTCACAGCTGGTTAATTCACAAAAGTCCCCCTGGGCTCCTCCTGATTTGGGGCTCCTTCTGTGGTGGCTCCAAAGGAGGCTTGAAGAACAGAGGCCCCAGGAGGGCAGCAGGCAGACGAGGGGCACCGATGCCCCCCAGTTCCCACTCACCTCTGGGCATGATGTGGTGCATGGCGACCGAGAGGAAGAAGAGCGAGTCCCCGTAATAGCTGCCAGCCCCTGCACTGAAGAGCTTCTGCATGGCCTCCACCGTGGGCTGCAGCTTCTGGGCCAGCACCTCCAGGTCGTGGAAGACCACCTGCCGGGCAGAGGGACTGTCAGGGCAAAGGGGGGGGATTTTCCCCCAACAGCGCAAGAGAAGGCAGCCCCCTCCCCCACTGCCCACGGGCTCCTTTCGGGGCCTGTCCAGACAGGGCGGTTCAGTTACAAGCAGCAACAGGCTGAGGCAGACAGGAAGGGGGGGTGGGGGGAGGGGGGGGGGGAGGGGGAAGAAAAAGAAGCCCCCCCTTCCCTCCCTCCTTCCCTCCACAAAACCAAACTCTCCGCCTGGCTAAGTTGCCAAGCGGCGCCGAGAGGCCGGGACTGAGGCCGAGGGCGGAGGAGTCCCCGTCCCCGGCCGCTGCCGAATCCGGGTGAAAGCTGCCTCCGCGCCAGTCCACAGGGCCGCGCTGGCCGGCGAAGGGGCCGAAGGGGAGGCGGGGGGTCCCCCTGGCCCACCTTGTACTTGAAGGCGGCGGGGCGCAGCGCCTGCTGGAGCAGCTGCCGGGCGGGGCTCCTGCTGGGCCCGTCGCAGAGCAGGTGCAGCGCCAGCGCCTCCCGCGGGCCCAGCTTGCCGAAGCGCACGAGGGAGCGCAGCGCCGCCGCCGCCTTGGCCCGCAGCGCCTCGTTGCGCTCCGCCTTGGCCAGCACCGCCAGCACGTGCAGCTCCGCCGCCTCGGCCCGCAGCAGCTCCTCGCCCGCCTTGGCCTTGCTCTCCGGCGCCGGGGCGGCGGGCGACGGGGAAGGGGGCGCCGGAGGCGGCGGCGGCAGGGCGCGCTGCGCGGGGCCGGAGCCCGCGTAGTAGAGCGCGCAGGCCAGCGCCAACGCCGCCGCCGCCGCCGCCAGAGCGCAGGGCTGGGCGCGCAGCACCGCCGGACGACGCGCCATGGCCGCCTCGCCAGCACCGGCCCCGCCCCGGAGGGAGGAGGAAGCGGCGGGTGGGAGGGCGGGACGGAATCCCGCTGCCTGGACCGGGAGCCTCTCCGGAGGCGGCCGAAGGTCCGCTCGCCGCCGCCTTTGTGCGCTTCGGCAAGGACTGAAATGCGGAAGGAATCCCCCTGCAATGGGCTCCTGACGCCTTAAGCGGCGAGTCCTCGGGTTTCCCCCCTTGCTTCTCCCCCGCCCCCTTCTCCAGAGGCTCCCGGTGTCCCCCCAAACCTTCCCCAGGCACTCCCGCCTTGCAAAGATCAGCTGGGAAACCTGGAGGGAGGAGAGTCCAGGAGATCGGAGCCCCCCCCCCCCCCCCCCGAAGAGGCCGTGATTGGCTCGCTCTGGCCCCGAAGGGCAGGACCAGAAGCCAGGTGGTCAAAGCGCAAGGAAGGAGCCTTTAGAGGGGCCCGCCGCCCGCCACAGTGGGGCAGGCTGCCCCAGGAGGACCCTCTTTCTGACTCTGGGATGCCAGGTGTGCCCGGTGGCACAGGAAGACTCCAGGGCCCCTCCCCCTCTCAGCTGCTCAGTCTTTGGGGAGCAGCCCTCTGGGAGGGCTCCCCCCCCAATCTCCTCCACCCAGCCCCATGGCAAAACAATGACAAGTATGCAAATGAAGCAGATTTATGTATAAAAAGGGGGAGGGGGAAATAAGGGTACATGGGGGGGGGGGTGGACGTCTCATTCATTGCAGCTCTTGGGCCTTTCAGGGCTCAGGTGTGTCCGGTGGCTGGAAGCGTTTTAGCTTTTCTGGATTATTGGAGGCCATCTGGGAGAAGTCCCGAAAGATGTCCTGATAGGTTTCATCTCCTGCGAAAGAAGGGAAGACACGGCAGCACTGAAGAGACCCTGATGCCTCCTCCGCAGGGCCCTGACTAGCCCCCCACCAGCCTGTCCTGGGGGGTCTGTCCGTTCAGCTACCCCGGCATGCTCCCAGCCAGCCCCCTTCTCTATCCAGACCCCCAAGGAGGTTTCTGCAGGCCCCTGCAAGGGACTTCCAGGCTGCTCAGTACTTGCCACCAACCTCAGTCAGGAACCCCCCAGTTCCCTGCCTGGGATGCCAAGTGCTGCGGCACCAAACTGCAGTGCTTGAGATTTAAGCATCTATTCTGGCAAGTCTAGCTGGGGCAAAGAAGAGCAGCAGCCAAGGCCAGAGCATGAGGTGGTCCCCAGTGGCCGGAGAGGGGCAGGTCTTCCCATTCCCAGCATTCCTGGCTGACCTCCTTCAGTTAGAACCATTAAGGCGACTGACCTTTGCTTTGGAGAATAGGTTGAGCCCAGGGGTGAAATGCTCCTGGTTCGGACTGGATTGCCCGATCTGGTAGCGATGGAGGCAGGTGGTTCAGAGAACCGATAGCAAAAATCCCCTCCCCCCCAACTGAGCCGCACAACCTCTTTGGCCGAAAAAATGCTTTTAAAAGTTTTTTTTTTAAAAAAAGCCTCTGATGATTGCGCGGCTCAGCAGGGATCATCAAAGGCTTTTAAAAGAAAAAAAGGGTTTCGCCCACCCAGTCACATTACCTACCCCACCCCCCCACAAAGCCACGCCCAGAGAACCGGTAGTAACAAATTTTAGATTTCACCACTGGTTGAGCCCCTCTTCTTTGTGGTAGCCCCTTAAATATTGGAAGACTTCAGGGTGCTCCCTCCTTCATGCATCCCCAACTGGCAAGGCCCAGAAGCCCCTGGGCCGGCTTGGGGCTAGCGATGCCCAATCCCTTGGCAGAGCTGGGATCAGTCCCAGGGCATGCAAGCGGGGGGGGGGGGCTGCTGCTGCATCATTAAGAAAGGCTTTCCCCCCTTAGCACTTCAACCCCGGCCTAACTTCCAGGGTGGCTTGAAAAGGATTTCAAGCCAGACTCTACCTGGGGTGGGGGGGAGTCGTGGCGGCCATACAGAGGGAGGAAGGTTCAGAGTTAGAAAGAGAACAAGGAAAGGAGAGGAGAGGAAGAGGCAGCACAGACACCCCTTCCCCGAAGGTTGCCAGGAATCCCAGCCAAGGAGGGAGGAGGGAGAGCATGAGGTGCAGCTGGACAGTGCCCCAACAGCCAGTGGGGAGGGGGGGCTCCTAATAAGCACAGGCTGGAGGACCCTCTGTTGGGAAGGTTTAGATTCCTGCACCTCCAGGGACCCCCTCCCCCCCAAGCTCTTAAGTCTCTGCCCTGCACCTTGCTCTGTGCACTTTGAAGGGATCGTGGCAGACTCAGCCCAGGTGATGCAGTTACACCCTTGAGGTCACCCACTGGGTGCTGACAGAGACCTGTGGTGCCCAGTCAGCAGAAGCGATGCAGTTGCCCTGAGTTTGGGGGGGGGGAGGAGAGGACAGATGATCTATGGGAGCTGCTCTTTCAAAGGCTTCCCTGTGTTGGACCCCCAATTCTGTGTCAAGCAGAAATCAGCATTTATGGGAGGTAGGGGACTGGGGGAAAGTAACCCTGAGCATCTCCTGCTTATCAGGGAGACCACAGCCCTTGCTGTCAACAGTGGTAGGGTTCCCCCAAACCCCGGAAACCCTATGCCTGGTCTAGCTGCCTGCTGAGGAACTCCTGAGGCACTTCCTGTACTGCCTCTCAGTGGGGCTAGGGCAGGCGGACCTGGCTGGCCGTAGAGGCCCTCCGACTCCCGCATCTCCTCGTTCATTCTGGCCAAGCGCAACCTGCAGAGAAAGGAAACGGAGGCTCAGGCCGCCTCCACTGGCTGCAACCCCCGAGGGTCTCACGCACGGTGCCCGCCCAGTTCTCCCCAGCCCCCCACCCAGTCCTTCTTGTGAAAGGGCAGGAGCCGCTCTGGTCAGGGCTGGGCTGAGTTCAGGCTGTGTGCTGCGACCCCAGCCTCTTCCCCAGAGGTCCCCCGTGGAGAACACAAAGCTCCGTCCTTACAGGGTCACTATATCTGCGTTGGCAGCTTCTATGGCGACGCTCAAGGGGTCCTTCCCGTCCTGGTCTCTGGCATGCTGGTTTGCCCCCCTTTTCAGGAACAGGCACACCTGCCTGTTAAAGGAACCAAACCAGCGGTCAATTCCCTTCTCAGAAACCTTCTGAGAAATCTGGCAGGACCCCCGAGGCCGGAAGACCTACCCGGTGTGCCCCAAAATGGTAGCATGGTGCAGCGGCCCTCGGCCCTGGGTGTCTCTCAGGTTCACGTTGGCCCCGTTCTGGAGAAGGAACTCACAAGTGACCAAGGAGCCCTGTGGTGGAGACAAGGGGCATCCAGCCTAAATTCTCGGTCGGAAGCGGCCCTCGCCCCTCTGTTCCCCAGTCCTGCAGGATGCAACCCGAATCCTGTGCCCTTGGATCTGGCTGCCAGTCGGGCCAGTGGGCAGGGCAGGCGGACAGGCAAAGCTCACCCCACGAACCGCCTGGATCAGCGGAGTGAAGCCATTCTTTTCCTGGTTGCTCCAGTTGACATCTGCCCCCTGAGCCAGGGCTTCAGCCATGTGGGGAAGACTCTTCTGGTAGGCCGCCTGGTACAGCTGCAGCCCTGCGACCCACAGCCTGGCATCCTGGGAAGCAGCAGCAGAGGCGGCCTCCCCCTCCTGGCTTTCTCCCCCTGGAGGAAGAGAGGCACTTCCTGTCTTGCCACCCGGCAGCAGCTTCCCTGCTGGAGGAAAACAGGCGGCCCAGTGGCCATTTGCAGATGGGGCTCAAAGGCAGGAGCAGAACGAGCTGCTGGCCATCTTATACCTTTTACTTTGGACATTTTAAACCCCACCCACCCACCCACCCCCGCGTCCCAAGCATGTTCCTGCTGACGCTCTTGGGCAAGCCCTGTGGGAGAGGGAAGGGGATCCCACCCAAGGAAAGAAGACCAGAGTCCCCACACAACAACCCCAGCAGGAGCTCCTACCTGGTTCGTGCAAGACGCTGGCTGGGGCAATGGCTGCCAAAAGCTCTCTGCTGTCCTCCCTTCCGGGCTGGGGGGCCTGGTCGCTGCTTGAGGCTGTTTTAAGGAAAGGCAGTCCTTAGCGGTGCCAGCAGCCGCAGGTGGAGGACGCCTGTCTTCGCAGACTGGCGAGCACTGGGCCTGCAGCACGGGCCCTCATCCTCGGCTCGCCCACCCCAGAGCCTGGCGGGGGGGCCCAGGGAGGCCTTGATGCTGGTTCTTCCTCTGCAAGGCAGAGGGCAGAGCTGATGCCAACCCTGGAAGTCCCAAAGAAGCCCAAAGCAGCAGCCATGGCGGCCATGCAGTGCACCAGAGCAGCACACCCAGAGCAGACTGTGCGGATTTGAGGAGGAATCAGAGTAGGAGAAGAGCAAATCTAATTCACTGAGACAGAAGAGAGACTCTTCTCACCTCGCCCAGCTGCCCCACACCAGTCCCTGGGGACATGCAAGCTGGCAGAGCTCAGTGGCAGGCAGAAGATGGGAAGGGGGGAGGGGGAGGAGGAGGAGGAGGAGGAGGAGGAGATAGGCTGGTTAATAGCGACAGTCAGTAGCCGCAAACACCGTGGCCGCCTCTGCATCACGGCTTCTCTCTAGGCTTTGGAAAGCATGAAGTGGGAGCATTTCCCGGGGTTGCAAGGACGGGATTCTCCCCACTTACAAGAGGGGGGGGGGGTAGCGAGGGAGAGGGAGAGACGTCTCAGCAACCAGTCTGGATACCTTTCAAAGAGGCTGCTGTATTTTCAGGGCTGCCTCGCTTCTTCACCTCTTGGCTGGGGGTCAGGGTTGGCTTCCCCTCTGGATCAGCGGGGGACACAAACCGCCGGTCCACATACTTGGCTCTAATGTACTCTTCCTTCTCCTGCCTGCATACAGAAAATAAACCAGGTGAGCTTCCGCTGTGCAGGTGCAACGCCCCTCATGAGCCAGCCCCCCTCCCCTCTGGGCACTCCAGAGGCTGATTGCAGGGACCGGATGGAGCGTAAGCTTCCTGCCTCTTGCCCTGGAAGCAACGAAGGACAATGGGATGTGCATCTCGGCCCTATCGCTCACAGGTAGGAAGCTGGCATCGGGATGACTCATTTCCTAAACTGAGGAGCCCTCTCCTCTCAGACAGACAGCAGCCCTTCCCTGCACTAAGGTGAAAAGGAGGGGAGGGGAGGATTCTGGAGGAACAAGGAAATGTTGCCCAAATAGGAGGGGACGTGTCAAAGGATGCGACATTCTGAGAAGGGCCACGTGCTCAGAAACATGGCTCAAATTATCCAACTTCAAACGCCTGATGCACAGACCCCGTTTGTTCCCTGGGAAAGGCCCTGATGCAGAGGTGTCCAGCCTTGGCAACCAGAATTCTGGGAGCTGAAGTACACAGGCCTCAAAGTTGCCAAGTTTGGACACCTCTGCCCCAATGCCAGGAAAGGGGGAAAAAGAGGAGGAGCGCCAGGGGCAAGATGGGGGGACTCACTTAGAGCGGTCATGAGCGAACCAGTGGATGAGCTGAAGGAGCGGGTTAGGGACGGTCGGTCCTAGAGAAAAATCTATCTAGATGTGCTCAAGAGTCGAACAATGTGATGGCGTGTGAGCAATCAGCTTGATGTAAAGCTTGATCAGCTTTAATGTAAATTTTAATTTATTCTTAACCTGGGGTTTTAAATTTGTCTTGGGCTAAATTGATTTAATTCGCTTTTACTTCTGCTCTTAAATTTTTGTATTCTATGTGTTTTATCTTGTGCCTGTTCACCACCCTGAGTCCTTCGGGAGTATGGCGGTATATAAATCAAATAAAATGAAAAAAAAAATGAAAAAATGATGTCTCCATTCTGCAAGGTCTTCAAGAAGATGAACTGTGTTTGTGAGCACGTGGGTAGGAATGTAACCACTAGCAAAGCCAGTATTTATTTATTAATCAAACTTGTACAGCCACCCATCTCACCAAGAGCAACTCTGGGTGACGTACAACAAACATTACTTCGTCATGCCAGACAAATGTCATTACTATTTTTTTTTTGACAATTACTGGTTAATAGATAGGGCAAATGCCGCATAGTATACTAGGACTTCATAAAAAAAAAGTTTTCCACGATATTCTTATTTTAAAAAAATAATAAATACGAAGTAGATGATATAACTATTAGATGAATGGACAATATCCAGGGAACGATCATAAATGGCTTTCCAACAATGGGGGGTGGGGGGTGCCAAGCAAAGTGCCCCATACAGTTTGTTCCCTGTTCCTTATTTATGACCTGCACAGAGAGGCTGAGGAGCAAATCTATCTATCAATCAGTGCCACAGGGGGTTTTATGGGGTGGTGCTGCATTTTCCTTCCCTAGAGGGCTTCAACTGGGCTAAATAAAGGAGCTCTGGTGGCTCAGCAGACTAAAGCACTGTTATTAACATCCATTTACTTCTGCTGCCTGCAATTACTGCAAGTTCAAATCTCACCAGGCTCAAGGTTGACTCAGCCTTCCATCCTTTCTAAGGTAGGTAAAATGAGGACCCAGATTATGGGGGCAATAAGCTGACTTTGTATAAATATACAAAAGTATGAAGGCTATTGCTTAACACATTGTAAGCCGCCCTGAGTCTCCGGAGAAGGGCGGCATATAAATCAAATTAAAAAATAAAAATAAAAAAAAATGGGCATCTGCCTGAAGCAGGTCTTGCACTAACCAGTTATTGGACTAGATGGTCTCTAAACTCCCTTCCAACTCTCCAGTTTTATGGGGAATGGGGCACATAACCCAATGGGGATCATGAAGGATTTAAGGGAGAGGGAAAAGAAACCTCCTCTGCTGCTAAGTACCTTTGGCTTCCAGGATGAGGCTTCTTGGCTCCCATTTTTTCTCTGTTTCCTTCATACACCCTGTTTATGACACTGTTTCCCAATTCACACATCAACTGTAGGAAAATAACAAAACATCAGAACCTAAGAGACCCTAACTCTGTGCTACCCCTTGAGGCAGGGGGTGGGGTGGGGGGCTGGTCGAGGCCTCCTGGACTTTTCGGTGACAATGCGGACTTGGCTGTCCCTCCTCTGAAGGCAGAATCAAAAAGGGTGCCCAGGGGTGATCTGGGCAGATGTCCTGGCCAGGCCTCAGTCCCCCTCCCCCTCCCAAGGGCCTCTGCTGTTCCTCCCCGCCGAGATGGTACCTTCAAAAGCTCCGGCTCCCACGAATCCAGCGTCAAGGACCGGACCTTGGAGAAATGGACGCCCAGGCTCCTACAGGGCAGACAGAAGGCACTGACTTAGGAAGGAGGCAGGGAAGGAGGGGGGCCCAATGGTCGCTGCCCGCTTGCCCACCTGTGAATGCCCGAGCACTCGATGCACAGTGTGATGCCAAGGTTGATGCTGGCCCAGCGGGGGTCCGCCTGGCCACAATCACAGCATACCACATTGCCGGCAATGGCCTGGACCCTCTGGAGGGAGCCTTCCCCCTTCAGCAATTTCTCTTTGGACTCTTGGCTGGACTCGGGGCTCCCTGTGGAGGGGGGGCGCTTCCTCTCCACCTGCAGAAGAAGCAGGAAGGTGCTGGGGCTGCTCCTCCTCAGCCCCCAAGGCCCCCTCCCAGCTGCCCCCAATGGCTCGGCTCTCCTCGTCCCAGGCCAGAGCCCCAGGCAGGAGCAGGAGCTAAGGTTCAAGGCCTCCAGAGGGATTGGAGCAGGGGAAGGCGGGGGTGGGTGGGAACCCACCTCGGCCTCCTCCCCCTTCTCCCTGTAGGCACTGGCAATGCTGGTCTGCACAGCCTGGATCCACGCTTGCCGCAGCTTCTCCGAATCGGCCTGCAGGATGCAGCTCCTGCACAAGAGAGCCATGGCCAGGCGAGTGGGTGCTCCCAGGGCGCCTGGCTTTTAGCAGCACCTGACCCCCCCTCCCCCAACAATAAGGATACAAATGGGATATCAGTTCCATTAAGTCAAACCCCCAATTCACGTTGCTGAAGTTCAAGCATTTTCCCAACACAATCCTGGCATTTGGGGGTGACATTAAGAAGGAGAGCCTTCTCTGTGGTGGCACCTACCCTTTGGAACAATCTACCCCCAGAGATACGAGTGATCTCCGACCTCCGGACCTTTCGTCGGGCCCTAAAAACTCATCTCTTTCAGTTAGCCGGTCTCTCTTGATTTTATGATTTTATGGTTGGTTTTAAATTTTGATATGGATTGATTGATAAATCAATTGATAAATTGATAAATTTTAAACTATGGGCCAAATTTAATTATTTTAAATCTATTTTTAATCGTATTTATGTATAAATGTTTTTATTTTGGCTGTTCACCGCCCTGAGTCCGAAAGGAGAAGGGCGGTATAGAAATTCGAATAATAAATAAATAAATAAATAAATAAATAAAATGGGAACAGCTTCCTGTCTGTTAAAACTCCCCCATTTTGGGGAGGGGAGCTAAACAATGAGAACCAGAGAATGTGGGGGACGACAGATGGGAGGGGGCTTCTTGCAGAGTTAGAGGTCCTCTGATCCTGCTGAAGGAAAACTGGACAGGGGTCTCCTTTGCCCGGAGTCAAGATGGAGAAGACCTGGCCTCAGTTTCCTTTTAGCCAGACAGACTCTGGAAAACAATTCCTTCACCTGAGCTAAGAATAAAAAGCAGAGCATTTTCCAGGCAGTTTTAAGGCTTCTTCCCTCAAGCCCATGCTCATACCGGACACATTCGTACTGTTGCTAAGCACGATCAAATTTAATCTTGGCTGGGAAGGTTGTTTCCTTTCTGGCTTAGCATCCTGTGCAAATTCAAAGTGGCCAATTTCTGCTTTCAAAAATCGCACAAACTCAGAAAGGGATTAATTCAGCAAGTAAGTAATGTGTGAAGACGTCCCTGGCTGTTTACTGAGTTCCCTCTCTAATTCACTGAGAAATCCGACAGCTGGGAGACTCCATCTCCCATCCTTCCCTTCCAGCATCATACGGCCAGAGGCCTCTGATCTACTCAAGCCCCTCCGTGAGGAAGAGGCCTCATTGCTCCCCCACGGGACCTCCGGCTGGTCCCTGGGACAGGCCCGGGGACGGGGACGGGGACCGGGGGACCGGGGGACGGGGGGTGGGCTTCAGCCCAAGTCCTCCCACTCACTTGGTCGGGGACACCACTTCAAAGCAGAAGCGCCTCTCCAGGTCCTCGCAGGGCTTCACAGTGCACAGCCGCAAATCTTCAACCACCACAGTGGGTGCATCCTGGGCAAGGGAGGGAAGCCTGAAAGCTGAGCTCTGCACGGCCTGGGCCCTGCCTGGAGCCCCCCCCCACCCCCCTTGAGAGGGAGAGTGCTCTGAGTGAGGAGGGGCAGCACAGCCCAAGGAGGGGCTTCTCCTCAGCCCAGCAGAAGGGTCGGAGAACCTTTCACAATGAAGGAAAGGGTGCCCAATGCCAAGCTGTGCCCAGCCGGGCAAGGGAGGGGTCCTCCTGGGCCAGGCAAGCCTTGCATTTGCCATTTGTGGGATGGGTGCCTGCCCACCTGGCCCCACCCCTGTCCTGGGTGGGCAAGCAGGGGCAGAGAGGGTGCCAGTGTTCCAGAATTATCTTCATTTTGTCCTCATTACTGAAAATGATCAAGCCAAATGCCAACAACAGCTCCAGACTGAGGGCCTGGCCTCCCCATGGGTCCCCCAATGCTCTCTGGGACTCACCCTGAACTTCTTCTGGTAGACCAGCTGGTTATTCTGGATGGAGAACCAGCGCCTGCACAAGGGAAGGCAGCAGAGTCAGCACCACCCTCAGCACACGGAGACAGGCACTGAATCCACCCGGGCGATGGCCTCCACCCAGGGACTCTCCCACTAACTCTAAGGGTCTCGGCAGCCCCTGGAGACCTCAAAGAAACTTTCAGAAAGCTCTCTCTCTCTCTGTGCACGTGTGTGTGTGTGTGTGACACACGCAAAGGCCTGTATAAAGCAGCCTGAGGGAAGCCCTGCTGTGCTGCTCCTACAGCGAGGGAGGGGCGGAGAACACTGGGCTTAGGTCCTGGGCCCTCTCAGAGCCTCCGAGCTCCCCTCTTAAGCCGCTTTTCAGATTCTCTTAACTTCAGCCCCAAAAGGAAACTGGCTGGCTGTAAATCTCTGGGACCTGGTTTATTCCCAGTGAGCCCACAACGGCTGGCCGGGATCTAGAGATTGCTTAGAAAAAGGAGGAACCAAAGGGGTGGAGAGCACAGGGGGAGGGACTTCTAATGAGGGGAACTACACCCCTTTACCTTTGGGTTCTTTTCCGAATGCCCACCCCCCAATGCAGACTGAGCCACAGGGGCCACCCCGCTGCTGGCCCCAAATGGCCCTGTCCCTGCGCCAACCGAATGATTCCTTCCTCAGAAGCAGCTACCCGGCTGGCAACCATGCCAGGCCCCACTGCCCAGCTCAGCTGGCACTGTGCGGCGGCCACTGTTTTCCACTGTTCCAGACAGATGCTGCTCTGCTGGGATGAAGTCCCAGGCCGCTGGATTAGCCAGGGCAGGGCAGGGATGGGTGGGGGGCCCAGAGACCCTTGCATTGTAATAACTGGCAAACGCTGGCACTGAGCTCTCCCCACCTAAGGAGGGCAAGTGGGGGCTTCAACCACACATACTTCATCTCAAGTGGGTAATCTGGCATCTATCCAGCAGGAGAGGCCACCACACAAGCCAAGAGCCGTCTCCATCAAACTCCAGCCTAGCGGGGGCTCTTGCTGCCTTTCAAGAGGCACCAGGTGCCCTCAAGGACAGAGGAGGGCCCAAAAAGAGAGAAATGGCAGAGGCAGAACCGGCACAAATGGAACAAGGGGAAGCCACAAAACTGGCAGGCAGCGAGCAGCAAAAATGGGGAAGGTGCTACCAACCCCCCCGAGGGGGAGAAAAACATGGGGGCGGAGGGGGGGGGAAGGCAGGGAAGACTGGCTCAGAAGGCATCACCTAACTTGGGGATGGGGGGGGTAGAAGGGGGGCACAGCTGCCATTTGGATTCAGCTTGGAGGTGGAGGACCCTCTCCCCATTCTGAGGAGGAGGGATTGCTCCCTCAGTGGCCATAGGGCGGAAGGGCCAAGCCCCCCTTGACCCCAAACCTGAGCAGCCCCTCTCCCCTCCGATGTTTCCCCCCTCCCCAGTTGTTTATTTATTTACTTGTCATATTTATGTGGGCCCCCCCATCTCAAAAAGAAGTGACTCTGTGAGGCATACAACAAAAGTAAAAGCAATAAAGGTATTCAAACAATTATTAATATTATTAAATATCATTAAAAGTTTTTATAAAAGGTATAAGCTAAAAGGACTAAATAAGAAAGCTCTTAGGGGAGAGCAAGGTTAATGTCCCTGGAGCCACTGAGACATCCGGAGAGTTAGAAGGCAGGGAGCCAGCCTTGCCTGTTAAGGGAAGTGGGCAGCAGGCAACCCCTGACCCCCCACCCCCCAGGGGAGGCTGCTCCTGCATCCCCCTCCACACCCCGGAGGAGGAGGAGGAGGAGGCACTTCTGGGCCTCGGGAAAGGCTGAGCAAGGAGGAGGCAGGCCGGGGTCAGAGCCACAGCCGGCATGCTTGGCCACAGAACTAGGGAGGAAGCGCCAAGGGGGCACAAGCCGAGAGATACCTGATGCCACTGGGGGGTTTCCTGTCATGTGGAGAAAATGAGGGAGGGTCAAAACAGAAGCAGGAGAAAGATGGATGGAGAAACCAAAGTCAAAAGAACGAGGCAGAAAAGAAGCCGAGCGCTGGAGGCAAATGGAGCAGAGCTGAGAGAGGAAGAAGACAGCCCATCTAAGTGGCTCAGCTCTTGGGCACGGCCCCCTCTCCCCACCCACCCCCAACCCCAAACGGCCTGGCAAGAGGGGGCAGCTGCTGCAGCCACTTCCCACGTGGCTCAGCCCCTACAAAACACCTGGATGAGAGCTGGGACATCAAGTGGCCATGAGCACATGGGGACCTTAAAACTGCCTCAGCTGCATATGCTCAGGAGAATACAGAATAACAGAATAACATACAAAGTTGGAAGGGACCGTAGAGGTCTTCTAGCCCCTGCTCAATAGCAATAGCACTTATATACCGCTTCACAGGGCTTTTACAGCCCTCTCTAAGCGGTTTACAGAGTCCGCCTCTTGCCCCCAACAATCTGGGTCCTCATTTTAACCCACCTCGGAAGGATGGGAGGCTGAGTCAACCTTGAGCCTGGTGAGATTTGAACTGCCAAATTGCAAGCAACCGGCCATCACCAGAAGTAGCCTGCAGTATTGCACTTTAACCACTGTGCCACCGCAGCTCAGGAAGCAGGAAACCACATACTGGTCCAAACAAGTGGCTGTCCAGTCTCTTCTTAAAAGCCTCAAGTGATGGAGCACCCACTGGTTGATTGTTCTCACTGATAGGTAATTTCTCCTTAGTTCTAGGTTGCTTCTCTCCTTAACCGGTTTTCACCCGTTGTTTTTTGTCCTGCCTTCCGTTGCTTTGGAGAATGGGGGAACCCCCTCCACTTTGGGGCAGCCCCTCAAAAAATGGAAGTCTGCTATCATCTCACCCCTGATCCTTTTCACTAGACAAACCCATTTCCTGCAACCGTTCTTCCTATCTTTTAGCTCCAGCCTCCAATCATCTTTCTTGCTCTTTCTCTGCACTCTTTTCTAGAGTCTCAGCATCTTTTTTACATCGTGGTGACCAAAACTGGATGCCAAGTGTGGCCTCACCAAGGCATTTACAAAGCGGCACTGGAGACAAAGGCCCCTTCCTCCCGTGCTGCTGCCAAGATCCCTCCCAGGATGAGCGTGGAAAGGAGGCTGCCCCTCCAACTCATCCCAGTGGGTCAGCATTCCTGCCTTGGGCAAACCAATCCAAGGGCTCCGCAAATACAATCCTGGTGCTTTGCCTTTAGAAACAGGCCCAACCTCAGAGCACCTGTTGGGAAGCTCCTGGCGGCCTCTGCCCATCTGTCCCTTTGGTCCAGGGAGCTAGTTCAGGCCCCATCCTCATGCCAGTTGCAGGCCCCCCGATGGCCCCCCAGCACCTCCAGCAGCTGCTCTGGTTCCCTGAGAACTGCCTTGACCTTTGCCCCCTGAGGGGCTCCCTCCTTTTGCCCCTGGAATTCCCTCTTTTCGTTCCAAGGAAGATGCCCATTGTGAGGACAGGAGAGAGAAGCCCACAGTTCCCAACCCAGAGCAAGGCCCCTCTGGTCGCCCTGTCTCTTTACTTGCCCAGGAAGACAAAGGCGTCCTGCCCTCTTTCAGAGTGAGGCAGAGAAAGATGGATGCCTCTGGGTAACCGGGCCAGCGCCCCTCCCCAGCCTCCTCTGCATTCTTCTCCACATGTATGACCACCCTCCATCATCACAATGTGAAACAGAGAACTTTGAGATTATCTATGTTTGAAAACAAGGCGCTCTGAAAATCCCCACTGATTTAACAGGGGGCTCCCATAAACTCCCCAAACTGTAACCCCTGCACTCACCAGGGTCTCCCTTCTGCCCCAATGGCTGCTTTCCTTGGAGCTATTTTAGCCTCCTGAATTTTGGGCCTTTGGGTCGTTTGTGGTGTTCTCTGAGCCACTTTGGGCTCTCTGTTGGAGGCTCTGTTTCCACAGTCTTGTTTTTATTTGAGCAGAACTTCTGTAGTTTTTTAAAGAAAGTTTCTCTCACCTTGTTCATTAGCCAGCCTGGCATTTGCTGCCCCTGCTTCTTTTTCCTGGGTAGTCCTGTGTGGCCCTTTTTCAGCAATTCTCCCCCCACGGGCATTTCCAGCTCTAAGAATCCCCACCGACCCCTTGCAGTTTTTCTCTGCAATGAGAGATCTCCTCCCTAATGAAGGAAGAGATCTTTGCAGCTGCCCCTCTTGGTCTCAAGGATTATCCCATCATCCTGCTCTTTAACTGCTGGAGGAGGGTGCTGGGATGCAGCCTGGAGGGGCAGGAAGGAAGGGCTCTTTCCCAAGGAGCTAAGAGGCAGAGGGGCCTGGAATCTCTGGGGGGCAGGAAGAGGGCAAAGGGAGGCTCTCCCTGGCAGTTCGCCGGGTGGAGCTAATTGTTATGCACATATGTGCTTTAGTATGGCAAGATTCCTGCCTGTGGGCGAGCAACAATAAAGAAACTGCTCTGGCCTACAAGCCTCCCACACAGGAAGAGGAAGAGCCCCTGAGTCCCAGAGAGGAGGGGACTTGTGTTCAATGAGTCAAGAGGCCCCCCAGTATGGCACCTGCCCTCCCTGCTCCCTCAGGGAACAGCCTTACCTGTTCCAGGTCTTGAAAGCGTTACTGGCTCGCTTGAAGAGGTAGCCCTCCATGACAATGCCGTTCACTGCATCAACGTTGTACTCCAGCTTCATCTCGTCGCTGGAGAAGTCCTGGCACAAAGAGAGGCCTCCTGTCAGCCTCTGCTTCTCCAAAAGCTTCTCCCCTTGCAGGGGTCGCAGGGAGGGAGGTGGGACAAGCGCTGCTCCTGGGGTCCCCCAGGTCTTTCCCAGGGCTCCCTGCAGCAGCCTGAAGGAAGGGCAGGGAAAACTCTGGGCCAAGGACGGGGCCAGGTGCCCGGGAGCCTCTGGCTCGCTGCTGGGGGTCCTCCACCTCGTGAGGAAGACGTTGCCTAGTCAAGTAATGAAGTCTGTGAGCAAATCGCCATGCTCAGCGCACCCCAAGGACTCCTGTGCTAGAGAGATTCCCCTCTATTGGTACAACAGACTTGCCTGGTGGGGAGAGTCCCCTCCCAGCAATCGCTTCAGCATTACCCTACAGCTAGGAAACCCTCCAGAAGCTTCAGTGGGCTCAGAACATGGTGGCGGCGGCGGCGGCAGCAGCAGCAGTACTGATGGGCGCACCACATCACATCCATGGGACCCTGCCCAGTGCACTGGCGCCAGGGGCTCCCAGGGTGGGAGTTAACAGAACAGTCGGTTCTGTTGGGTGCCCCTCTGCATTCGAGCTTTTAGGAATCTGCATATCTATAAATTTTCCCTCTCCATCTACCTACCTACCTACGTACACCATCTATCACCTATTTTATTAGATCTGTTTAATCTGGCTTTAAAGCAACTCTGGGTGGCTTATAGCATTAAAAGCAGTAAAGCCATTGAAGGTGCACATTGGATCGTAATTACTTTGGACTGTAATTCTATTTTTATTGTTTTAACAAATATTTTTCTTTTATGGTTTTATGTCTCAGTCATCCAGGTCACGGCTGTCCGAAAGGTGCTGGGCTTTGTCGGTTTCGCTTCTTGCCTAAGCAGTGGAGCTTCTTCAAGGAAAACCGAGGCGGCCAGTTGCCTTTGGGACAGCCGTGACCTGGATGACCGAGAAACTCCAGAGACATAAAGCCATAGAAGATAAAATATTTTTTTTCAAAACAATAAAAATAGAACTAAAACCTAAAGTTACAGTTAACAGAGGGGGGGGGGGGGGGGGGGGGGGCAGGTGCCATGGGGGGGGGGAGAGGTGGGATTTTTTTTCTTAATTCATCCCCCCTCTTCACTCTGATGATCCCACATTGGGGCTGCAGGGCAACCAGCAGAGCCTAAAAACTAGGCTCGGTTCAGGCAAACCAGTAGTAAAAAAGACCCAACTGGTTCGAGCAAACTGGTAATTAGCTACTGGTTTGGGCAAACTGATAGTTTAAAAAACCTACTGGTTCCTCCGAACTGGTATTTCCGATGATCAGCTGTGCAGTGGGGTTTAGCTTTGTTAGAAAGCAGGAAATCCTGCTTTCTAGCAAAGCTAAATCGCACACCACAGCTGATCCACACACCCCCCCCTGCTTACCTTACCTTCCCAAGCCTCCTTTTGCCACGTACTGCACATGTGCATGTCCGCAGAGAGAGCAAACCGCTAGCAAACCAGTTCGGATTTCACTACTGGGCCCGGTGGAAGGTGAGGAGGGTGGGAGCACATCTCACCTCAGGAGAATTACACGTTCCAGAGGGCAGGAGCCATGGCAGAGAAGGCCCTTCTCCTGGACCCCCCCCCAACTGAAATTCCCTGACGGAGGGGCTTGCAGCATGCCTCCTCTGCCTGCACGGGCCCCCCTCACTGGGTGAGATGGTCCATCATGTAGCCTGGACCTCATGTGTCACGCAGGGCTTTAAAGGTGGTTCCCAACACCTTGAGTTGCACCCGGAAGCAGACTGGCAATCAAGGCAGCTCGCAGAGCAGTGGTGTCACAGGAGGCATTCTGGGGCCCCCCAAACAGCCTGTTTGTTGTAAGATAGCTTTGAGATTTTGTTCTTTTTGGTTTATTGTATGTTTATACTTTGTACACTGCCCAAAGCCACACAATCTGAAGGGCGACCTTATAAATCTTGACACAAACCATCTTTCTTTCTTGCGGGGGGAGGGGGCAGACCCGTATCTGTAGCCACCCAGATTATTTTGCATAGGGCTCAAAACAATTCCACGCAGATCAAGACAAGGCTCTGCTTTGGACATGCCAGTCTTTCTCATATATATATATATATATAAAAAATCAAAATCAGAAGAGAGGCAGGGAGCGTAGCCACCATGGGCACCACATTGCCTGCTCCTTTCCTGCCTACAAAGTGCCAGATCCATCCCTGCTCTTCCCAAAACCTCATGCTAGAATGGACCACATCATTTCTCCTTTACCAAAACCAGGAATGGATGCTGGCAGCAGAGACGGGCGCCGACCCTGAATCCAGTCCAGTGGGGAGGCTCCCCAGAAGAGGACAGAAGGCACAGAGAACCCCCAAAGCAGCCAGCCTTTCAAAACCACATCCCCCAAAGGAGCAAAGGGCACGGTGGGGGACCATCTGGGGACCGTGCCACCTCTCCCCAACAGTAGCCAGGAGAAGGGGCCACACACAGCAAAACATCCTGCAAACATGGACAGTTAAAATATTGTTTCTCCTTAAGATTAAAGCTGATTTTATAACCATCCCAAATTACATTTTCATTCCTTTAGCACAGTCTCCGAAGGGTTATTCTGTTCCTTTCCCCATTTCCAATGTTTTATTGATCCCTGCATAAATACTTTTTAAAAGTGCCAGCGAGAATGTATCAGCCGTTACTTCTGTTTTACCTGGCATGGCAGGAAAGGTGCGGATGATTTACAAAACTGCCTTCGGGTGCAGCTCTTGGGGGCAGGAGGGGAGCAGAGAGCCTGCCCCACCAGCAGCCCTTGCTCCAGGGTGGGACCTGAGGAGCCCCCTCCGGGGAACACACAACCCCCGGGGCAGAGGGCTGTGAGGCTGAGCCCCTGCCGGGGTCACTTTTCCCTGCATGTCAAAGCTGCTTCTGGCCAAAAGCAATGGAAATACCCCCTCCTGCTCAGAATTCGACACACCTGGAAACCCGGTGAGATTTGCTTGGCATCTCTAAGGGGACATTCAGACTCCAGAGGGCAACGGCACCCAGTGGCAAGGGGGCAGCCTTGGGGCAGGTAACCTGGGTGATTAGCTTTGCCTGGCCGCCCTGGCACCACAGGCAGTGGAGGAGGCAAAGCTCCCCTTTCCTCCACCCAGCTGCCGCCCCAGTGAGAACCATCTCTGACAGGGCGAGAGGGAGGTTTTGCTCTGTTGCTGCTGCCCAAGGAGGTGGAGGGAGAGGGGGTTGTTTCCCAGCCAAGGCTGCTCTTCCATGGATTTCCCACAGGGCCCAGCGGGTCAGCGGGCCCTGACCCGCTGGGGGCAGCTAGCCCTTGATCAGCAGAAGCCCACATGTGGGACAGGCGCTCTCGGCTGGCACTCCCTCCGGTACCTTCTGCTGAATGGTGGAATGCTTCTGCTCCATCTCCTTCTTCTCCCTGGCTGCGTCCAGAGCCAGATGGTCCAGCTGGAAAAAGGACAAGAGGGAACCCACAGACACTTGGCTCTACTTCATGCACCTGCAGCCGAGAGGAGCTGCTCTCCCCCGGGTTTACCTGGAGAGGCGAGGCCCTGCCTCTAGCTCTGCCTCTCTCCCTGCCTTTCTCGAGAGGGGGGGGCGGAGTCCAAGGAGCCCCGAGGTGCCAAGCACATGCGGCTGGACTGGCGCATCACTTCGGGCTGGAGGAAAGGATGACTCATTCGCAGCCTCAGCAGCAGCAGCCAGGCTGGGCTCCCTCCGCAGGGCAGGAGGAAGAATGTGAAGCTCCTGCCCAGCAGCTGAGGATTCAAGCCTCACCAAAGGATGCCAGGAGGAGCCGCAGTGAGATCCTCCACAGGGTGGGAGAGCAGAGGGGCCCCCTTGGCCTCCGGCTGCATTGGATGCAAGAAAGGGGAGCCACTCTGGCAGCCCAAAGACACGCTGCCCTCGGGTCGCTCTCTGTCCCCTCGGGGCTGGTCTCCCCCAGCACTGCCTCTGGCCAGCAGAGACCCCTCTGAGGGCACCCCTGCCTCCGCTTCCCTGGAGCAGCCCCCTTCCCCCCTTGTTACCTGAGCGCCCAGCTCCTTCATGTAGGGTCCCAGTTCGCTGAACAGGTCGTAGCCTTGGTGGAAGAAGGCCAGGTGAGCGCACATGAAGGACAGCATCTGCAGGGGGCAGGAGAGGATGGCACAGTCTCGACCCAGGAGGGCGCTTGAAACACCCACGCCTGTGGGACCCAAGGCTATCTCCCCCTTCACTGAACCCCACTCTAAGCACTACAGGCTGCCCTCCTGCCTATCGCGGTCGTAAATCAGGTGACCCATTCCAACAACCCGGTTTAATGACCTTTTTTATGGCAGTTATTAAGAGGGCCGCTACTGTCATTACACAAACCAAGGGATTGGCGGCAAAACCACTGTAAAGTGCAGTCAAGTGACTGTGGGACATTGCAAACCATAAATATGGTCACAAGAAAGTGTGTATGTGTGTGTGTCCATCTCTCCGTCAAAACTTCAGAACTGGGAGGCCTGCGTTATCTCTGAACAGTCACTAAGAGACTGGTCACAAGCCGAGGACTGCCAGTGCTTTCCTCTGTGCAGGAACAGCCACCTACCGATTTTAGGATCTCCGATCTCCTCTTTGATTGAAGGACATTGATCTGGGAGAGAAAAAATCCTGTTTGCTTCACTGAGTGAAGAAACGAGGGAGCGGGAAGGCTCTCCCCCCCCCTGCCCCCGGTGAAAGTCAGACAGCCCCTTGCTTTGGGGGGGGGGGATCTGGGAAAAGTTCTCTCTTGCACCCAAGGGAAGCTCAGCGGGAAGTCCAGGCTCAGAAGGAAGGCAGGTGAGGTGGCGGTCAAGTCTCACAAGGGAAGGGAAGGGGCCAGTCAGCAGGGCTGTTTGCTGACCTCCCAGGGCCCCTCATGGCAAAGACCCCATCTCCACCTGCCTTTTGTGGGACTGGCCCTCTGGGAAGAAGCAGCGCTCCCCGCCTCCCCGGAGGCCTTCCTTCTTCTGTTACCAGCCCCTCCCCATCCCAGCCAAATAGAGCAAGACATTCAGGCGCCCCAGCTCCCCCTGGGCAAGACGGCCCCCGCAACACTCACCTGCAGCACGTAGTCGAGAGCGATGTGCCGGAAGCATTTCCGGGTGGCGGTGAGGATGTTGGTGGCCTCTTCGACTTCATGCTGCTTGTTCCTGGGGGCCTGGGCATTTTTGGCCAGGGCGTTCTCCTTCTCCTCACTCACTTTCTCAAACTGCTTCTTGCCATCTTTGAACTTCCGTATGTCTCTAATGCGTGAAAGGAGGAAAAAAAGTGCCATTTTCCCTCAAGCTTTTCCCACCACAGAGCACTGCCCTGAGTGGGAACAAGAGTTTCCACAGTGGCATCTCTGTAACGTAGAAAAGTGACGCAAAGGATTTTTAGTGCAAGCAGGATAATGAGACGGTGCCTTCCAGACCCTCCAGAATTGGCTGAGCCACAGAAGGGCTGCTTGCCTTCTGGACACGGCCACTCAAGCTCCTAGAGAGAAATAGCAAACTGCCTCCCAAATTTCAGAACCCCCCCACCCCCACCATGACCTAGAAGCCTCCTGGCAAGGCCAAACCCTGCATAAAGGAATCCCCCAACGAAGAGAAAACCGAAGGAGTTGGGCCACTTTTGGCCTTGCTCTGAGACCACAGCTGGCACACACATTTGTGGATCCCCAGCACTTTTGGGTGTCCTTAAGTCTGCCATGCGCTTCCCACCCCCTTGTGCATAGCACCTCCCTTTGCCTCAGCACAGCCAAAGCCGATCCTGCCATCCCGCAGAGACCTGGGAATGGAAGAAGCCCTGCTTCTCTCCAAGCCAGAAGGGCTACACCTGATGAGCAGCTGCCTGCATTACAATCTCAGGGAGGTAAGGCCAAACTCAACCGCTACGCCCCGCCCCCACAGTTCTGAACAAAGAGTGTTTGTTTTAGAGAGGTTGGGGGAACACCGTCTGCACTTCCAGCCTTCTTCTGGCCCATGGCGAGGGCTCTGCAAATCCCTTTGGGGCCAGACTCCCATCACGCATCAGTCTTTGCCAACCATGGAAGTTAACTTACTCCTTAACGAACATCTGGAGTTGTGCTTTAATGGACCTTTGGGTCTGGTCAAACAGGATCTGAAAGGGGAAAATGTGCGGCTCAAAAGCTCAGGCTGAGCAAAGCATCCTCCACAAAGCAATTTTTCATCCCCTTGTCTTAGGCAGAAGTTTCTATTACTCCCCATGTGGGCAATAGCTCAATTAAAAAAAAAAACCTATGTAACTACAGAACTATAATTCACCTTCATTTAATATTTTTGTTGTCATGCATTGCAACATCTCTTTATTTATTTATTTGGCTTTTACACTACTTTCATTTGAGCAGTCTCTAAGCAGATGGCAGGGCAATAATAAACCGAGTCCAACATACGGGATGCAATATGTTGAAATCGGCCAACAAGAAAAGTTGACCTCTTCAGCCATTTCCTCCTGGCTGGCCAGGACCACCTCAGGCCACAAGGTTACTCCCCCCAGCACAAGCCTGAAACCCTGAAGGTCAACAGAGACTCCTGAAAGCAGAGCACTCCGTGGGGCCATTTGCCAAAGAGGGAGAGAAGGGTGGCCAGCTTAATTTACGTGACTCACTCTGGACCCACCAGGGGTGTGGAAGAGGCTCAAAATGCCTTCAGTCAATGGAGGGGGGGGGCTCGTGGGCAAAACCCCCCTGAATTGGCTCCATGCCCCCCCCCCCCCCCCGCTCCAGTCTAAACTCTGTTCTCCAAGCAGCTCCCCCCTTCACTGAACCTCCTCCATGCTGGCTCCACTTGGAGGGTGGCAGAAGGACATTTCCCATTAATGGAGACTCAGCTGGGATTCAAGCCAGGTTTCTCAGGTCCAGATTTAAGAGCCCCCCAAAATAAAGAGTATTCCTTTCCCACAAGCCTGCATAATGAAAGAAGCAACTCAAAACTCTGGCTGCTCCTTCCCCCACCTCCCGGGTCCCATTTGTTTCGGAGGGAGGGGCAGGCAGTATTCCAGGCGGGAGCCCCATGCCAAGAGCAGCGTTCCAGGAAGTCTGCTGGAATAACTGAGTCACGCTTGCCATGGGAGTTCACAAGCAATTTAACAAAAGGCACAGAAGGATCCAGTCAACCACTTACTTATCAGTTGGGTTTCAAGACACACGAAGAGGCTCTGCCTCAATGAAGTTACTTCCAAAACTTACCGTGTGGTAATTGATCATCTCCTGGAGGCTGTCGGAGAACTTTGTCAAGCTGCCCTAAAAGGGGGAAAAGGAGGGATGAAAAGCAGCACCCAACTGAACAGGGACAGCATTTCATTCTGAAAATGCGGCACCCGAGGGGCTCCCTCCCACGCCTCCAACCCCCCAGCATCCAGGCTTCACAGCTGCACTTGGGACCAGGACGCCAGGGACTCACCAGGAGGTCGGAGGCCCCCCAGTGACACTGAGGGATGAAGAAGCAGCTGTGCCCTGCCTGAGAATCTGAGGAGCCAAGGAGAGGCTGACCTAACCTGACCACCCTGGAGCTCAGCTTTTCCCCCTCCTGGGCTCAGCCCCTGGGCCTTACCTCCACCAGGTCATCCTTGCTCGAGTAATGGGCCAGATCCCGGAGGCCGTGGATGAACTGCTTGTTTGCCACACAAAAGGCCTTTCCAGTATCAATCATGGCGATGCAGAGCTTCACCAGCTGGAAGAAAAGAAAAGACCCTCACAGGCCCTGCCTCTGAGAGCCCAGAGCCCAGGGCAAAGCTAGGCCTGAGCAGGGCGGAAGGGGGGCGTGCAGCCCATCCCCAGCAAGGCCTGGGTCAAGATGGGACGCCTGGGTCACTCCCTGCTCCCCTTTTCTTGCCCTTCCGCAATGCTCTCCCTTCTGCATGGCTCCCTTATTTATCCTCCTGGCAAAATCCCAAGCAAGAGATCCTTTGGCATCATCCTGGAAAGCCAAGCTGAACTAAGGTCCTCCCCGTATCTTTGTCTCCCCAGAGAGAGATGACCGAGGGACGTCAAGACCACCCCCTCGGACTGAAGACCCCCAGGGGGCTCACTTCCTGAAGCTCTGCGACACCCCTCCCCCAGAGCTGAGCTTGGCCTTTTACTCCATTCTGGGCTCCAATGCCATTTTCAAGGGAGAACTTCTCCTTTTCTGCCAATTCTTTATTCAGGGGCAACAGTGACTCATCCATCTGCCAGAAAGGGGAAGCCAAGGCCCAGCTAAGCTTCATTTGCAAGAGAGCTGCAGGCAGAGAGCGAGAGAGAGCCTTGCTCCCCCACCCCACCCGAATGTCTCAGACCTGGTCCAGCTCTGACCCATCTCGCAGCCTGAGGGCACCGAGTGAATGCTCCTCTGCTATAGGGCCGGGCAAGGGCAGGGGACAGGCCAGGCAGGAGGACGGCTCTGTGGCCACTGAACTAGATCGATTGGGGACTGACCACATACACTTTGAGGGCGCTTGGAGATGCCTTCAGAGGTGGCCAGCCAATCTGGGGATTCCCGTACTCATCCCCCCCCCCCCGCCCCGCTTTCAAGAAAGCTTTATTTGACACATTTCACTCTGCCAGTTCAGGAAGATCCCTCACCACCCCTGTTCATTCTTTTGTGGATTTTAAAGTCTAATTATGTCTCTCTTCAACATCTAGAGGATTTATTTTTTAAAACGTTGCAGATTTACAATCCTTTTTAATATTTAGACTGACTACATACATTAGTCGTACTGGATAACAACAAGATGTTTTAAGAGCTGTTGGGGGCCGTGACCCTGCCTGTCATGGTCATCAGAGTCTCTCTCCCACCCACCCACCCACCCAGCAGAAGCAGCCCAGATGAGATCCTCAGTCAACCAGCAGCCACCAGCCGTCCATCAGAATCCAGGACAGCCCCAGAGTTGAATAAAGCTGACAAATGGCCTCTCTCCATGGATTTCTGAATAGTGGGTCAGTGTCTTATTGTTGGACTGCAATATTGCAGTTCGCTTGCTCCTGAACGACCCCAATCAGCCACAAACCCTCCATGCCAGGGGAGGAATGGCAGGGAGGGGAGGCAGGAACAAGCCAGGGGCCAAGGCCAGTCAGTGGACAACAAGCAGCAACTTGGCCCAGGCCCAAAGCCATTTCAAATAGAAGAGAGGATGTCCCAATTAACTCCTATACATCATTCTGTATATACGCCAGACAAACGCTGACAGGTTATGGCCATAATTGGGAAGACGCTCAGCTTCTCCAGCTGTGTGGGACTCAATATCCCTCTTGGAAACTGTACAGGGTAGTTCAGCACCTGATGGGGTCACTGGAGCAGGTGCAGCCTAGATACTTCGGTAAGGGGAGGCAGGCAAAAATCTCGACCATGGCCGCCTCCCGGATGAAACAGAGCAAAGTGGGATGGACGATTCCACCCTTGGACGGATTTGCCACCGGCGAACAGCCTATCACCCGAGAGCAGTCTATAAGGATCCACACTGACAGACAAGGAGGGGCCAGCAGTGTAACAGGGCTCTGTCCTGGACCTGGTACTCTTTGACAGGTTTATAAATGGGAGACAAAACCCTGACTTCCCTGATTTCCCTACCGACTTCTCTGTCTCTTGACCTCGAATGACACCTCCTCTTCCCACTCGGTGTCACCCAGCTGAGCGCAGGGCAGCCCCTGGAACAGCCCACCCACAACTGCAAAGCCTCTCTGGACCAACTCCTGGGGCCAGAATGAAGGCACAAGCTGCCGGAATTTCTGAATGCATTCCACTAGAACAATTAATGAATGGAACAACTTGCCTCCAGAAGTTGTGAATGCTTCAACACTGGAAGTTTTTAAGAAGATAGGGTTTCCTGCCTAAGCAGCGGGTTGGACTAGAAGACCTCCAAGGTCCCTTTCAACTCTGTTATTCTGTATTCTGTTATTCTCACTCTCTCCAGACAGTATAAATCAGGTGCCAAAGCAGGGCAGAACTCTCACCAATCTTTTCTAAGCTTCCTAGAGTTTAAGAGTGGACTTTTTGGCAGTATGACTGGCACCGCTGCCAGGTCGCTTACTTCTTGTCATGTCTGAGTGGTGGGATCTAAAAGCCCTGCCACCACTGAAAAAAAGGACAGCTTATCCAAGACTTGTAAGCAGTACGGAAAGCAGAAGTGGGGAGAAACTCCCTTGGAGGCTGCACTTCCATGGGCCTGGGCCATAGGGGAAGCCTCTGTCTGTCTGCATTTACCTCCAATCAGACCTCCAGCTGGCCTGCAGGAAGCCCTGGGTAGGTGGGGAGACAAAGACTACCCAGAACAGAAAAGACAAAGCTCAGTACAAAAGGGCAAGACAAACGCCATGACATGCTCCTCCAGAACCTTGGCCCAGGCTGCACCTCCTTCACCCCTGGGGTCCTCACACCTTTTTCTCCTGCACATAGGAGAGCAGCGACCCCCAAGGGGCAGAGCAGCTGCTGGAGGGCAGATCTCACAAGCTGGAGGGAGGCATCATCAACGTGCAGAAGACAACAAACGTTACTCAAGTGTCGCCACCCTGCACCAGCCTGGAAATGCAGAAGTCTTGAGCAGCTGCTCACAGGCCGAACAGGCTCAGGCTAAAACCAAGTGGAGCGGAGTGGATAGTAATCCTCAGGTGGTTCCGGTTTGGTCCTTGAGAGACTGTGTCCTGTGTGAAAGAGTAGCTTTGCACTCGCAGCTCCTGCACAGCTATCAGGATGGAAATTGTGGCCAGGCGGCCTTTGCCTGGCTGCAGCTGGTGTCCCAGTTGTGGCACCTTCCTGGAATGGAACTCCTTTCTTCAGTCACTTACGCTACCCTTTGATTGGAGCACCATAACACATGCTACACGAGGCTGTCCTTGAAGGCCATACTTACCTACTCTGCAAGAACAGGCAGAGCCTTGCTGGATCAGCCCCTTGACTCATCTAGTCCAGCAGGGTTCTCACACCACTTGCACAAGAGAGCCCACACTAGCTTCCCAGCTGGCAGCTTTCAGAGGCAGTTATGCTGCAAGGCCAATAACCACTGATCCCCATGACACCCTTGAATGGGCCTAACTGAAACGTATCAACCTGTGTGTTTATAGATCATACTTATTCCTGTCACATTTATTTATTTATTTATTATTCAAATTTCTATACCGCCCTTCTCCTTTCGGACTCAGGGCGGTGAACAGCCAAGATAAAAACATCTATACATAACATCACAGTTAAAAATAAAGTTAAAATAATTTATAAATTTGGCCCATAATTTAAAACTTGTCAATTAAAATCAATATTAAAATTTTAAAACTAACCCTAAAATCAAGACAGACCGGCTAACTGAAAAAAATAAGTTTTTAGGGCCTGACGAAAAATCCGGAGAACGGAGATCACTCGTATCTCTGGGGGTAGATTGTTCCATAGGGTAGGTGCCACCACAGAGAAGGCTCTCCTCCTGGGGGTCGTCAGCCGGCATTGTCTGGCCGACGGCACCCTGAGGAGGCCCTCTCTGTGGGAGCGAACCGGCCGATGGGAGGCTATTGGTGGCAGAAGGCGGTCCCGTAAGTACCCTGGCCCTAAGCCATGGAGCGCTTTAAAGGTGATCACCAACACCTTGAAACGCACCCGGAAGTCCACCGGAAGCCAATGCAGCTTGCGCAGAAGAGGAGTCACATGGGAGCGCCCCGTCGCTCCCATAATCCCCCGCGCAGCCGCATTCTGCACCAGTTGGAGCCTCCGGGTGTACCCCAAGGGGAGCCCCATGTAGAGAGCGTTACAATAGTCCAGACGAGAACTGACGAGTGCTATGGAAGGTATAATGTATCACCTAGGAAGCCCTATATGGATTGGAACCTAGGCTTCTTCGGCATTGCCCAGTCCATATAGAATCTGTCCACTGAGAACGTGCTAACTAAGAGGGTCCCCACATATGGAGAAATTCAATTTGGAAATGAGAATTCCTTGGAGGGGCTACCCTCCATGCATGGGCCTCATGTGAGTTCAGTTACATTTGTGTTAATTGTTGCTTTGCTATTGCTGCTTTACTACAAGTACCAAAGAGATGATCCAATTGAACTGTAATTGTGGACATCAATAAACCAAGCACCTTGTATCCATTATTTAACTGGATGGGCACCAATTTTATGGGCGAAGATCTTTGTTTGCAAATACTTCCCACAAATGGCACTCAAGATTGAACAGCAATAAGAAGGCAAGCTTTGAGATATGTCAAGAATAGGTTGCAAGAATTCTAAATGAGGTATGGAAGGTATGAAACAAGGTCTGCCCTCTGACCATAAGCAGATACTGGTCCTGCCAGCATACAACTTGCCAGAAAGGGGTTTCCATCTATCTCGTGGCAAACGGGATTGCCAACCTGGCTAGCTATTTCATGATGCTTCATCTCAGCCAACCTTCTTTCCAAAAGAGGATTCACAGAAGAAAACACAACCGATACGTGCCAAAGGGAGAGGCTGAGCCCAGCACATTCATTTGAATACAGAGGCTTTAAGGCCCAGAATTAAAGGGAGTCACAACGCTGAAAGAAAAGCAAAGGTGGGTGGACTATCCGGTTGGGCTCAGTTGCCCCCAGCGGGCAAGGGGATGACACCCCCCCCCCCCCGACTGAGTCCCAGAGCATCCTGAAGGGACCTTTCAGGAGGGGCGCCTGAGTCAGGTTTTCTCACCTTGTCCAGCTTCAGCTCAAGCTCGGTGACGTCTCCTTCCACATCTTCTAGGGCAGCCCTGCAAGATGAAACAGGAGGTTCCACAAGGATCCATTTGTGTCGTCTTCCTTTCGGAAATTCCCACTTATTAACCACCGAGGAAATTGTTTAGAAGGGAATCTGAGCTTTCTAAGCGAAGGGCCAAGAGACGGAGCCTTGGGGAGCCCTGGAGATGGCCAGGCATGTTCCCTCCATGGCTTGGGTACCACCAACGCTCCTCCCTTCACAAGGACGTGCCGACTCCTGGCCTTCTGCTTCCCGGTGAAGGGCTTTCAGAAGCAAAGGAGCCGGGGCTTCAGCAGCAGATTCTTGTCTCGGGCCTTCTTCCTCTCACCCCCTTTGGGAGACGCCCCGATTTCGAGGGTGGGGGCCCCGGCGGGGGCGGGGAGGGACCGGGGCGACCCTTGCTCGGAGCCTTTGGGGCCTGGGCGTCGGTGCGGCTGACCCTTCGGATCCCAGCCGGGGCGACTCCGAAGCAGCGACGTTTCCCACAAAAGAAAGCGGCCCAATCGGCGCTCCGGGGCCCGTGCCGTGCCGCTGAGGAACCGGGGAACGCCGAGGGTCCTCCAGTCGCTCCCCTCGCCCCGAGCGGCCCCGAAGGAAAGCCCCCCCCTCCCCCCAATCTCCTCCTGCAGCCTCGGCGCAGGACTGGACGGCACGGGGCTCTCTCTCCGGGGGAAGCGCGAGCAGCGGCGCCGCCAAGCCAGACGCTGCCCGGGAAGGGAAGGCGCCTACCGGAAGCGGGGCGAGTCCTTCAGGCATTCCTCGAAGTCGACCGTCACCCGCATCCCGAACGGCCGCGTCCTCGCTTCCGGCTTCACGGGACTGGACGCGGGGCGACAGAGGCTGCCCCGCCCACCAAGGAGAGGGCGGGGGCCTGCCGAGCCAATCCGGGCCGCTGAGCCGAGGGCTTCCGAACGCCGCCCTCTCAAGCCGTGACGGGCGTCGCCGGGATCCAACCGCGCGAGAACCCCCCCACCCCTGTGCGCGAATCCTGGGCCGTTTAGGGACGACTGCCCAATGAGCTTTGTCCAAAGCGCCGCCAATCCACGAGGAACGTCGTCGACGGCGAGGAGGCGGGACCCGCAGCTGGACTTCAATTTCCGTCGGCGACCTCGGCCTGCCCCCCGCCCGCCCGCCCCAGCTGCGCCTCGTTCACTCGGTCGGGCTCGGCTTTCAGCCAAAGCAGTCGGGACGCACCAGCCCCGAGGGCTCCCTTCGGTCTCCGGCGACGGCCTCTCTCCACTCCCGCGGCCCGAGCACGGGGAGGGGAGAGGCGCCCAGGCCGGGAGGCAGGTTGCAGCTTCCTTCTGCGCTCTGGGTCAAGGACGCCAAACGGGGAGAGCCAGAAGCTGCGGGTGTGTGGTGGGTGGGTGTGGCGGCGGCTCTCTGGCCCCGCACCTTGAGACCTTAGCCGAGAGTTCCGTTTGCTTCTCTTGCATTGTTTCCATGGCCGTGTTAACGTTTTGGTGTCTCAACTGAACCCTTCTATTGTCAACTATGAAGAGATGTCAAGACAAGGTGTCAGAGTTGCCTCGCAGCAACACATTTAATAAACAAGGTAAATCCAGAGGCCAACACCAGAAAACTCTGCTTCCTCCCCACAAAGGGACCCGCCAGGAGTGCTGGGGCTAGGGTAGTGAGGATAGGAGCCTCCAGGATGATCCTGGAGCGGCAGGGGCCAGAGGTAAATCAAGAGGGCGCCTGGAAGCCAGCCAGCCAGGTCTTACCATGGTGGCCTCCGTTCAGGCCCACGGCTCCCAAGGCACAAGACTAGAGTTCCAGCCAGGGATCCAGGAATACGGTTCATTGGTGCCGAGCATCAGAGCCAGGTCGCCATATGGGGATTCTGTCACCGTTTCGGTCAAGTCGCGTGCCCCAAGGAAGATATTCACCTGATCTGCTTGTTGCAAAATACACTTGGTGGATTCTTTACTTTAATAAAACAGTTACATGGAGGAAACAAGCCAGTGAAATGGAATCCAGAAGTGAAGGAACAAATTCAGTAGCACAACACAGGTGTTTTCTAGGCAACTTCAGCTTGTCAGAACATTCCAAATCTTTTTACAAACATTAGCTGACCAACAGATGCCCCTCTCTCTTCCAAGGCTTAAAAAGTCCAAGTCTTAAGAAAATCACAAAGGCCAGTCAAACTAAAAAACAGCTGTTTGATTCAGGTTCATTCACGACATAGGGAGGGTGGAGAGGTTACCAAAAAGAGACCACAGGGCAACAGAGGGCTGTGGGAATGCTGCCTCTTCTAGTTAAGAAACAAAAGCAGGTAGCTGTGCACTCTGTCTGTGCTGCCACACCAGTGTCTCCTCGGAGAGAATCTCTATGCTGCTTATCTAGAGAGAAGGAAAGCCAGCAGGCAACATGGGGATTGTTCAGGGGGGGTTGAACCTGCTTTCATTTTCTAGAAGCTGGCAGACCCTTCAACAGCGTGGGAAGGCACCCTGAAAAGCAGAGAGGCCTGATGGAAGAGCCCCCATGCAATGCTCCCGATCCTGGCCAACTCAAATGGAAAAAAAGCTATAGCAGCTACTGAGACAGGCTGATCGTCTCTCACTGCAGCTGGGAAAGCCATCCAACTGCTCTTAGCCCTTCAGCAGGCAGGCAAGGCCTGCCTCTCAGAACCCGCTCAAGTCTGCAGGAAGGGAAGGGAAAAAAGGCTGTAAAAACACTCTTCCATTAATCCCTTTTGCCAAGGGGCTCGTTCTTTTCCTAGCTGCAGTATAGCACAGTAGCTGCAGTATAACATCAAACCCTTACGGGGACATTTGTATGTAACTCAAATACTACAGCATGATAAAAGAGAAAACAAAGCTTTCAGATGTTCTGCAGGTTCAAATCAGAAAAAGAAGTGACACCAATTGCCTCGCTCACTGGCATTGCTCCACGCTGTGTTCTTCAGCAGATGAGCAATGAAACCATCTTCTGTGACCACCAGAACCAGCCACATCAGCAACATTTTCATTGCGAACAAAACCTTGAGATCATCACCATTTTCGTCAAATATCAAAGTGCAAGCCAACCTGTTGAAACAGACCTGCAGAAGGGTGATGTGGCAAGGAATACAAAAGGGTGACTGGGAGCTGTTACAGTCCTGAGCAGACTTCTTCCAGGCTGTGTGCAATGTTCTCAAGCGGGTCGCTAGGAGCAGGTACTGTGGGGGGAAAAAGAGAAGTGGGTGGTCACAGCAGGCAACACAAGGCACCCCAGCGGCAGGACAGGCACTGGTCATCTCTGAAGCAGACCCAACGGGCTCACTAATGGCACGGAAGCCTGATGGGCTTTGGAAAAAACACACATTAAGTTTTAACGGCACATTCCTAGTTTTTGAATACTTAATACTTGCTGTGGAAATCAACAATTCCATAGACTTATCAGTTCTTCATGTGCCCATTCCTGAAATGAGATGGAGTATCTGGTTTTCTGAGAGCAAACTTAGCATCTCTAAGGTCACGTCCTGCCCTTCACAACAATATCACTATTCGGGACTTTCAGGCTCTCAGTGGGGTTAACTGCTACTCTAGACAATCCTAAATGGCAAACGTACAACCCACCACCAATGTCTGCTGTTGCCAATCCCACAATCCTGACCCCCACGTGGACAAATGCACTGGGATGAAAAGTGCTGGCCTATGCGAGATTCTGCTTTGATTTACTACCCTGAAGCACAAAGGAGGCCCGGCCCCTGCAGGCAGAGCATGGCAGGATCGCCTTCAGTGCTCCACTGTGGAAAGCAGAGACTGGCTCAGACGCAAGAGGCCCCCCGAGGCCTAGACAGAGACTGCGATACGAGAGACGTCTCCGCTTTAGTATTTTTCTTGAACATTTTTTTAAATCCCAAAATTCAAGATATCCATTCATATATGCTGTGCATATATGCTAAGTACAGAGAGCAAATTCCATTTGCTAACCAATTACATGTGGACTATTTATCTTTGTGGTCTGTCACCTACAGTCACCAGTGATTGCTCCAAGGAAAAGGAAGATAAATGCTTTGATTCCAGAAGAGAAAAAGGCTTTTAAAAGGCGCACTGGAGCCTGTATCCCTGAGCTCTCTCTAGAAGCGTTCAGAGGCAGCAGAAGCCGAGGACCCTTGCCCAACTCACACCAGGAGTTAATGAGCAGAAGCCTCTGACATCCAGAGAGGTGGGACCCCAAATTCTGGACTAATCAGTAGCTTGCCAGCAACTGTGAAGAGGCTGCAGGTGGACAGGGGTTCTCCTCCTGACACTGAGACCTGGAGAAAGAATAATTCTGCAGCTAGAGAGGCAGAGCGAGGAGAAACAAATATCCCCATTTTTAACTGCCGGGGGCAAGAGTGGAAGAGAAAATTAAAAAAACCCCTGGATTTTGTTTAGCTGCAATTCTCACAAACTCCACTGCCGTGGCCAGTGGTGAGAGGTTCTTGGAAGGTGTAGGGGGCTTCTGTTCAGCCCTAGCTAGTCCGAGTGGTTGTTGGTTTTAGGTACTCCGCGGTTCAGTTGTCTGCCATCTTTAAATCTGGACGGAGTGGTGCTACTCTAAACCAATCAGGGGCGCAACCTAGGAGTTCTCCTGGACTTGTGGCTGGAACAGGTGGCAACAACGGCTGGGAGGGGGGGCATATGATATCCCTCATGCACCAATTTTCTTTCCTGGGTGGGTGGTCACTGCTGCCTTGGTCATCTCCAGAGGGGGCTGTTTTTGCATTTCACATGAAGCCACCCCTGAAGAGCAGCTGGAGGCATTAGCTGGAGCAGCCCAGAGCCACGTGGGCAGTTGTGAGAGTGTCTTGGTATGCTCACGTTACATCTCTACTCCGCGAGCTGCACTGGCTCCCCGGGGGCTTACGAGGCAATTCATGGCTTGTTGTCATGAGAAAAGCCCTTCACGGGTGGGTTATTAACCTGAAAGAGGCCCTTTCCTTCAAGATCCATCTCTGTTGGCATTTTGGAAAGTCTCAATCCCACGGCTGTTTTCCTGGGAGGTTAAATGGAGCCCCTGAGATGGATGCTGTTTGTAATGTCCATTGTCTGGCTGCTGCTAAGTGTGTAGTCGTTATTATTGCTGTTGGTTTCAGTGAGTTTGATTCAACCAGAGTTGCTATTTCAAGATAGCCGTACGTATCATTTTACTGAAATAGTTTGGCAACTTTTGAAGGTTCCTGATGAGCTGGAACCCAAAGACCCCAAAGAAAACCTCTAGTCCCTTCTCCACTCTTAGATGAAGTGTAAACAAAGATCTCGCCCAAAACCAGCATGGTCAAGACTGGGAATGTTTCAAGGAGACATCAGAGTGCTAAGATTTATGAAAAGTTCAGTACTTTGGATTTTAAGTTGCATTTTTAAAGTCTTGTTAGAGCAGCTGAATTCTATGATATAATTGGGGCCGGCAGCCAGATATTAAACATTTAAACACTTGTAAAAGACAGAAAATCCAAGAAGCCATTTCTGGCAGACTTGTAACAAAGGCTAGTAGCCTTTAGTTCACAGGGTCACCTGAGAAAATCAACAGTTATTGATCATGAAAAGCCCACTGAGACACAAAATGGAAGGCTGCTATCAAAAAAATAAATAAAACTGGGTCTTTCTGTCCCTGTCTAGAAGAGGCAGGTGGGGGTCCCACTTCTACTGAGAAGCAGGAGGAGGAGGAAGTTCCCAATCTTTCCCTGTTGGTTACTCAGACTGAGTCCACCTTTGGTGTCACGTCCTCCCTAAGTGCGGCTGAGTTTTGCACACCGGCCGCTGCCGAAGGCCACCCAAGAACCCACTGGGAATGTCTCCCCAACACTAACTTGGCTTCCCCACAGGTGCAGGCTAAGATTGCCCGCTGCCCAGAGGAGCTTATCTTTCCTCGGCTTCCTTCGCACTGAAAACCGTGGGCTGCTCCACTCTCAACTTCTTCCCTGCCTGCTATCTGAGCTTTTTCTTACACCTTTGTGATTCAAGGACACTTCTAGTTCCGTTTGCAAGAATGCTGACAACAAATGAGAAGTTTAGCTGATAGACTATGGGTGCAAATTTATGCAACTAGAGGTGGGCGACACTGGACACCCAGGTTTTCTTTTGAATCCCTCCGACATTCACCATTCTTGGAACTTCAAAGAGAAGCGGTCAATTTATTCAGGTGAAGAACAGCCCAGCCAAGAGAGCATCTTGGGGGAGAAAGCTCTTTCCCTCTCCAACAGGGACCCTGGGGAGGAAGGGGGGCCCCCCTGGGAGACACCAACAGGCTCAAAGGAAGCTGATGCAGAAGGAGACACTCTGCTTCTGGCATGCTGCTGCATCTGGAATGCAAATACAAAGGGGAAGGCGCATTCAGAAGGCAAGCCCACCAGCAGCTCTGGCTAACGGCTCGTCTGCACCACCTCGGAGCACTTCCAGGCAGAAACTGAAGCTTTCCTGCAAACTGAGATATAACAAGGGGGGGAAAAGCCAGAAGAGCTAACTGTCTACCTTTCCCTCCACTGTTTCCTTTCCAGCTCAAGGAGGAAGTTCCCCTGGAAGGGACAAAGGCCACTGGGAAAAGATGGGACGTGCCAGCAAGCAGACATCAAACCAAGGCTTCTAACACGACGTGGCACAAACCAAGAAGCTTTTCCACACTGCACAGAATCTGAACATGTGGCGCGAGGTTCCAGGGCAGCGGCCGCAGCAGGGAGGAAGGGTGACCAGCCCAACCATCCAAGCAAAAAGGACTTTCCCCGTGAGTCCCAGGGCTCACCTGATTCTGTGCCTGTTTTACACTCATCCTGCATCTCATCCTCATTGTCCTCGTCTTCTTCCTCATTCTCCTCACAATCCTCCTCCTCTTCCTCCTCCTCCTCCTCATCGGCAGCCTCGCCGTGCATTTCCTTTGCGATCAGCTGCCTGGCCAGCTTGATGTTCTGTGCTTCGTTGTAATGCATTTTCCTCTTCATTTCAAACTGCCTCTTTTTCTCTGTACCAGGAGAAACAGAATACGCAACATAACACACACGAATACACATCAGCCACAAATTTCACAAGTTTCATTCCATTCCACACACATGAAATCGAGCGCAATCAGATTGACTGGGGGATCTCTGCTAAGTCACCCTCACATTGCAGGGATGACTACGAGCTAGGTTACATACAACAAGGGTTGCCTGCTTTTGGATACCTGCCTTTTCTCCCACCTGAAAAGCTACCGGGGTGGGGGTGGGGGGTAGAGGGAGCAAAAGAGCCCTTCATCAAACCCAAAACTTGAATTTTGTTTCCCTCAGCCCTTGCTGACTTATGCAGAGGCCAAACAGACCAGTTGTCTTTGTAACACTGATGTAGAGCCACCAGAAGAAGAAAAATATCTTGGGCCTGGAAAGAAGGCAGAGGAGAGCCAGTCCAGTTGGTCAGAAGCCACTGAACTATCCGTGTTGCTTTGCATATATGCAAGAATCACAGAACCTTTTGGGGTTTTTTTTGAGATACAAGGGGAACGCCACAGAGAAGACACACCTGCGCTCTCGCTCCCTCCCCTGCAGCGACCAAGGCGCGGGACACAAGAGCAGGGACCAGGCACAACCACTACAGGAGAAGGCAGGCCAAGAGGTCCTGCCATATTCTTAAGACCCTGTCAAGCCCAATTGGCCATTTCTCTGGCTACGTAGGGACCGCAATAAGAACACAATCCGTTCCAGCCTGTCCTTTCCAGGGGAGCTCTTACTCACGGCGTCTCAGCATTGATCTAGTGCAGGGATGGGCAATTAATTTTCCCAAGGGGCAACCTGGGACTGTTGTGGAGGGCCGCCAACACTGCACACATGCCTTGCCCTCTGCTGCTCCCCCTCAAGGTTGGACTGAGACCATCTATGGGCTGGATGTGGCCCAGTGTCATAAAATGCCCAGGTCTGGTCTAGTGCTATAAAACCACAAAGCCACACCTACCCAATTCTTCCGGGGTCAAGTCTACCTCGTCATCCTCATCATCATCACTGCTGTCATCCTGCCTTGCCAGGATTTTGGGGCCCTGCCCTTGTGCTGCAGCTGCCAACCTGCAGCGAGAAAATGGAAGAGCTGAGCTGAGGCCGCCTGCCCAAGACCTGGTGGGGGGAACAGGGGATGGACGGATAGGGAGCCGACTTCCCCAGAGGAGGATGGGAACAGGGGTCTCCTGGCAGATACGGGCAATGAGGGGACAATGGAAGTTGAGTAAATGCCATTTTCCCACCACAAGGAGTTCAACCGTGGATTTAGTTCAAGCTGTGCTAAAAGTAAACAGGAGAACTCTGGAGAGGAACCCACGGTTAAGGATCTGGGAGGAGCCCTGAAGCCTCTCTGGCAGCTGAGGGGGAACCCACTCAAAAATGTTTCAGTTCCTCCCCACTATTCCCAGGCATACCAGTCAAAATAGGAAGCCACTTTGGAATTAAAACTAAAAAATCTTATGCATTTTGTTTAGCATGAATATTAAGAAGTGTTGGTCACGCAAACAGCATTGTACGTAGGATTTAATTTGTTCAGAATTAGAAACTGCTCATTGCTTGTCAGACAAAAAATCCTGTAGCACTAAGAAGCTGCTGCCGCCTTCATGAGACGGGAAGAGGGAGGTCTCCTCTTGCCAAGAATTTACAAAATGTCACAAAGAAGAGATAAAAAAACCCAAAAACATTGTGGAGGGTACTCGGGTTCTCCCCCCCTCCCCTTTAATTTAGAACTGAAGTCACCGAAGAGATTTATAGCTTCATGGCATGGACACCCACTTGCTACGGACCTTATGGAGGAATAAAACATGTTGCTAACAATACTCCTACCTGGAGATCCCGAATGTATCTGCATACAATTCCTGGGTAAAGCTCATAATTATTTCTGTATTTCATGCAGGATTTCTTTACAAGTACGTGTTTAAATAGCATAATTATGTACATTTTCATTGTTAAATTCCCTGGAATTAAAAGTCTGCCAAGAGGTTTCATTTAGAAAAATGAATGGCGCTATGCAAATTTAATAAATATCCATTATCCCATTTCTCCAAAAGAACATTGGGGGAGTTAACCTTTCTGGAAATTTTCATCTCTATGCTTTTAAAAAATGAAAATTCTTTTTTATATAGTATATAGATTACAACAAACAGAAGCGATTTCCAAGGAATAAACCGGTGTACACAACTCTAGACAGAGCCCAAGCGTGTTCCCAGCTTAAGGAAAACTCAGGGAATCAGAACCACAGGCAGCTGTCCCACAAGGTAGGTGCAGCTACTGAGAAGCTCCCACAAGATGACCAGGCTTTGCGACTGGGACAAGAAACATGCCCATGCTTCCAAATCTTATTTCTTTGATATAGCAATACTACCTTATTTTTCAGCAACACAGACATGCAAGGGTCATGAACCCCAGCTCTTGCAGTGTATGAAAGGTGACTTCCAAAAGCTCAGGCATGGGTAAAAATTCAGAAAGAAAAATTTTCAGATTCTGAAGTCAAAACATTTTCAAATGGGAAAGTTGAGACCACCCAGTTAAATCCACAGGGTTACACTGAAAAGACAGATGGAAGGAGAGACATCTAACCAAGGAGGAGTTCAATATGGTTGTATCTCAGACAACAGGTGAGAGGCCAGGAAAAAAGTTGTCCCCATGTTGAATCAACATAAGACGTTGGACCAGAAAATTGCCACCCAATCTGCTTGAAAACCACACTTTGTGAAATTTTGTGGAATAATTAAGTAGATATCCATAAGTATCTGGAAAAGAATGCACTGAGAACTAGCAGCCAGCATAAACTCAGAAGCAGCTCTTCCAAACCCTCTCCCTCTTTTTCCAGAGTCATATTCTTTTCCTGATGCCTTCAAGGCCGTGTTGACCTGGAAATGTCCCAGCACTTTTTGTTAGCAGGATTCCAGAATTGGTTTGCCTCCTTCCTAGTACTGAGAGGGTATGACTGGCCAAAGATCATCCAGCTGGCTTGGTGCCTAAGCAGGACTAGAACACAGTCTCCTGATTTTTAGCCTGATGTCTTAACCACTACTTTGGTTAAGAGTCAATTACAAAAGCACAACAAACAAAATAGGCCATGGCTGAGAAGTAGCTTAGAGCCCACTATTCCCTGAATGCTTCTTAAGAACAAACTTGAGCACTCTCTCAAGCCTTTGCTTACCTTGTGTGGTCAACATTTTTCTAAAGACCAGGTAAGGGAGCAAAGAGCCACTTGTCAAATCTGCAAATGCAGTCATCAAATGCCATCAGAGAGAAAATCAGAACTCCCAAAAGGCAATGTTCAACAAAGAGTTGCACAGCTTTCAAGATAAAAAAACAGGGATGCAAGGGCAGGCAAATAAGACAGCTGATCATGTGATAAATGTGAACCTATCATGCAATGTGATAAATTAGAAAAAATGCAGAACTGAAATAAAATTTCACATACACCAGAAGGCCATAATGATACATATATGCAGCCTGCTATTAAGGCCTACCGATGCCTGTTGGCAAGAGGAGACAAACAAGAGACCTTGCACACAAGCACACTGTTTGTTTATAATTAGAGTGCACAAGACGCACCACACCACATCCCTGGGCATTCGTTTTATTCTGTGGGAACCCCGTCTGTCTCATTACCAGGGCTTCTTTTTTAAGAGCATTGGAAGCAGACCCTTAGAACCATCAGGAAGACGAATGGATCAGACATTGGCAGCCTGGCTGGGTGCAGCTGGGTTAAGAGAGCATTCAGACGTGGCGGAGTCTTCAGAGATCTGAAAGAACTGCATCCAGGAAAAGGAGAGCATTCTGCACCGCAGAGTCTACCCAGAACAAGGAACTCAACCTCAAACGAGGGTTTTTTAAAACTGCCCCACTAAAGAAGATAGATATGCCTAAATGAAGGTGGTTGAGGACAACCCCACATAGGTGCTCAGGGAAAAAGGACGGGGCTTTTTAAAGTAAAAGGATGAGTATCCTTTTATGGATACTTACGCCTTTCATCTAGGATGAAGATGTCTAAAAGAGGATTTTCAGAAAGAAGGGACAAAAGAGATCTAATCAAAGCCATGGAGAACTCTTATAAGCATTAAGGCCTTCAATAAGATGGGCAGCCATGTAAGTTTGATTAGTAAATTTATTTTATATTTCATATTCCTTAACTGCCCATCTCAAGGCTACCCTTGAAAAGTGTTCGGAGACTACAGTTGGTCCAGAATGCAGCCGCACGAGTTATAGTGAGTGCACCTAGATACACCCATATTACACCAATTCTGCACTGGCTCCCTATCGGTCTCCGGGCGCAATTTAAGGTGTTGGTTTATTACCTTTAAAGCCCTACATGGCTCAGGGTCAGGCTATCTTCGAGACCACCTTCTACCACATAGCTCCCAGTGACTGGTAAGATCCCACAGAGTCGGTCTCCTCTGGGTCCCGTCAGCTAAACAATGTCGGCTGGCGGGCCCGTTGGGGAGGGCCTTTTCTGTGGCTGCCCTGGCTCTTTGGAACCAATTACCTCCTGAAGTCCGGACCGCCCCCACCCTATTGACCTTCCAGAAAGCGGTGAAGACCTGGCTCTTCCGGCAGGCCTGGGGCCATTGATCTCGTTATGGTGATCTTGCGAGACCCGGCCACAAATTGGAGTGTATGTGTTTTAACATTTTAATGGTTTCTTTTAACTTTTGTATGGGATATTGTTGCATTGTTTTATTCTCTGTTGTAAACCGCCCAGAGTACCTTGGGAGTGGGGCAGCATAGAAATGCGACAAAATAAATAAATAAATCTCCCTCCCTTCATCAATAAAGTTGATAAATAAAATCAAGATGTTTCTTTTGAATAAGAAGGAATAAAATACTATTCTAGTCAGGAGAGGATCAAGGTGAGAGATTTTCATCAGTTTTGGATCAAGAAGGGAGGAAGAAAGGGCCAAAGCAACCCGTGACCTGCTGTGTGAGCCAGCTCAAGCCATATGCACCACAGGGCTGCCTTGCTTCGCATCCTTCACAAAAATCGCTCCCAAATTTTCGGTGGGAAAGGTGACAGCCATGGAGATCGACCTCACCCCATTCTTGCAGTGAGGACACCCTCCGTCAAGGGCCGGTCCTCGGGCTCTCCTGCCCCAGACACCAGCGAGGCACCAGAGCTGCCCTCTGCCCTTCAACGTCAGTCTGAACAGCCCAAAACATCGGAGTAGAGGCCGCTCCCCTCCGCTCTTAAGCGATTCTGCCGCCAGCCTTAAAGGAGAGGGAGGGGGCCGCCTTCGGGCCCCAGGAGGGAAACCCTGAGCGAGGCCTCGGCAGCCCCAAGCGGGGCCCGGGCTGCGGCCGGTCCCCGTCCCATCGGCCGAGACAAGGAAGCCCCTGGCGAGCGAGGGCCCCGCGCCGAGGCGCCACCTACTTTTCGGCGAGGACGTCCGCCGTGGGCACCGGGCTGTCTTCGGCGTCGCTGCCGGCGTCCTCCTCCTTCAGGCTGCGGGGAGAAGGGAAGCTCGTCGGGGGCTCGATGGGGCGGCGACCCTCCCCACGCGGCCTCTCCCCTCCCCGCTCCCGCACCTGTGGTAGGGAGTGCTGGGCTCGTCGATCTTCATCAGCCCGTAGTCCTTCCCGGGCGGGTGGTAGGTGGCCAGGATGTTCATCTCGTCCCACTTCTGCGTCTTCTTCCTGGCCGGGGATGGGAGGGAGGGAAGGGGGGGGGGTTATTGAGGGGGGCCGTGAGCGAGGAGGGGCGGGCGCCCCCCCCCCCGCCGCCCGAGAGAGAGAGAGAGAGAAGGAGAGAAGGAGAGAGAGAGAGAGAGAAGGAGAAAGAGAAGGAGAGAGAGAAGGAGAGAAGGAGAAAGAGACGGCCCCACCGCTGCTCTCCCCCCTCCCCGCCGGCCCACCCGAGTTCCTCGCCGCGGCTCTCGCTGCTCGGCTGCGCTTGCAGGAGCGGCCTGGTGGGCGGCAGCGGCGACGCCTGCGAGAGAGCCTCGGAGTCGTCCAGGCCTCGCCCCGCGCTGCCTCCGCCGCTGCCGGAGCGGTTCTTCAGGATGCCCTTCACGGGCCTCCCGCCGCCCGCCGAGCCCTTCGCCTCCATCGCCGCCGCTCCCCGGCCCGTACGCGCGCCCTGCGCATGCGCGCTCCGGGCGCCGGCCTGTGTCGTCACAAGGGCGTGGCGGGAGGGGGGCGTCACGCGCGCTTGCCGAACTCGCTTCCGCCCGCCGGGTTCGGGTGGGGGCGGGGCTTGGCGGCTTTGGCGCCGTTGCCGGCCGGCCCGATCCCGACTCCCCGAGAGAACCGTCGGTCGCCCGGAGCCCCGCCCCGGGCTCGGCTGAGGGTCGCCGCCGGTGCCGCCCTTCTCCCCGCGCCCCCCCCCCCCACGGTTCCCGCCTTCCTTTCTTTGGGGAGAAGCCCCTTCCTGCGCCGTTCGCGCGTGGAGCCTTCAACTCCCCCCGACACGCAGCCAGGCGGGCGGGGCGATGATTTCGGGGCCCTCCCGGAGGGGGAAGCGAGCTTTGGAGGAAGGGGCCCCACGAGGTGCTCTGGGTGGACCTCGACTCCCAGAATCCCCCGTCGTCGTCGCCCCCCCCCCCCCCCCGGGCGGGTGCGGGTCTGGGGGGTTGTGGGGGGGTCTGGGGGGGGGGGGGGCACAGGCCGGACCAGAGGGGAGGAGGGGCAAGAAGTGGGGGGCCGCCGCGGGAGAAGTCTCCGGGCAGAGGAGCCGCGGGCGGAGAGGAGGGGGGGGGGCTCCGTCTCCCCCTCACCCGCGAGACCCTCTTTGCCGTCGATCGCCATGGGGAGGCGTCCGTGGGTGAGGGGAGGGGTGGAAGAGGAATCCGGTCTGCCAGCCGGCTTTCCGGTGAGTGACCGGCGTCCTGCTGGGGTGGCCTTTCCCTTTGGCCAGGTGGACCGAGGAGAGCTTGGGTCGTTTCGGGGTCGTGTTTCCGCCGCCCCGCCCTGCCCCGCGGGAATTCTTGGCCTGGCACAGGAGCTGCGGGCACTGCCACCCCACGGCTGAAGAGATGTCAGGCTCGACTGGATAATCCCCCTGGCTCCTGTGGGGAAGGGAGGGCAGGATGCAGCCCAGCAACGCAGCTTCCCCCACCCCCTCATCCCAAGGCTGCTTCTAGCAAAGTCCCTTCCTAATGTTTGTAATAGCAGTGATGTGAGGAGGGGGTGGGATTTGCATCATCCCACCAAAAAGAAACCGGGCTTTCTAGTGTTTTTCTCCTTTTGGCTTCACTTATAAGACGGAACCATTTCAGCCAAACTTCAACATAATAATTCAGCGGTTTTACTAATTGTTCTGCCTTCTTTTGCAATCGACCATAGGCATGGGCCCAGTATGTATGTGCTTCTCTATATTTCTACATCTTGGAACTGCTAGCCAAACTTTTATTTCTCTCAGCAGGTGAATTAGTCCTCCATCTCAAAGAAGCAGAGGCATACTTGTGGGTGGGGAGGCTTTCCTGGCTGGACATCTTCATGATTAGCAGGCGAGGGCCTTGCTCAGTGAGGCAAACCATCTGTTCTGTTGCCCAGGTCATTAATAAATGACTACCTCGACCCTTACCAATTTGGTTTCAGGTGTGGTCACAGCACGGAAACGGCATTGGTTGCCCTAGTAAATTATCTCTGGCGGGCCAAGGATGGGGGTTGTTCCTCCATCCTGGTCCTTCTTGACCTCAGCGGCTTTCGATACCATCAACCATGGTATCCTGCTGCAGCGGCTCAGGGGGTTAGGGATAGGAGGCACTGTTTTACAGTGGTTCTCCTCCTACCTCTCTGGTCGCTTGCAGTCTGTTTGGGCGGGGGGTCAGGGATCCTCCCAGAGGCCCCTCACTTGTGGGGTGCCTCAGGGATCAGTTCTCTCCCCTCTGCTCTTTAACATTAAAGAGTTTAACTCTTTAATGTTAACATCTCTTAACATTTAACTTTAGGAGCCTGGATAGCTCAGCAGACTAATGCATTGTAATTTAACTCCAGCTGTCTGCAATTAGTAAGTTCGAATCTTGCCAGGCTCAAGGTTGACTCAACCTTCCATCCTTTCTAAGGTAGGTAAATTGAGGACCCAGTTTGTGGGGGCAATAAGCTGACTTTGTATAAATATACAAAAGTATGAAGGCTATTGCTTAACACATTGTAAGCCGCCCTGAGTCTCCAGAGAAGGGCGGCATATAAATCAAATTAAAAAAAAAATCTACATGAAACCGCTGGGTGAGATCATTTGTGGTTTTGGGGTGAGGTATCATCAATATGCTGATGATACCCAGCTTTACATCACCCCTGACCACCCTAGGGATGCCCTTTCCGTGATGTCCCACTGCCTGGAAGCAGTGCGAGTTTGGATGGGCAGGAACAGACTCAGACTCAACCCTTCCAAGACTGAGTGGCTGTGGATGCCGGCATCCCGGGATCTGGAGATTCCATCTTTAGTGATCGGGGGAGAGACCCTTACTCCCTCTGATAGGATCCACAACTTGGGTGTCCTTCTGGATTCTCGGCTGTCCTTGGATGATCATCTGACGGCCATAACCAGGGGGGCCTTCGCACAGGTGCGTCTTGTACGCCAGTTGCACCCTTTTCTAGACCGGGATGCCCTCGCCACGGTCACTCACGCCCTCATTACCTCTAGGTTGGACTACTGTAACACCCTCTACATGGGGGTGCCCTTGGGATGCGTCCGGAGACTCCAGCTAGTCCAGAATGCAGCCGCACGGGTAATTACGGGGCTTCTCGATACTCCCGTGTAACACCTCCTGCGTGAGCTGCACTGGCTGCTGGTGGCATTCCGGATTCGTTTCAAGGTGCTGGTGCTTACCTATAAAGCCCTACATGGCTTAGGCCCAGGCTACTTGCAGGACCATCTCCTGCCGCTCTCCCATCGTCCCGTGCGCTCTCACAGAGTGGGCCTCCTCAGGGTGCTGTCGGTCAAACAATGTCGGCTGACGGCCCCCAGGAGGAGAGCGTTCTCTGTGGGAGCCCCGACCCTCTGGAATGGATTGCCCACCGAACTCAGGACAGCCCCCGACCTCCTTTCCTTCCGTCGCGAGCTGAAGACTTGGCTCTTCCGTCAATTCAGCTGATCCATTTGGATGTACACTGTTATAATTTTAAACTTTTAATTGGGGTGTTGATTTTAATTTAATTTAATTTTATTGTGATTTGTATTGGAAATTGTCATTTTGTAAGCCGCCTTGAGTCCCTCGGGAGAAAGGCGGCATATAAATCGCAATAATCAATAAATAATTAAAGATGTTGAATAATGCTGATCTCAAGACAAACCCCTTGGCTTCTGGGCTTCTGACACAGAGGCACCAATGCTGGCCAAGTGGGTTAGCCAGCCAGCTCAGCCTTCCTAAACACACTTTAATGCTGAAATCTCTCAATTTCTGTGGCACCTCAACTTTGCTAACAAAGCAATCACTTTGTTAAAAGAGATTTAAATCTCCCTTGTATGACCTATTTTTGACAAAAATTCTTAGCAATCAAGGTATCTTTTAACTCAGCTCTCTAATGCAGCAACTGGGCAGAACTACATGTTACACCAACATAAAAGAGTGACTGCAAACAATCTGTGGGAGCATGTGGCTTTTTACTTTGCAAGGCTTCCTTCGAAGCTTCTAACTCGACAGGCTTCTCTCCTTGCGGAAGAGCTACGCCACACTTAACAGACCTGCAGAAGATGAAAAGTCCAACATGCCAAAACCGGTGACATGCACTGTACCCAGCTAAGCCGGCTGGACTGGGCTGAATTCAACCTGCAGGCAGTTAGTGGCCCCTGTGTCTCTAGGCCTCTTTCAGCTTGGCAGTCAGCCTCTTGTTTTGGGGAATTGCTGGGGGCTGTTAAACTGGAGGAACCAGTCTCTTCAACCCCGATTCCAGCACACCCAGTTAATGCCTGGAATTAGAGGGTTGGAAGAGATCATAGCGTAGATGAAGAGCTCTGGCAAAGGAAAACTCACTCCTAACAGAAAATGTATTTATTTGTATCACACTTATAATTTTTATAAAGAACTCAAGTCGGCGAACGTAACAACCTTCCTCTTTTTTTCCACCACCACCACCCTATGAGGGTGACTGCCCCAAAGTCACCCAACTGACTTTCATGGCTAAAGTGGTAGTGTGTACAGTGTAAATATTAAAATCTACTTATCCTAATATAGCTCTTATTTTATCCACGTCAGAACAGCGTGGGATGCTGAGTGGGCTCAAAGGGCTGATCCCAAGCAGAGGGAGGCCACGTGTGGGGTGGGTGGGAGAGAGAAGAGGCACCATGTGGTTTGCCACAGGCCAAGAGGCGCTGGACGCTCCTCATGGCTTTGCGAGGGGGGACAGCCATGCCTGGTCAGAGCCCTGGGGGACACTGGAAGCAAAGTTGGAAGGAGGAGGCTAGCAAGAGCAGGGGTGCTCTGTGGTCTTGGAGAAGAGTCCGGAGAATACAGTGGACAGCCAAGAAAATAATGAGTAATGGAAGGAAACTTATCCTGTTTTGGAAACACTTCTGCAAAGGTCCAGGTGTAGGGAAGATTGGAAGGAAAGAGAAGAAGATAGCCAGCCGCAAGGTGGATGGACTCTTACACTGGTGACTGATGCGCTATTGGAAGACCTGAAGGACCAGATTAGGGATTGATTTTGGTGGTGGACTGAAGTTGCTGTTTGGCTTCCAAATGTTTCCTCACCAGGCTAGGTAACATCATCAGCGGAAGGTCTATGGAGATTCTCAGTCTTCCAGGTCATGGAAATCCCAAAGGTGCTTTTTCAGGAGGCAGCTGGACTTTCTTGTTTTTTCTTTTGAAGACATTTCACTTCTCATCCCAGAAGCTTCTTCAGCTCTGACTGGATGGTGGGGAATGGAAGGATTTATACTCCTTGCAGACAGCTGGTCACTTACATCCTTTTAGAGCAGGGTTGTCAAACTCACGGCCTGCAGGCTGGATGCATCATGCGCTGGCTACGCCCACGCCCGGTTTAGCAAAGGGGAAAAAAGTCCCAATATGTCACATGACGCCGTGAGTTTGACACCCGTTTTAGAGAGTCGTTGAAGCCACTTCAGGGCCACCTGAGTCCCTCGGGAGTTGGGCGACATAAAAATGCGACTAATAAATAATAAATAAATAAATGGGTGTGGAGCCTTCTTGGCTAATCCAAAAAAATGTTCAGCAGGGGCCTTCTCTCCAATCTGTGCTACTTTGTTAATTGGGGCAGGACTGAGACTTCTTTGGGGGTCGAGCAAGGGAACCGGCTTCATGCTTTTTTTTTTTATTGAAAAGTTTTATAAGAAATACAGACATTTTCTCCCCCCCACCCTTTCCCCCTCCCCTCCTTCCCCCCCCTCCCCCTCCCTAGACTTCCCAGAACAGGCACAGCATGTTATAGCATTCACAAAGCTAAAATATGCTAACAAATTATTGCATTCATATTGTCCCTAAATTTTTAACTCCTTATAACTCAAAAACTATAAACATAAACTACTCAAAAATATTTCATTCATAAACTATATTAATCTTCTTGTTCGGATACTTTTTTTGTATATAGTCAATCCATCTTCTCCATTCTGATATGTATCTTTCATTTGAATGAACTTTAAGATATGATGAAATTTTTGCCATCTCTGCCAGATGCACAACTTTTAATGTCCATTCCTCAATGGTAGGTGGATCTTCCTTCTTCCAATACTGTGCCACCAGTAACCTGGCAGCTGTTATTAAATTCAAAACCAACTTAGTCTCTATTACAGTACAATCCGTGACTATTCCCAACAAAAAAAACTGGTGTAAATTTAATTTTTTTCCTTAAAATATTTTGAATAATCCACCATATTTTTATCCAAAAAGCCTTAATTTTTTTACATGTCCACCATATATGAAAATATGTAGCATCTTCACATTCACATCGCCAACACTTGGGTTGTAAATTTGGATACATGCAGGCTAGTTTTTTTGGGTCTAAATGCCATCTATAAAACATTTTGTAAAAGTTCTCTCTTAAGTTTTGAGCTTGTGTGAATCTTACGTTTCTAACCCATATCTTTTCCCATGTATCCAACATTATTGGTTCACCTATGTTTTGTGCCCATTTTATCATACAATCCTTGACTAGCTCTGTTTCCGAATCTATTTCCACTAATACATTATACAACCTTTTAATATGCATTTGACCTTTATCTCTTATTTGCTTTATCAAATTCTCATCCTGCTGCAAAATACCAATTTTTTGATCCTCTCTCCATCTGGCCTGCAGCTGACCATACTGAAACCAAGTCTTAATAATTCCTTCTTTTCTTAATTGCTCCATAGATTTTAATTGTAATCTAACTCCTTCCTTATAAAGGAGTTCCTTATATGTAAACTTATCTTGCTTTTGCTCCAAATTTATATTCTCTATTGTGTGTCTGGGTACTGTCCATATTGGTAACTTATCCTTTAGTTTATATTTATACTTTTTCCAGACACGCAGTAGAGCATTTCTTAATATGTGACTTTTAAAAGTCTTATCTACTTTCTTGTCATACAATAGATAAGCATGCCAGCCGTAGACCAGACCGTATCCTTCAATATTCAGTATCTCTTCCTCCGTTAAATTTATCCAATCTGTAATTGCTGAGAGGGTAGCAGCTTCATAATACAGTCTTAAATTGGGCATTTTAAGACCACCTCTTTCTCGGGTGTCTTGCATTATCTTTTGATTAACTCATGGTTCTTCCCTGCCCACACAAACTTGTTTATGCCCTTCTGCCATTCCTTCAAATTTTCATCTTTTTTAAGTATAGGTATCATTTGAAAAAGAAATAAAAATCTTGGTAAGATATTCATTTTTACAGCGGCTATCCTACCCAGCAAAGACAGTTGCAATTTCTTCCAATTTTCCATCTCTTTCTGTATTTTTTGCCATAATGGTTCATAATTATGTTGATATAATTTCGTATTTGCAGTCATAATATAAACCCCTAAATATTTAATCTTCTTAACTATTTGAAATCCTGTTTCTATCTCTTCTTTCTGGCTTCTGTCAATGTTTTTAGCTATTATCTTTGTTTTAGCTGTATTTATTTTAAAACCAGATACTTGTCCATATGAGCAGATTATATCCATCAAGGCTGTAATCAATTGTACCCGTTGGGCTAAGGTAACCACCAGGTCATCTGCAAATGCTCGTAGCTTATATTCATGCCGTCTAATTCTAATTCCCTTTATTATATCAGTCCCATGTATTTTGTTTAATAAAATTTCCAGCGTCAAAATAAACAATAACGGAGACAAGGGACAGCCTTACCTTGTTCCTTTTTCTATATTAAAATTATCTGTTAAACCACCATTGATTATTATTTGCGCTGTTTGTTTTTGATATATTGCCTTAATAGATTGTGTAAAATGTTCTCCAAATTGCATCCTTTCTATTAATTTTAATAAAAATTCCCAATTCAATCAATCAAAAGCTTTTTCAGCGTCCCAAAAAACTAGTACTGCGGGGACCTGGTTGTTCCTTCCCAAATACTCTAATAAATTGACAATCTGCCTTACATTACTTTTCATTCGTCTTCCATTTATAAAACCAGTTTGATCATGATGAATCATTTGCTGCATAACTGTCATTAATCTGTTTGCTAAAATTTTAGCAAAAATCTTGTAGTCTGTATTTAAAAGTGAAATCGGCCTATAGTTTTTAGGATCTGTATACTCTTGCCCATCTTTTGGGATCAGCGAAATAAATGCTGTCTTCCAAGTTGGAGGTAGCTCTCCTCCCTGTTGTATATTATTGAATAATTCCTTCAGTGGTTCCACCATTTCCTCCTGTAAACTTTTATAATAAATAGCTGTCAAACCACCCGTTCCAGGAGCTTTACCCACTTTCAACTGCTTAATTGCAAACATAATTTCCTCGGAAGTTATCAATTGATTTAAGCTATCCCTCTGCTCTTTTGAAGTTATACAAATATTCTCTTTCTGCAGATATCTATCTATATCTATATCTTGAATTTTATCACCAGTATACAGCCTTGAATAAAACTCTAAAAAAGCTTTTTTAATCAATTCTTGCTCATAAACCTCCTTACCCTTGTATTTTATTTTCTCTATTATCCTTGCTTTCTGCTTTTTCCTTAACAAATATGCCAACCACCTGCCTGGTTTATTGGCGTTACAAAAAGTATTATGTTTTGCATATTGTAAGTTGGTTGCCACTTGATCTGCTATTAACATATTAAACTGACCCTTCAATAAATTGATTGCCTCTTTAATTTTCTTATCTGTTGGGTTGGCTATTAAAGCCCGTTCCTGTTTATTAATCTCCTCTTCTAATTCTTTTCTTTTTGCCGCCTGTTTCTTTCTATATTTATTATTCAAATATATCAAAATTCCTCGCATGTAGGCTTTACTTGCATCCCATACCATTTCCATAGATGTACCCTTTTGCATATTCATAGCAAAAAAATCTTTCATAATTTTTTTACACTCTGTTACATTTTCTTCGTATCTAAACAAATTATCATTTAACCTCCAGGACCTCCTAGGCCCTTCCCCACACTCCAATGCATCTTGAATGCCAGTCAGTCAGTTCTCCAGATGTGAAGAGCTGCCAGTACACAACAACAAGAGCACAGAGACACCAGCAAATCATGTGAAGACTGCTTTAGTAGAAGGATAATATAAGCATTTATTTGGTTCCATGCTAAACAAAATCCCTAGTTTTAAAAGCCCAGGGGATGGGAAGCCACAGTGCTTCTGTGCTGCACTAAGGCATCTGAGATCAGCTTCATGCTGGTGAAGACCTCTTCCCAGCTGGCAGATTTGGCTTCCTGCAGAGACGCCTGCACACGCAGGAAGGCCTACACAGAGAGAGAAGCCTGGATCAGTCCACCCACCCCCTCTCCAAAGTGAAGACAAGATGTACAATGTTTTTGTAAGATCTCACCACTGGTCTCACCATGTGCCCTTCTGGCAAAAGGGTGGAAGCCATGCTTTTATCCCCATGAATAACAGTTGGAAGGGACCTAGTCCAACCCCCTACTCAAGCAAGAGACCTTCTGCCATTGCACACAAATGACTGTCCAATTTCTTCTTAAAAACTTCCAGTATTGGAGCACCCACAACTTCTGGGAGGCAAGCTGTTCCACTGATTGTTCTGAGTGTCAGGAAATTTCTCCCTGAGTTCTAGGTTGGTTCTCTCCTTGATTAGTTTCCATCCATTGCTTCTTGTCCTGCCTTCAGGTGCTTTGTCTATGGAAATTCTCAGTCATCCAGGTCATGGTTGTCCCAAAGATGCTTTTTTCAAGAGGCAACTGGACTTTCTGGTTTTTCTTTGAAGACATTTGAAGAGCTGAAAAAGCTTTTTGGATGAGAAGCGAAACGTCTTCAAAGAAAAACCAGAAAGTCCGGTTGCCTCTTGAAAAAAAGCATCTTTGGGACTTCAGCTGCTTTGGAGAATAGGTGAACTCCCTCTTCTTTGGGGCAGCCCCTCAAATATTGGAGGACTGCTATCATGTCACCCTCAGTCCTTCTTTTGAAGACCCACTGCTCAGTGGTGCTGAATGAAGCAGGAGGGTACGGCACTCTTCAGGCCAGTCAGAGATGCCATGATTTGAGGTGAGGGTGCTGCTCCTTCAAGGCTAGGCCAAGGCAAGGGTCCCTGATGTGGCTTCTGCGCTGATCTGGCTGGGCTCTAAGAAGGCCCTCAGCTGAGGTTAGAGCCAGACTGCTTGGAGGATTCTGTGGCTACTGCCAGGCCTTTTGCTGAAGCCTAATCCCCCCTCCCAATTCCCACTGATGGGGTAGGGCAGTGGTCCCCAACCTTTTTATCGCCGTGGACCAATCAGCCTTTGATAATTTTACCGTGGCCCGCTGAGCGCGCGCAGGGGTGGGGGCTTTGGGCCACACGTGCGTACCTGCGCGGGGCTCTCTTCCCTGGAGCCTTTGCGCACGGCCCAGGAGCTTTTGCGCACGGCCCAGGAGCCTTTGCGCTGCAGCGTTCATGTCCCCCGGCCACTGTGCGGCCCGGTGCCAGGTACTCCACGGCCCGGCACCGGTCCGCGGACCGGGGGTTGGGGACCACTGGGGTAGGGAACAGGGGCTGTCATGCTCCATCTTGCCTCTTGCCCCATAGCTTGGGAGGAGACAGCAGGCTGTGAAAGGGAAGGGGTGGAAGGCAGAGGATGAAAGCCGGCAGGGCTCTGGCAGGGGGTCCCCAAACTAGGAATCCACCAACAAGCAGTGTTGCCCAAGAGTAAGCAGAGCCCAGGAGCTGCACCTGTCTGTCTTACCTGCTGGCACCACGTCTGGCACAAAAGCTTCTCATGCTGAGCAGTGGGCTGGCCCAGGGAGAGGGTGCGGCTGGCCCTGGAAGGGGGGGATAGATGAGGCTTGTTTTGCAGGCACCTGCTTCCTATCCTGTCCCACCTCCTTCCTCCTACCTGGATAAAGCCACAGCCATGGCATAGGTGTCTATGGCAGCGTCTGCAATGCGCCTCAGGTGGAACTGCTTGTCTGGGGAGAGTCCAGGAAGGGTAGGTCAGGCCCCTGGATAGCCCTCACCCAGCACCTTCGTCCAGCTGCCTCTGCAGCAACTTCGGATACTGCTGTGGGTCCCGCAGAATGTCCCGTGAAGGACCATTCCCCTCCCCCCCCATTTCCACAGTGGAAACAGCTGTCTCTTTGGCTTGGCTGGGACAGTTTTTTTTTTTTTTTTTAAATTTGATTTATATGCCGCCCTTCTCCGAAGACTCAGGGCGGCTTACAGTGCGTCAAGCAATAGCCTTCATCCTTTTGTATATTTTATACAAAGTCAGCTTATTGCCCCCACAAACCGGGTCCTCAATTTACCTACCTTAGAAAGGATGGAAGGTTGAGTCAACCTTGAGCCTGGTGAGATTCAAACTTACTTTAATTGCAGACAGCTGGTGTTAAATTACAGTGCCTTGTCTGCAGAGCTATCCAGGCTCCAGAGGGGCCTCTAACAGTGAATTCCTCCCTTCCCCCTACAAGAGAATCGAGCTGGCCAAGGTTTCCCCACAGCTGCAGCCCTGAGCTCCATTAGAGGCCTCTGGGTGCCATAAAGGAGTGTCTACAATGGGCATCCAAGATGCCCTGCAACCCACTTCTCTTGGGGCCTGTACCTGTCACTGCTGCGCCATACTTCAAGAGCAGACTCTCGATGGTCTCTCCAAACAGCTCCACAGCTCTGGTGACCTTGCAGGAGAGGAGCGAAACCGGGGGGGGGGGCACGGCTCAGCTGAATGTGGCCCCATGGACCACAAAGCAAGTGCCCTCTCCTCCAGATGTTCCCCTCCCCAGCTATTCTCGCACAGCTGCTGAGCCTGGGGCCCCAGTGTGGGGTGGCTGTGGGGAGCGGACGGGCATTACCTGCTTCCCCCGGAGGAAGAGGTGCGTAGGAAAGCCATCTTGGCTGCTTTCCTGGGGATACCCAGGAGCAACCCCTGGAGGAGGGGAGTCGTTCTTGGAAGCCCCTCAGGGCAACTTCTAACTCTGGTTCTTAGGAAGGGGGTCCAGTAAGAAAAGGGTTTGAGGAAAGCTCCGTCCAGAAGGGCTCAGGGTGTCCCTTGGACGAGGCCCCTCAGCGTCTGGCCAGAAGGTATTGGCCAGCTGCATGGAAGGTTTCTTTGGACAGAGGAGCTTGGAACAGAGAAGGTTACTTGGCTGCCAACTGGCCAGTATGCCCAGAGAAAGCTGCCCGCCCTGCTGGGTCTCACCCAGGTCTCTCACCAGAGCAGCACAGTCTTCCAGTTCTGGGTGGACGAGGCCCTGCAGCGTCTGGCCAGTGGGGACCCCGACTTTGCTGCAGGAGAAAAAGACAGCGGGGCATCTGCTGAATAGGGGTGTGGCACCGGGGGGAGGGGGGATCAGCAGCAGGCCTTGGAAGCCCTGGTGGAGGCAGGGGCATCTTGGGTGCAGCTGTTGGGGGCGCCTCCTCAGACCCTGATTTCCCCCAGGGAGGAGCCTCACCGTTTTGCTCGCATCACCACCTCCTTGTAGATGGCTCCCGTGTGCAGCAGGGGGTCGGAAAGGTTCTTGCGCAGGCCGCTCAGGGTCTGCCCGGCATACTGAGAGCAGAGAGCAGGTTCTGTCCCCAATCTCCCCCCCCCACACACAGACATACACACTTCAGGGCGCTGGGGCAGGATGGCTGTGCTTCAGGGAGAGGGATGCTGTAGCCTAGCAAGCGGGCAGGGACAAGAGCGTCTTTTCCCAGGCACCCAGGCAACGAGGGGGGGGGGGCGCTTTGCCAGGGCTGTAAGAGGGAGGCTGCTGCTCAAGGGCCTCTGACGGGGGTGGAGGGGGAAGTGGGTGGCTGTGCAAACTGCAAAGGAGCGGAAAGGCTTTTGCACGTTCAGCTGTGGGGAGAGCAAAGATCCAGGCTGACTCTGAAGAGGGCTCTCTCTGTTACAGCCCCTCCTTCAGAGCCACCCAGAAGCAGCTTCTCACGGGGAGGGTGGGGGGGGGGGAATCCCAGGGCTTCAGGCTCTGCTTGTCCTGGATGGGCTGCCTGAGAGGACCACACTGGCTTCCAAAGTTGGCCTCACTTGCCTCCATGCCCGACAGAGCCACAAACAAGCGGAGAATGTCGTTGGTGCCCTCGAAAATGCGGAAGATCCTCAAGTCGCGCATGACTTTCTCCACGCCCGTCTCCTGCCCAGGGAAAGCAGCAGCCTGCAGGGGATCTTGTTGGGCCCCGACCTGGCCTGGGAGGAGCCGGTCCATGTCCTGACCTGGGAGACCCCACCCAGCCCAGTGGGCACTTACCTTCATGTACCCCATCCCACCCAGGATCTGGATGCTTTCGTCAGTCACAGTCCAGGCTGCCTCCTGGGGACACGAATAGCAAGACTGACTGGCCCAGCCTCCCCAGCTGTGGCTCCAAGAGGCTCTGGGGCTGCAGCCGAAGGCTGGTTGACCAGCCATGGAGATCTGGCCAGAGATAGCCGGGGCCTCTCGACCCAGAGAGTGCCCCACTTACGCAGCAGGGTGCCAACGGCCATCTGCCCCACTTCCCTCCACTGCTGGGGATCAGGGAAAGTCTCCACAGCTGCTGCTCACCACCTCCTGAAAAGCAGGGCTGCCCCCCACCAGACCCACTTACGGAGGCAAAGATCTTGCTGATGGCCGCCTCCAGCTTGTAGTCGGGCACCTTCATGTCCATGTTAGCACTCAGCACGTAGGCCATGGCCTGCAAGGGGCAGGGCATAGATGGGCAGCTTCACACCAGGGCCCTGCCCTCTGAGGCTGTGCCACCCCTCAAGTTGGGGGGGGGCGTCTACGGCAGCAACCTGAAGCCCATCTTGCAGGGGATTTTATATCAATCGAGGGACCGAGGGGGGAACCCAAGAAGGGGCTGGCCAGCCGCACTCACTTCAGTCACGTAGAGCAACATGGCCATGTGTGCCAGTTTCTCCTGAATGGCCCCAAAGCGGCTGATTGCTTTTCCAAACTGCTGCCGGTCTGCCGCGTGATCCACCTATGCAGACCAAGAGTAAGGAACCTCAAGACGGGTAGAGCCCCCTCGGCCAGGACCAGGGCCCCCCTACCGCAGCCATCATGGCCTCCTTGCCAGCATACCGCCTTGAGGAGGACTCTGCGCATGGTGCCGGCCAGTGCTGAAGCCATGCCGAAGCGGCCATTGTTGAGGATGTGCATGGCCACCTGGAAGCCTCTGCCAAGCCCCCCCAGCAGGTTCTCCGCGGGCACCTTCACGTCCTCAAAGTGCACCTCGGCCGTGTTGGAGCACTGGATCCCCATCTTTTGCTCCGGAGGGCCGCTGCAGGGCACAGACACAGAGGGAATAGGGCAGATCACAGCTGCCCATCACAGTTGGCTCCGCTGGGCAGCCCTCCCTCTCAGGGAGGGGACAGTGATGAGCTTCAGAATGGATGAGGGAGGGAAAGGCAGGCCACTCGCCCAGGGCTGACCACTGGCGGCATTGCAGCCCCTTACTCTCACAGGGCCTCCTTGACTCACCTGCTCACCCCCCCAAAAGCTCGCTCCACTATGAAGGCCGAGATCTTGTCCGTTTCCTCCCCCGTGGTTACATTCTTGATGCGAGTCTTGGCAAACACCGTGAAAACCTCGGCCGTGCCCCCATTGCTGGAAGGGAAGTGAGGCAGACCAGGCTAGCGGCTGGCCACCAGCCGTGGAGCCCAGCAATCAGCTTGGGAACCACCCATGCCACAGAGTCCTCTGCCCAGCTCAGCAACCCCTCCCCACCTCCTGCTCCTCACCTGATCCAGATCTTGCTCCCATTGAGTGTGTAGAAGCCCCCGCAGGGGCTGAGCTCAGCCGCTGTCTGGATGGAGGCTGCGTCTGAGCCACTCGACGGTTCGGTCAGGCAGAAGGCCGCGTATGCCTCACCTGGGATGAGAGAGAGGAGACTTCCTGGGAGACAGCGGCAGCCTTGCCAAGGGCCGTCACTCCTTATACCCTCCAAGGACCCCTTCCCACCCTCCTAATCCCTGCAGCTCTCTGGCCTTCAGAAACAGTACCAAGAGATTAATTCTTGCTTCCATCCATGTTTTGTTTTTTTGGGGGCGGGGGGGGAGCAAGAGGCCAGACCTAGCAGATATTCACACGTACAGGCACATCGTGTGTTGAGATCTGGGCCCACTCCTGCCCCTTCCTGGCTCAGCTCATGCCAGGCACAGCTGTCTCTCCACCTAGTCCTTTCGCTTGGGGAACCCTCGCTCAGCCACTGTGTTTAGGGGGGGGGTGGCACTTAGCCTACCAGATGCCAGCCTGGGGAGGTATTTTTCCTTTTGGCTCTTGTTTCCAAAGAGGAGGATGCCCTTGAAGCCAATAGACTGGTGGGCACCAAGGGTGATGCCCACGCCGAGATCATGCATCCCAACCACTTCCACCATGCGAGCGTACTGCCACGGAGGAGGAGGAGGAGGAGGAGGAGGAGGAAGCACATTATCAGGAGGCTACAGAGGGCCGTATCAGCCCTCCCCCCCCGCCCCCCTCCGTTGGTGACTTGGGGCTCTCTGAGCTTGGCTGTCTCTAACTAGGGAAGATCTTCGGTGCTAAAACAGGGAGAGGCGTCTGCTCTCTGCTTACACCCAGCGGCTGCCCTGCTGGGGTTGGTGGGAATGTGGTTGTTTTCTCCTCAGTTGTCCTTTGATTCGGCCGTTTCCTGCCTGATTATTGGTCTGAATTGATAAACAGGGATTAACTCCAGGCAAACAAACAAGCAGTAAAAAATACCTAAATCAAGGAGCTACCAAGACTGGCCTGACAAGCCTTCAGGCAGTCCTTGACTTACAGCCATTTGTTTAGTGACCATTTGGAGTTACAACAGCACTGAAAAACCTGATTTATGACCACTCTTGTCACTGGTGCAGCATCTCCATGGTCACATGATCAGGATTCGGATGCTTGGCCTGTTTATGACAGTCGCGGTGTCCCAGGGTCACATGACCCCCTTTTGCCGCCTTCTGACAAGCGAAGTCAATGGGGAAGCCAGATTCACTTAACAACGTTTACTAGCAACTGCAGTGATTCACTTAACACTCGTGGCAAGAAAGGTCGTAAAATGGGGCAAAATGTACTTAACAACTACAGTAATGGCCAAAATTGTGAAACCCTTTTGGGAAAAGTGTATTTTCTAAAACTAGCTAATAACACCATTTTTTTGGGGAGTAATACCATAAAATTACATATCAATGGAAAGATAATTTAATCAAGAATGTAATACAATAACTTTTATGAAGGATTTGCTATTAGAATAGTAGTTACAGTATAAAGAAAAGTGAAACGTAGAAAAAACGAGATATACAAAAATGATCACCATGTCAGTTAATCCTTAGTTGGGTCACCTTTAGCATGAATTATGGCCTTACAACGTCTTCCCATGGAGTGAACCAAGTCTTTTAGTTCTGCAGCTGTTATAATGTAAAACCAAGATTGAATGATTGCTTCTGTTAACTGGGTTTTATTGCTGGGTCGCATCTGAGTAACAAGTTTCTTTAGTTGGCTCCATAGATTTTCAATTGGGTTAAGGTCTGGGCTATTCCCAGGCCATTCCAGCAGTGGAATATGATTATCTTGAAACTCCAAAAAAAGTGATGTTATTAGCCATCAAACCTCAAAAATACTTTTCCCAAAAGGTTTCCACAATTTTGGCTACTACTGTATCTTGCTTAGCAGCGATTGGGCTGAATTGTGGTCATAAGTTTAGGACCACCTATATTGTTTATAAACAGAGCCAAGCCCACTCCCTCCTAGTGCCAGTTCCCTGGCTGGGTCGTGAAATCTCTGCAAGGAAACAGCCGAGCTCAGAGAGCGCCCAGGACAAACCCCCCACCCCCAGGACAGCCCTGAGCTGCAAGGAACCTTTTCTCTTAGTCCCTGTGCCGCCCCTTGCCCTCCCAGCAGCCATAAGGAGGGGGGCCCTCACCAGCCTTTCTGCCCTCGGCTGCTGGCCCAGGAGCCAGGGAGCGACAGGAGAGGAGGGACCTTTCCTCTGACTTTGCTGCTTCTGCATGGGAGGCGGGTAAGTGCCCCCCACCCTCAGTGGTGGCTCTGTCCCTGTGTCTGGGGGAGGATGGACAAGGAGGACCCCCTGCTTCCCTCCAGGAGTCTCGCAAGAGCCTCACCTGGGTGTTGGTCAGTCCGATGCCCCCCAGCTCCTCTGGCACCTGCAGCCCAAAGCAGCCCATCGACTTGAGGCCCGCCACGGTCTCCTCTTCGATGCTGCCCAGCTCTTCATTGGCAGCTGCGTCGTTGACTTCCTGCCGGTTTTCAGACAGAAACAAAGCCAGCACAGCCCTCCTGCCAGGACTTTCTCTTGGGGGAGCTCAGGAGGAGGGAAACCTCTGTTGGCCTTACCTCAAAGAATCGGACGCAGGGATCCACCATGGCTTGCAAGACCTGGGCCTGCTCCGGAGAGAGAGCTGAGGGCAACGGAGAGGCTGCCAGGACAGGAGATTCACTGCCAACCCCGAGCACCTGGGGCTGGTCAGCGGTCTTGCCCGGCAGCACCCTTCAAACCCCTCCTATGTGCCCTGACCCACCTACCTGAGGGGAAAGGAAGGAGGTTTTTAGGCTCCAACTGTCCATTGAATAGGTTTTCCACAAACGATGTTGATTCCTAGCGGAAAATACTCCTGTTTAGCCTGACTTGCGGACGGCTGACCCTGCGTTCTCACACATACACACACACACACACACACACACACACACACACATTGAAGTTCAGGACCCTGAGCTAGTGGGGAGCACAGAGCAAGCCCCCTCCCCCTTTTGGAGATGCCACCCTGGAGCATTTGGCCAAATGGGAGCTGCTGGTTGCTGCCTGAATCCTCCCCTTGTTTAGGCTCATTGGGCAGCAGTTTCCGTGCTGGGAAAGAAGCTGGCAGATGCAGACCAGGTCTTCACACGTGGCCCTGAAACGCCTCCACAGACACCCCCCCCCCCGAGAGAGAGCTTGAGGCTGGTTGCCCCAGTCTCTCTTCAGGTGGGGTCGCTATGGTGCCCCTGGACCATGAGCCAGTGAGGTTTCCCCATCCCAGTCTAGATGCGCAAAGCCACTTCTAAAGGAGATGCAGCCATCTTGTTGGTCGGTCTTCCTTACCGTCTTGATTTTTCTAGAATATTTTACTTTCTGGTCAGTCACAAAATAGGAAGGAGACAGAAGCCTGCGAAAGGAGATGCCATTAGTCACTGAAGGTGGGAATGGGCCTCTACCAACCCCTTGAACTGCCCAGTTTAGGATTTCCATCTGGCTGGGTTGGCACAGTGCCACCTATGGAGACCAGGGAGCCCACCTTCACTGGAGCAGCACCTAGAGTGCGGTTCCCCCAGAGAGCCGAACTGCCCCTGGCCCTCCTGTGATCTCTAAGGTGCCCTGAAGAGGGGCTCTTCACCCTGCCTTTGGCCAGATGCCCCTTTCTTCCTCCATTGCTCCCCAGGGGCATCTTTGTGAAGATTCATTTTGGCTCCCATCTTCTTTGGTTTTATTCACATGGAACCCCCAATAAGCCAGGCAGAGATGTTATGTAAACCCGGACTCCTGTGTTTTTTGCAGGGTGTAGCCTTGGAACAAATTTCAGGGCCGAAATTGCCGAGCCATGGCTGCTTCTGACTCAGAGGTGGTATTCAGCAGGTTCACACCAGTTTGTGTAAACCGTTGGTGGAAATTTGGCCAAGGTCACCGAACTGGTAGTGATGGCCAGCTGGCCACGCCCCAGAACCGGTCCACCGGTTGCTGCTTGCTCATCCCGCATGCCAAGTTCATCGCAGCCACGGTCTTTGCGCATGTGCATCCCATTGCCTTGCAAATCCAATGGGATGCGCCTGCATGAAGACCATGGCAGCGACGGCGGCACCTTTTCCCCTGACCTCTGGTACTTTTCGGCAGCCTGCGGCCAGCCGCCACCTCTTTGTCAGCCACTTTCCAGCAGCGGCAGCAGGCAGGGGGCCGTCGAAAACTCCAGTCAGCTTGCCTTCTGGACTCTGGACCAGCTGCCGCAAAAGGTAATCAGCCTGAACAAAGAGGCGGTGGTTGGGGAGGAAGCGGGGCTAGGGCCAGGGCTGCTAAAGGAGGGGAAACAGGGGCGACTGGTGAAGGGAGGGCGGGAGTAGACAGGTGGAAATTCCAAAATTAATACCTTTTCCTGTGGTCGTGGCTAGGTTGGGGTGTGTGTGTGTCATGTGACTGAATGAGCATGGACATGAGTTATGTCAAGTTGGCCACACCCACTCAGTCACAGGGGCCCACCTAGCCACGCCCACCGAACCGGTAGTGAAAATTTTTGAAACCTACCACTGGCGGGACTCCGTCTCCCCTCCCAAGCCGATGCAGGGGGCTATTCCACTGGCCACTGTCTTCCCACAATCTGTCCTGCCAAGCCTGGCCAGCCTTGCAGTGCGGTCCCTTCCCTGGCAGTGCTCCTGTTCCTTGGCTAGCAGGGCCAAGGGATCTCTCTTAAGGGCAGGGGTGCATGCTCCCCCTCCCCTCTGGTTCCATGTCTGAACACAAAGGCTGGCCCACTGAAGCTCTCCAGGCTGTGGGGCTGCCTCCTGGTCCCACTGGCAACATGGCTCCTTTGATGGTTCATGTCTCCACCCCTTCTGCTGCTGCCCCTGCCAAACAAAGCCCCAGCAGGAGAGCCCTGGCAGCCTATGGGGCAAGAGGGTCAGGAGTCCCGTAGAATCTTTCTGACCAACAGGCATGCTAAATGCACCTGGTGATCAGGTATTGGGCTGCTCCGTGGCGGCTGAGCCATAGTACCTGAGCCCGGACATAGCTGTCGACTTGCTCCACAGCTGCCTCCATGTGTCCAAGGTCGCTCTGCTCTGCATCAGCCGCATCATCCTCTCTGCTCTGCTTGGAGAAGCCCAGGCGGGTCGCACCCGGAGGGAGAAAGAGGCCCCAGGCCAGTGGGTCTCTCTGCAGAGCCGCCTCCAGCTGCCCCCTTCCCAGGTTATCTTCTGCAGGCCTGAAGGGGGCAGCTGAGGTGACCCGACCCCATGCCCCACTCTCTCTCCCACAGCAGCAGCAGCCTCTGTGAGGCCGCTGGCTGTCAGCCCTTCAAGGCAGCCCAGATCAGGAAGGGGACTCTGCAGGACAACGGAAAGGCACTTTATTGGGAGAGTTTGCCCACAGTCCCCTTCCCTTCTCCTTATGGGGGTGTTTCACCCAAAAACAGCCCCTGGGCCCCTTCTCTGAGGTCGTCACAGCAACATGGCATGAGCTTACTCACAAGGAAGAGCAGCACCTGTTGGCTCCAACGTGCCCTGTGGAGCAGGCTGCCTTCCGCAGTGTGACATCACTGGACCTTACGGGATGAAGTTCTGTGACGTCATTCAGAATCAGGCCTGGAACATCCCTGGCTGGACAAGGCCTTTTTTGAAGGAAGAAACATGCCCGTTGGCTCACCTGTGCCTGGAAGTCGCTACGGAGGGCCCCAAAGGAGAAAGGAGGGGAGGGGGGCTCCCAGCAGGAGGCCAGGCTGTGAAAAGGCATCGTGAACAAGGTCAAGGCTCCTGCCCCACCCCCCAATACCTTTCCAGAGCACCCAGAAGTTCTTGCCTTTTTTACAGGCTTTAAAATCTTTCCCCTTTTCTGCCTGGGGCTCTGCTCAATCTGTCCCACTGGGAAGGAGACCAGAGAGGCAGGGGACCTGCAGTTTGAACTGTGGCTTTGGCAGTTTGATCTTCATGTTTCCTCACAATGATCCTCAACCCAGAATTTGCCTTTTCCACAAAATGGCATTCGGGTTCCGCATTTCCCACGGCTTCATGCGTGCCAAAATGATGTACTCAAAGTTATGCTTAAAGAGACCTGATCATCTCAATTTGCTGCCTTGGTTGGGTTCATCAGTCAGAACCTTGACAGCGAGCGCCTGGTGAAAAAATGTACAACTACTATGTTGAGTTTGCCTTCTCTCTGCATGGTGGTCTTTGGGAGAGGGTCCTCTAAGCAAGGACAGCTCTGCCCCCGCCCAGCACAGCTGTTCCTCCTCCCCACCCGGCTCAGCTTCTCACTAGCTGCAGGGAAGACTTGCAAGAGCATCAGGCCTGGTGTAACGAAATTGGTGGAACTGTGAGCAAAGGGGAATCCGGTTCCCCTGCCCCAAAGCCCACCTGCGATCCCCAGTGGTGGGTGTCAGGCCAGGCCGCAGGAGCCGCCGTCCCTCCTGTGTGGAAAAAGCAGGGTGCAGAAGGACGGTCTCCTGACTCTTGTGGACACAGATTGCCCTTTGCCACTTTGTGCCCTGCCAGGCGCCTGCCTCATGGGCAGCCCAGTGGAACAGAGAGAGATTGGCGGGCTGGGGGCCAGCCTGGCCCACGACCAGAGGAAAGAGGTTCCCAGACCCCATGGCAGGGTGGGCTCATCCCCTTCCAAGTTATAGGTATATCCGGCCTTGTATGTACTTTCTTCCATTTTCAGCAAGCAGGAGCTTCAATTCAACAGCTTCAACCCTCTTGGCCTGGCAGATATGGGCACCCTCCACTTCTCCACGGACGCAATTAGACTGCCAGGAAGAGCCAGCGAGGCCTTATCATACTGGAACCATTGTTGGTGTGTTACAGGAGGAACACAGTTCTCCTTGCCTTCCGGTACAATCCCACCTCAGCCACTAAATGCTAAACTCCAGCTGGGTCTGATTTCTTTGCAGAGTCTTTGGTAGAGCAACCCCAGGTAAGTGATCTTAAGTAAATCGTCAGTTTGAACTCCATTTTGTCTCCTGTCCACCCTGCTGGGCTGACATCCAGGCAGCCTGTCTCTCCTCCCTGGGAGCCTTTACCAGTCTCTCTCTCTCTCTCTCTCTACCTGCACACCACCCGTCATCCATCGACTGCCTTTTCCTGGCCTCCGCAAATGAACTCAGCGTTTCCGGTGCTTCTCCTGCCACCCCCCCCCCCCAGATTGGTGTAAAGGCCAGAGCGGAGCAGGCTGATGGGTCCTGGGAACACTGAGAAGGAGCAGACATAAGGGAGAGCCAGGAGGATTGACCATCACCTTTAAGGCAGAAAGGAACAAAACCAAAGTGAGCTGGACGTACGGACAGATGGATGTACCTACCAGTCATCAATCAGCACTCATCTTCTGCCCCGCTCCCATCTTGAGGAGGAGGATGACTTTTGGAAGGAGGGAGGGCAACAAAGCCAGGAAAATTCACTAATTTGCCCTTCACACGCCCTACCTGTGGCAAGGAAGACCCTCCTCCCCTGGCAGTGGAGGGATGGGCATGTGGCAGCGAAGGCTCTGCCAGGATAGATCAAGGCCTCAGGAAGGCGCTGTAACCTGGGTGCAAAAGTGAAACGGGCTGTGCTGTGCCCTGAGCCCCCAGCAAAGTCTTTGCTTAAAGTGGCAGCTGCAGAGACCGCGATGGGTGGGGGGCAGCCTGGGAGAACCCCCCACCACTCTGAAATGTTCTCACAGCAGAGGAACTGGGTCTGAAATGCTGGCCAGTTCTGCCCCCACCCCAGAGAGGAGGCCAGCAAGGGTCTCTAGCCAGCTCCTCCCTCCCAGCTGCGGGAAGGTGGTGGTGGCAGGAGCTGCAGGGAAGGCTAGGCCCAAAACCTCCATGGACACTGCAGGGAGGGTTGTGGGAGTCCAGTCTTGGCTGCTTGCCCTTTCCAGACCCCTCTGGAGTTGGCGTAAGGGGGGCAGCCCTGCGTCCCCTCAGCCAGCATGGCGGGAGGCCCTGCAAGGCTTTTAGGGCCGAGCAGGCCCGGCAGGGACCCTCTTCCTCCCCATTGCTGTCGCTGCCTGAGGTAAGCAGACTTTGGCCTTGGGGGTTTATGGCCCTTGCTTGGCAGCGAGCTGGCCGGATTCTCCTAGCAACAGCACAGCCAGGGTCACCCTGGGGATGTACAGACCCCAGGGGGGCCGCTATGGAGGAGAGGGACGTCCTCTGCCCCCTGAGCTGGGGAGGGGAGGCCCAGTCTGTGCATGATGCAGACAAGGCTGAGGAAAGTTGTGAGGAGAGTTATGCTTGTCTTCCTCGGGACGATGCCAACAGGGAGCAAGACTGGGCCATGAGGCAGCATTCGCACAGCAGGCTTCACCCTCTTCGCTATCCTCCACTGACTCTCCAACCATGCAACCACCCCACAAGGGCTGCTTGAGTAACCCAACTTGTCATATTATGCCAAAAGAGCCCGCAGCTATGTCTGATTATATCCCCCCATCCTCCCTGTGCCAACAGAGCAGAGGTGCAGCTCCAGGCATCTCCCTTGCACGAGGGAAGTGCAAGAGGGGCATCTGGGCTGCCCAGTCACCCTGCTGGCTCTGGTGCCACCTGCACTAGGTGATTGGCTGCCTGAAAAGGTGTCCCCGAGAGCCCCCCCTCCCCCCCGGTGGAAAAGGGAAGCTTTCATCCCAAAGCAGGTTTGGCCCTTTCTTGGATTTCATCTTTGCCCAGCAGACCTAGCCAGGTCGGAATGCCAGGTTCAGGTAGTGCCAATCCTGGCCAATTCATGGCTCGTTCTGTGTGAACCAAGAGATTGTGTCACATTAGCACCTTGTGGGATGCAGTCAGAATGTGGAGTACAGAACTGCTCCACCTGCAAGAGAGAATTTCTGGCCAGTGACGTATCTCTCTAATGTAAGGGAACTTTAAAAAGGCACGAATGGCATCAGAGCATGGGCAGAGGGCTCCCTGATCCAAGAAAACTGTTGAAATAGATGCTGCACTGAGGCTCCAGCAAGGAGGCGGGGCAGGGCAAACATTAAGCCAAGTGTAATTAAATCTAAAAATGTAGTTTAATTAAAGTCAGTTGAAATTACATACAGTTTGGACCACATACGCAAGGCACATTTTCTGCAGGCGACTTGGGTCCCATCGCCGCTTCCCATCAGGATGTTTCCAGCCGTGCGGACTCCCATCATCAAGCAAGGCTGGATGGTGTTCGGGGTTCAAGGGTGAACCAGGCAAATAAGGGTTTGCAACATCTTCTACAAGTTTCCTGCCTGAGCAGGGGGTTGGACTAGAAGACCTCCAAGGTTCCTGCCAACTCTTATTCTGTTAAAATGTGCCCCCCCCGCCCCCATCTAAGCATCTTGCATTAGGGAGAGTTCTGGAAGCTCAGAACTTGGCTCTGTCTTATGACCCTTTCTGCCACTCTGATTAAGAGAGATTGTCTCAATGGATTTGGGATTTTTTCCCCTGACCTAGCTATCTTGGCTACTATGATTGCTTTTAATTCACCTGGACATGATTTGACCACCCCCTCGGAGGAGGCCCCAAGGGACGGCTTCTCCATTCGACCTGGGGCTGCCTAGCTGACAAAGAGCCAGTCGGCCAGGGCGGTGGGCAGGTGGGTTGCGGCCTGCAGACAGAACCACCAGGAGGCCTCCATGGGGGTATAGCGGCTGTAGGGGTGACGTGCGGCGAGGGCTTCGGTCAGGGCGTCCAGGACCAGGGAGACGTCCCGCAGGCCACTGTGCGCGAAGCCCTTCATCCGAGAGAGCTTCTCTTGGAAGTCGGCCTCTCCGTATTCTGCACGGATGGCCTCACTGGCCCCATGCCACATGCGCTCGGCCTCGGCCTCGATGCCCTCGCGGGTCAGGATCCCTGTGGCTGCGATGAAGTTGCTCGGCTCGATGGCCACCACCGAGACACCCCAGCGATACATTTCCTGCCGCAGGCAGTCGCTGAAGGCCTCCACCCCAAACTTGGAGATGCAGTAGGAGGAGCGCATCGGCCTGGCCATTCGGCCCAGCATGCTGCTCATGTTGACGATCCGCCCTGCAGGGGAGCAGAGACCAGAACTGCTTGGGGGTGATGGTAGTGAGTGATGTCGGTGGGAGAGAGCAGCAGCAGCATGGAGGGAGGGAGGGGAGCTGAGAACCAGTCAGGCTACCCAGTTCAGGGTCTGGCCTTGGGGAGAACTCACCAGAGCTCCACCAGTTGCTCTCTGAAGGGCCCCCTCCCACTGGGACCTAGTTATGCCACATCCAGAGGAGGCTGCTTGGGCAGCGTCTTGGTCACTTTTTGGCTCTCATTATCCCAAAATGGGAGACCTGAATGGGGTTGGCCTCCTGCTCTGGGGGACTAGGAGAGGCTGCACGTCCCTGGCAGGCTTCTCGTTTCCCCTCCCTCTTCCTCCGTGCCTGGGGATCTTTCCTTTGCCCGCCTCCCCCCATCTTCTTGCATAAGGCTGTATACCTTTGAGGAATGCCAGTGTTACACAGAGGATGCAAACTCTTGCACACGTGCTCTGCATAACTACTGGCCCCTTTGCGTTGGCAGTCTGAATGCACGTGAGAACAGAGCCACCCAGGACATTGGCTGATCCTTGCTGGACACCCGGCAGTGTAGGCAGAACTCTGCTGCCCGTCCACTCTGTATCCACTCCTGTGCAAGATGCTTTGCCCACAGGCCAAAGGGCCTTGAGGTCCCCCCAATCCCTCTAGACCCTCTTTCCTACCTCTGGCCCTGCGGATCAGGGGCAGAAAAGCTTTTGTCACACGGATGGTCCCCCATAAGTTGACGTCAGCCACCCTCTGGTACTTCTCCATGCTGGTGAATTCCACGTCTCCAAAGGAGGCAATTCCAGCGTTGTTCACCAAGCCCCACAGACCTGTCCCACAAGAGAGGAGACTCTTTTTCTGGATTTACGAGTGCGGGGAAGCCTCCTCCCCCTCCCGAGGAAGCCCTTCTCTCCAGCCGTCTGAACTGACCTGTCCAGAAAGGCGAGAGACTTACCTTCAGCAGCACCGGTGGCCAAAGAGTTGGGCGCAGCAAAACAGACCCGGGAAAAACCAAGGGAGCCATGCATGAAGCCCAGTTCAGTCCCTGCCCGCTGCTCGCAGGGGAGCCTGGTGAGATGCTCTCATCTGCCGGGAGCAGCGGGCCCATGGGGAGGTGGGAGGAAGGGCCTTGATGATTACCTCGGGCAGGGTCCTCCAATCGAGCCTCCACGTATTGGAGGGCTTGGGCCACCTGCTCTTCGCAGCACACGTCCAGCTGGAGGACGTGCATCCGCCCAGAGCCCAGGTGGCACAGCTCTTGGGCACCATCTCCTCCTTGGTCCTGCCCAACAGACAGGGGCGAAAACCATTGGGGGGGGGGGAGGAGCTGCTGAGGACAAGCACAGCCCTATTGGGGCTGATGGGACTCACCTTCCTCCCTTCCCACCTCCTGTGGAGGGCCAAAACTGAGGAGGAAGCATGAGGTGAGCCCCTCTCCCCCCACCCCCCACTCTCAAGGGAAACCTGAAAGCCTCCGCCAGGCGATGTCAGCTCAGAGATGGGATTGATTCCTCACCAGGAGCAAACAGCCGGCAAAGACGATGAATCCTTCTGCGTGAAGATGGCTGGCCAAGGCATGGCCAAAGCCCTTGTCACAGCCTGTGATCAGCACCGCTTTCCCCTTGGCCTGCAGGAGGACAAGAAGGAGGGTCAGTGTGGCCCAAGACTGCCCAGCAATGAAGCAGCCAGGGGGAGAAATCCAGGCGGAAGCCAAGAAGTGAAGATGAAAAAGGAGAGCCTGGCCGATGCTGTCAGAAGCGGTCCAGAAGAACAAGGATGAACGCACAACTGCCATCTCGCTCACGCCAGAGATCATCCATGCATGAGACCAGCGCCATGTCTCGGTCCTGTATCTGGGCCCGAAGCCCAACTGAAAGAGGTCCAGATAATCCGTTTCCTTCAGAAGCGTCGAGAGTTGCAGTACCACCCCTCTCAACCCACTTCCTTAAAAAGGGGCAGGGGCTGGGCATGGAGTTGATCGGAGGACACTGCAAGGACTTGTCCTCTTAGCAAGGCATCTGCACTGACGCTCCCACCCTGGCCAGCTTGCTCTTTCAGCAGACATGGGGAGGCGGGGGGAGAAATCCGGCCTGAATTGGCATTCAGTCTGAAAAGCAGGTTCTGCGAGAGATCAACAGGCACGCGGCCCCTCAAGGTCAAGCAGAGGGGGCAGAGGGTGGGCCAAGAGCAAGAGAAGCAGGAGAGGGAAAGAGTGAGTCAGAGGGAAAGTCCTCCAGAGGAGCCCCACCCACCCCGGGTGTCTGTCCTCCAGATCCAGCCAGACAGGTGTGTGCGTGTGCCTCCCCTTCTTAGGACCCACAGAAGGGACCTTGGGGAGAAGAGACATCACTCCTCGTCCTCGCCTGCTATTGAAAAAGTAACAGGCCAGCTTGGCAGAGGAAGAGACACAGCTGGGTATCTGCCTGGCACTTGTTCATCCCCACCCTGGGATGAAAAGCTGCCTCAGCTGACCCAGGCCCTGCCCAGGACAGGTGCTCCTTGTGCAGTGATGGACATGACCTTGGCAAGACTGGGCTCCACACGGACTTTGGCCCCTGTCCTGGAAACCATTGGAGTGTGGATGGGGAGAACGTGGCCAAGACCCAGAGCGTGGTGAGAGCTCGCCAACCATAACTGTCATTCTTACAGCTGCGTTGTGATTTCTGTTAATTATATTTATTACTTGATATGCTGAATGACTTTGGTCACTGCTAATCAGTTAAATCCTGCAATTTGAAGTCCATCCCAGTTCAGAATAACAGATTAACAGGGTTGGAAGGGACCTTGGAGGTCTTCTAGTCCAACCCCCTGCTCAGACAGGGGGATGGACTACAACCTAGACCAATCCAGCCTAGACCAATCCAGACAAGTGGCTGTCGGGTCTCTTCTAAACCTCCATTGATGGAACACCCACCGCTTCTGGAGGCAAGTGGTTCCACTGGTTAATTGGAGCAGGGCTCCACAGGATAGGCAAGGGAGACGCGGGCATCCTCTCCTCCTTTGCCAAGCTGCCTTATCTGGGCCAGCAGCAGCCCCACCCCCCACCCCGGGCCTGCAATGATGCAACACAATCCGGGGAGGGGGGCAGAGTTGAAGGTTTGTTGAGACGGCACCGCTGGGCGGCAGTTTAGTAAAGGAAAGGAACCGTATCTCCGCCGTGCATGATGGTTTGCCTGCTCCCCTCCAACAGCAATTTTGGGGAGCGCACCCCGGGGGCGACGCTTTATGCTCCCACGATGAAGGAAGAGTCTGCCTCGAGCAAGCCAGGGACGGGGCCCGATTGCGGTCCCGGCGGGCGAGGGCACCGCCACCCCACTCCTAGGCCCACTTCGCGCGGCCGGCGGGGCGGGGCGCGGCGTCGCTCGGGAGGCCTTTTCGTTGCTCTCCCAGCCATGGGACTCCGCCGTCGGGGCTCTCGCTCCCTCGCTCGCCGGGCCCGGGGCGCGTCTGTCTCCCGGGGGAGCAGCGGCCGCTCCAGCCCCTCCTGGGGGAACCCAACGCCGCCTCCCACCCCCCCACTCCCGGGGCCCTTCCTCCTCGCGGGGGGGGGGCAGAAACCCCAAAGGAGGCCCGAGAGAGGGAGCCCCCCCCTCCCCCTCCCCCGCTACTCACCGGCAGGCGGGCAGGAAGGCGGCGGCGGCAAAGCAGCACCAGGAGGAGGAGCAGGAGGAGGAGGAGGAGGCCGGCGGGGAGCGGCGGGGGCGGCCACATGGCGCTCGTGGGGCGGGGCGGGGGCGTCGCCGGGGCGGCAGTGACGTCACTTCCTCGGCCGGCGCGAAGGGGACGCGGGGCGGTCAGACGGACGGACGGACGGGCGGGCGGGCGGGAGGAGCGCGCGGTAAGCGGCCTCGAGCGGCGCCCCCCGGTCGCCGCCTCCGCCGGACTGAAGGAGTGGGCCGGCGGGGGCAGGAGGAAGGCGGCTGCCCGGGCCTGGCCCGGCGCTCCCTCGGCCCGGCTGGGCGCGCGGGGGCGGAGAGGGAGAGGAAGGCGTGGGGGGGGGGGGGGCCCGGGGCGGGGGGGCTGCGGGGCAGAGCTCCGTCCGCTTCTGGACGCGCGAGGCGGAGGGCGAGGGGGTGGCTGGGGGTCTCCTCCGGGCTCCGTCGGGGGCGGCGAGGGGCAGGTCGCAACTCCCCGCCTGGGCCGAACCGGCAGAGACGCTCCGGGCTCTCGGTCTGCCTGCCCCCCCTCCCCCCTCCGCGGGGCCGGAGCCTCTTGCCTGGCATCCTCCCGAATTCTTCCGAAAGGCTCCGCGAAGCCTCCGAGGTTCCCCTGGCCAGGAGGGCCCGCGGGTCCTTCTCCCATGCAGCCCTTTTCCTCCTGCCCCCCCGAAAAAGGCTGGCATGAAAAGCCCCGGGCTGGCCTCCTATCCCAGCTGGCCCAGCCGCTTCCTCCCGCGGCCCCCGAGGGCGGTATTTGCCCAGCCGTCTCCTTCCCCTGCAGGGCCGGCGGGCTCTGCTGCTTCTGCCCTCCAGGATGGGGTGCCTGGAGAGGCCTCCCTTTCACCCATCTCTGGGAGGAAGCTCTGGCTGGCCTTAGGCTTAGGTCAGGCGGGGAATGGGCTCCAGCCCCTCGTGAGCAGCTGGTGACCTTCCTTCAAATGACCATGGAGGCATTTGCCAAGCCAGAGCAGGCCCTAATGCCCGATTGGCTGGGCTCTCTCTCTCTTCCCCCCCCCCCTCTCTCTCTCACACACACACACACACACACACACACACACACACACACACACACGCTATGGCTCTGGCAGGTGAAGAGCGGCAGGCTCCTCACCTGCTCCCTGATCTGATCTCTTTCCGGAATTCAGACACCACCATCTCTCAGGGAGACGTGTGCCGAGGTCACCAAGGCAGCCAGAGAGCCAAATCGAGGTAAGTAGGTGTGGCAAATGCATCTGGCCTGGCTTGTGTGAATGTGGCTGGTGTGTGGGCAGGGACTTGCTCTAGGGACTGCGGTCTCTGGTGGGGGGGGGGAGCCTCTGCTGAACCCGCCCTCCACAAGGCCATAAAAGCTGGGGGCAGATAATGCAGAATGCCCCCCCCTCCCCTTTGGCAGAGTCCGCAGGCAGCAGCAGAGACACCCTTCATGGCGATCCTCTTGGCTGCCACTCGCATCACCCAGCCTCTTGCTCGGCTGACCCTGAAAGCTCCGCACTGCAAGGATGGCACTGCCACCGGCCTGCGGTAAGTACAGAGAGCAGGGCGCTGGACTGTAGGTGGTCCAGTTCTGTGTTCTCCAAACAAAGTCCTTGGCTTAGCACCAACCATTGAGTGGCCATTTGAAGGTTCAGTGGCCCTGAAAAAAATGGACTGGTCCTTGCAGTTACAACTAGTGCCACGTCCTCATGATCGCTTGATCAGAACTCAGGTGCCGGCATGCATTTATGATGGTTGCCACATCCCACCTGGGTCAAGAGATTGCCATTCCCTGGGGGCTTCCAACAAGCAGAGTCAATGGGGGAAGCCGGGTTCGCATAATGACCGCATGATTTACTTAATAACTGCAGTATTTGCTTAACAACCATGGTAAGGATGTCATAAAATTGGGCACGATTCACTTAACAACTATCTTGCTTAGCAACCAAAATTCTGGTCCTAACAATGTTTGTACGTTGCAGACTACCTATTCACTCGAAGGCCTTGAATGCTCCACCTGGTTTCATTAAGGACTTGCTTATAAGGGAGAAACTGCTGCTGTGGCAGCCAGCCGGGTGGGCGGTGGGTGGGGGTCCAAGTGAGCAGAATCGGTCCCTTCATGAACCTCTTAAGTGCTGTTTGGCCTCCAACAGGGCTGCAGACCAGAGTCCAAAAGGATGATCTCATTCCAAAGTCCCTCCAGATAGCGCCAAGGGGGCCTGTGCTCACCTGAGTCTCCCCATCCCTGGGTCAGAATGTTGTTAAGGATTTTGGGGGGGGGGGATGACTGAATTCCCCAGACAGGAAGGCCACGGGTACAAAGGTGAAACCTTCCCTCGCTCCTCCTGGGGTGGGTTGGAGTGTTTGGGTGGATCCAAGTCAGAGCTGAAGAAGCTTCTTGGGTGAGAAGCGAAACGTCTTCAAAGTCCAGTTGTCCTCTGGGACAACCCTGACCTGCATGACTGAGAATCTCCATAGACATCCATGTGTGAAGAGGGTCCTGCCCAGAATGGGTGGGGCGGGGGCTAAATGCTCTTGCTGCTTCTCAAGAGTCCCCCAGCCTTTGGAGGGGGGCCTGCCAGGGCTGGCTGTCCTCTGAGCATCAGGATCCCAACTGGCTGCCAGCCACATGGCCAGTCCTCAAGAGGCCTAGCCTCAGTTTGGCTGTTTGTGGCCGGTTAAGGGTTAGCCCACAAGTCAACACAGCCCTTGTGACAGCACTTCTCGAGGCCGGGGGCGAGCAGGGCCAAGGGGCTTTGGCCGAGAGGCCATCGCATGCTCCCCAAGAGCCAAGCAGCATTAGCAACCAGGTGGCCAGCAAGGTTAATCGGGGGGGGGGGGCGGGCCAGATGTGTTTCAGTCGCATGGAGGGAAGCCTGCGGATGGGCTGCTGCCTCTCCTGGCAGCCTGGCATGCCCGGCTAGTATTTCTTGCCCGGGCATCCTCGGGTGGGGGCTGGGCTGCCATTTTTGAACTTGGAGGTCCTGGAGGTGGTGGCCATGTGGGCTTCACAGACTCTTGGGGAGAGTCGGGTCAGGAGGGGCCCAAAGAGCCGAACCCTTTCAGCCGAAGCAAGCGAGCCTGGCCTGGCTTGTCTCTTCTGCTCTGGGCTTTGGTTCCCCAAAGGCCACCCCCAGTGGCAGCTGTGTCCTCTCTCTTGCAGATTGCTTCCCGAGGTTCGGGCCGCAGCCTCCGCCTGGAGGAGCCAGCGCTGCTACGCAACAGAGGTGGAAGAGGTGAGAGGGGTGGATTCACCAGCCAGGGGCAGAGTCAAGGCAGAGGAGAGGGCAGCCCCACTGGGGAGGCCACGTGCGGCCACGTGCCTATGGTGGGCCTCCTCTGTCTCTGCAGGGCCCCTGCCTTCGGCCCCCTGCCAAGGTTCAGGGCCAGGGCTGCGTCTGGAAGACAGGTCTTGTGACCTTCCTCTCTTATCTGCTCCTCCTTGAGGGCCGCGTTGAGGCCTTGGGACCTCCCCAACCACAAGGGGTGTCCTTCAGTTCACCAAGCCCCCGCGGCCAGTGTCCTTGTGATTGCCAGGGGAGAAGGGTCCAGGGAGCCTAGCCAAGGGTTAGCCAAGGCGGTGATAAGGCAGAAGCCTCGGGATAAGAAGGCCCCCCTGAGAGGAGTTGCAGGAATATCTTTGGCCATGGTGAACCTCATGAGCAGCAGGTGGGAGGCGCCGTGGCCCTTTGCGTGGCCTTCAGCACCGGCTCTTGTTCGCCCCCTTTAGATCAGCCAGCGACCTGTCCTTATTACGGGCTGCGACTCGGGCTTTGGCTTCTCCTTGGCCAAATTCCTCCACGGGAAGGGCTTCATCATCTATGCTGGGTGCCTGCTAAAGGTAAGGGCTGGATATAGTTTAATACTATCGGTCTCCTCTCTCCCTGCACCCCCCCCAAAGGATTTGGGATACTCTAGATGGCGCAGTTGGCTGAGAGTGTGCTGTTGCAGCTGGCACGCTTAGGATGCACAAACATTGAAAACCCCAGATGATCTGATTGCAAAAAAGCAAATGTGGATTGAAGCCTTTGCAAGAGAAGTTTGGCATCCAAATCACGGGGAGCCATTGCTCCCCACATTTTGCTCTGGTCAGGTCTGTCCAAAGGCCTCGTTGAGGCCCCCAGCTGAAGCAGGATTGGAAGAAACCAGGAAGAGGTCAGACCAGATAGATTTTCCTTCAAGAAAAAGCAGCGGAGCAGGGAAAATGACTCTTCCTGGAAATGGTGTCAGGGCCTGCTTGCCCTCAATCCAGGGTGCAGGAGACAGAATTCAGTTGCATGGAAGTCATGAGCGGCAGGAGCAGCCCCCAGGATGCACAGGTTCCCCTTGGCTGGAGGTGGGTCCCGATCCTCCCGGCTCCTCCTGCCCTGAGCCGGGACTAGGCTACTGAGCTCTTCGGGACCCTGGGTGTTTCTCTCCAGCAAGAGGGCATGTCTCCCCTTCCCTGGAGGGAGCAGGAGAAGCTGGCCCTGCTTGGCAAAGGGCTTTGCTCCCCAGTCCCAGGCCCTGCACCACCACCCCTGCTGGCCGTGGCCGGGAAGTGCGGTAGCCACACAGGGCTCTTCTGCCAGGCTATAACTTCAGAAATTGCGGAGAATGTTCGTGGCTTGGGTGGTAGGTTTCGGCAGGGGTCTGATTTCCGAGCTTGCCGTTTATCTGTAACCTAATTTTATGGTTACCCAGCCCTGGATTCATCTGATGAGTCTTGGGAGAAGCATTACGGCAACTGTGGTATGTGAGACTTCAGAGTGGCAAATTCTCCAAACCCAGATTCGCTCTGGCGAGACACACGTGTCCCAATCATGGGGAACCGCCCAGAAAGCCCTTTGCCCAAAACGGGTGGAAAAATGGCTGGGATCAGCAGGGCGGCTTCTGGACGGAGATGCTGCACCTGCTGACAGGGCATTGCTAGCCTGAGCCCCCAGAGAGACGGACCCTTCATGGTTGCGTGACGCCCTTGCATGGGGCAGGCTGCTGGCGGTTGTCGTCTCCCTTTGTGGGGGAGCAGAGGCCCACCCTGCTTCTCCTGCCGCTTTTCATCAGGAACAAGGCCGGGGGGGCTCAAAGGACCTGGACAATATGAAGAGTGACCGAATGAGGACCGTCCAGCTCAACGTCTGTGACAGCGAGGAGGTGGGGCGTGCAGTGGATTACATAACCAGCACCCTGAAGGATCCTGAGACCGGAGGTGAAGGAGAGGAAAGGCTGTGGAGCCTGGGAGTCACACGAGGGAGGGAGGGAGGGAGGGAGGGAGGGAGGGAGGGAGGAAAAAGCCAGGGAGCCGTTTCCTTCCCTCTCAGTCGGGCTCAGTCCCCACGGAAGGCCAGCAGTTGCCCCGAGTCCCAGTTTGAGTGCAGCTACCCCTTAGCTTTCTTTCCCCTTTCCAGCACACTCCTAATGCAGGCAGGCAGGGTGTGTCTAGATTAGTAATTGGGGAGTTACCAAACGTTATATTGTGGCTTCTGGATCCCAGAATGATTTTCTAGTACAGAGGAGACAGCAAAGTCCCGCAGAAGGCAAGAAATAAACCAGGAAGCTGCAGGATGCGGAAGCTTTGATGCTTTATTATTATTATTTATTATTATTATTATTATTTATTCAATTTATATACCGCCCTTCTCCTATTGGACTCAGGGCGGTGCACAGCCAAGGATAAAAAACATACCAATACAAAATTTAAAATCAAAAGAATTATACAGCTTTGGCCCACAATTTAAAACAATCCAATTTAAAACCCAATTTACACTTAAAAAGCTAAAAAGAGCTAAAAAGTGGGGGGAGGGGCTTCATGCCAGCCCTGCTTGATGGGGAAAAAAAGTTTTTAGGGCACGGTGAAAGGCCCGGAGATCTGATATCCTTCGTATCTCCGGGGGCAAATCGTTCCAGAGGGCAGGTGCTGCCACAGAGAAGGCCCTCCCCCTGGGGGTCGCCAGCCGACATTGCCTGGCTGACGGCACCCTGAGGAGTCCCTCTCTGTGGGAGCGTACTGGTCGGTGGGAGGCTATTGGCGGCAGAAGGCGGTCTCGCAAATACCCAGGCCCGATGCCATGGAGCGCTTTAAAGGTAGTGACCAACACCTTGAAGCGCACACGGAAGACCACTGGAAGCCAATGCAGCTTGCGCAGGAGAGGCATCACATGGGAGCGCCCTCTTGCTCCCATAATCCCCCGCACGGCCGCATTCTGCACCAGTTGGAGCCTCCGGGTGCTCCTCAAGGGAAGCTCCATGTTCAGACCATTGCAGTAGTCCAGGCGGGAAGTGACGAGCGCCTGAGTGACTGTGCGTAAGGAGTCCCAATCCAGAAAGGGCCGCAACTGGCGAATCAGGTGGACCTAATGAAAACCCCCCTGGCCACAGCCGTCATATGCTCTTCCAAAGACAGCCGTGTATCCAGGAGGACGCCCAAGTTGCGAGCCCTCTCCGTGGGGGCCAATGATTCGCCCCCAATAGCCAGCGTTGGCACCAGCTGGCTATATCGGGACGCCGGAAGCCACAGCCACTCGGTCTTGGAAGGGTTGAGTCAAAGCCTATTATTCCCCATCCAGATCCGCACGGCCTCCAGGCACCGGGACATCACTTCAAGGGCATCGTTGGGATGGCCTGGGGTGGAGATGTACAGCTGCGTATCATCAGCGTACTGATGGAACTCCACCCCAAAGCCACGGATGATCTCGCCCAGCGGCTTTATGCTCCCCCGGAGCTTCTTGTCTCCTATTTGAGGTTTGGACTAGAGGACCTCCAAGGTCCCTTCCAACTCAAGTTATTCTTTTATTCAGTATTCTATTTCATAGTCCAAAATGTTGGTTTTCCTCCGTCTGGTCAAAGGCTTTGGTTACGGTTCAGAAGACCATTTCGGGAGGGGTCTCCCTGCTCTTGAGTAGCTTCTGGAGGTCTGGGCCTGCTTTTGCTCCTTTTACCCATTGGTCATCCTTTGATCCCACCCCCAACTCCCAGTCTTTGCACAGGATTGTTTAAGGGCAGCCCGACACTCTTCGGGGCAGAGCGAGAAGCGTGGCCGATGCAGCCTCTGCTCCTGATTCACAACCCTTGTGCGGAAAAGAAGCCACAAACATCTTGTAGCAGAGGACTGGAAACAGGCTTTTCTTTGAATGAAGGGGTGCAGCAAATGGAAAATATGGCTGGCTTTGAACCCCAGACAAGCCCTTGTGATCCAGATGTTTTGGATCAGGAACCCAGAATGTTTTCCTGTTATAGCAGCTTTGGCCAACATCCCCTGAGTTCTCCTCCCCCCCCCAAACCTGGTTCTCCTGGGGTGAGCAGTGGAGGATTCTGAGAGGGTCTTTGGGGTTACAGTCTCTGTAGCTCAGAGTTGCACTGGGGAGTCCTTGGTGGTGTCGGCACTAGTAAGTGTGTGCTGTGCTCCCTGTCCTTGTGCAGCCGCTTGCCAAGACAGGGCTGGTGGGGACGTGGCCAGAAAACTGTATCCTAATCAAGGACCCAGCCAGGATGGGACACACAAACCCCAACACTGAACTCAGGTAAGGGTGTTCCAGATGGCAGGATGGCTTCCGGCTCCTGCCTCCCTCGCCTCTGAGGCCAGGATAACTTCGGGATCCCCTCCTGGGCCAAATCTACAGAAGAGGCCATTCTCTCTGCAGGAGTCTGTCCCGGAAGTATCCTTGTAGTACCAGAAACCTTTTGCAAGCAATAAGTGCAGTGGGTGTAAGGTGTCATCCTGCTGAACCAGTTTTTCCTTCTCAATTGGCATGCAAGCTGCAGTATTTTGTGCCCAGTCTCCACCTGCTGCTGTGTTTGGAGCCACAAATCCTTTGGAGAAAACAGCAGCCTGCTTCCTCAGATCTCTTGCTAGATCTTTGGACCAGTAGATCTCTATCAGTCCCTTGGCTCCACGAAGGAAAGAAAGAATTTGAGGACCACTACCTGCCTCTCTCCCGTGGTTTCTAGCTCTGTAGGACGCCGCTGTGGCTGGCACTTTGGCCTCCAAACTGGCCGATGGGTGCTGGTTTTATAGAGAAGCTAATTAACAACATGGGGCAGAAGCTATTCGGCAGGATTGTTCCTGATGGGACCCCTGCCCTCGGGCCTCCAGCACCAGCCTTTCCTAGGGGGCCTGGTGGAGGGCCTCTGGAGTTTCCTGCTAAGGATAGGGTTACAGACCTTTGGCCTTCCTAGAGGTAGGAATTCTCTTCCCAGATAGAAATAGGGGCAGAGATGGCTAAGATGACTGCTTCTTTTGCTTCCTTTCCAGGGCTCTGGGGTCTGGTCAACAACGCTGGCATTTCCACTTTCGGAGAGGTGGAATTCACCAGCATGGACACTTACAAAGAGGTGGCCGAAGTGAATCTCTGGGGCACCATCCGGACCACCAAGGCCTTCCTGCCCTTGATACGGAGAGCCAAAGGTAAGTGGGGTTCGGTGGACGCAGAACCCTATCGCAGCCAGAGGGAGGTTGGGCTCCTTCCAACTGCAAGGGTGACGGTCACGGAAGAAGAACTGGTGGGGGCCTCCTGCTTTGCCCCAGCAGGGCTGCATCCTCTGAGCCAGGCTGGGTGGCTGCATCCAGAGGCAGTCCGGATCCCTTGTGGGGTGGCTGCTCCCTTCATGGCACCTTTGCCCCGGCAGGCCGCGTGGTCAACATCAGCAGCATGATGGGCCGGATGGCTAACCCCGCCCGCTCCCCTTACTGCATCACCAAGTTTGGGGTGGAGGCCTTCTCCGACTGCCTGCGCTACGAGATGCGCCCACACGACGTGAAGGTCTGTATTGTGGAGCCGGGCAACTTCATCGCCGGCACCAGTCTCTACAGCCCAGAGCGCATCCAGTCCATCGCCGACAAGATGTGGGATGAACTGCCAGAGATCGTGCGGCGCGACTACGGGCGGAAGTACTTTGACGAGCAGATTGCCAAGATGGAGTCATACTGCAACAGCGGCTCCTCAGACACCTCCCCGGTGGTCGAGAGCATCGGCCACGCCCTCACCTCCACCACGCCCTACACCCGCTATCATCCCATGGACTACTACTGGTGGCTGCGCATGCAGGTCATGACCCACATGCCCGCGGCCATTTCCGACCGCCTCTACATCTACTGAGAGTGGGGGGGTCCCCCTGGAGCCGAACTGGCGAGGGAAGGTCATGCTAAAGGTTACGCTGTATAGTTTTCTGGCAGCCGTTCGGTTAGTTTGTTTTTAAACTCTGTATTTTAGGCCTGTGATTAATTTAAACATTGGCACGTAATTTAACCCCTTGCATGGTGTGTTGGGTAGGCAGGACTATCTCACGTCTTTCAGGGGGACTCCGATGAGGGTATTTATTTCAAGTATCTCCTTCGCCTGGCTTGCATTGTCCTTAGGGGAGCTTGGCCATCGCCTTCCTTTGGAGCTGGCCGTCCCCTCCTGGAGAAAGGCTGCCCACCCAGTCCTGGGCAGCCTGGGACTTGTCCTGGCTGGGGAGGTAGCTGGCCTTCAGAGTCCTTTGTTGGGGCTGGGGGGAGGGATCGCAGCAGCCAGGGGCCAGTTGTCCACACCTGTCTTTACACACTCCTTTTCAAGGGGCGCCATGGACCAAGCGTCACCAAGCCCCTCTCCCTACTGGAGGAGCTTTGACCACGGGCTCAACCCTTTGGGGGTTCTGCCAATGCACAGAATCAATCCTGCAAGGGAGGGGGCAGCCTGCCTTTAGTCAGGGGCCCCAGACTGAGTTATTTGCACTAGTTTGATGGGTGGTGGATAATCGCAGGGCAGCAGGAGGCTGCCTTCTATCAGCATAAGCCACCCACAGCTCGGGAGCTACTGTGGGTCACTCCAATTTGACCGTGAAAGTCATTTTCCGCTTGGCACTTAAAATCCTCCCTCCAGGAGGTCAGGCTGAGCACGGTGCCTACCCCAATCCTAACCCATGAAGTCTGCGTGACTGAATGGCTTCTGGCTGTCAGTCCCTCACCACGGCTGTTGCCCCTCCAAGACGGTCTTGCCGGGGCCATCAGGAAGACCTGGCAGAGATTTGGCACACCTGTCTGTCACCAGGGGTGGGATGCCACATGGGGACACAGGCCTGTGGCTGGCAGCGGAGGAGGATAAGGGAGCATCACCCCCCCAACCAGTAAGCGGGAGGGACTGTGATTGGATGTCCTCTCTTTCAATGAACATTAAACCATGTGGCAAACCTGCCTGAATCACTGGCCTTTTTCCTTGACCCGAGACCAGATGCCCTGGGCTGCTGTGCCGGAGCTGGAAGTGAGGGCAAGAGGTGCTGCCCTCCTCCTGCTTGCCCGGGGGCCTGCCCTGCGCATCTCTCCAGGGGCTCCCTTGGAGGCTAAGCAAGAAGGTGGCCGGGCACCAGGACCCAGCGGCACCATCTTGGGAAGGTCTCTGTCCTAGAACTGGGGTGGGGTGGGGGGCTTTGACCCCAAGACATGTGAGGCAGGCTTTCCTCTCCCCGCTGCAGCACTTTCTGGGGGCAAATCCCCACCCCTGCACATCCAAGAAAGGACATAGGAGATTTTCCTTAGCTTTTTGGCTGGGCCCCTCCCTCCGTGGAAGACTCCCCCCTGCCCCCAGAGAGACTGCAGCCTCAGAAGCTGATGAAAACATCTTATTCATTTGGCCCCTGATTATGTCATCCCGTTTATATGTTATAGTGTATATGTTAATACTGCATTGCTCCACGGCCTGTGAGGAAGGGGATAGATGAGCCTGTAGGGGCCATGGAATTCTTCCTCCCCCAAGGAGGAAGAGGAGACCCCCTCCCCCTTTCATGCTAACTTGCTTCTGCAGCTGCCCAGGCCCTTTCTTGGAATAAAACACACCAAGTCACAAGCCCTTTGGTATAATTAAGAGCCTCTTCCTGAAATTAAATGAGGTGCAGCTGGAGAGTTTGCTAGTCTTCCTCTGGGCAAGGTAGGCTGGATTCATTCCCCCCGCCCCAGCAGACACCTCTAGGAATGGCTGTTCCCCCTCCCCCAGGTCTCTCCCTCAGCTGCAAGCCCCGCCCTCCCCAGAGGCCAGAGTAGGGGTGGGGTGGGGGGTAAGAAAGAGGCCGGAGTCACTCGGGGTCCCTCTCTGCCTTTTCTTGAGGGCTCTGGAGTGTTTTCAGGGGGAAAAGCTCCTTTCCTGTCCCTTCTTGAGGAAAACTCAGTCTGCAGGAAAGAGCAGCTTGTTTGGACAGGAAGTCACTTTGCACTCCCCCGTGGCCAAATGCCCCTCCCCTTCTCAGTGGCCTGCAAGGGGGGATCTCAGCCGCTGGGAGACTGTTTGACTCCCACCCTTGTCTTCCTGCACTCAGGCCCCCTGGGAGGATTGAGCTCCTCTGTGGGGCAGGCACCTTTTCTGGCAGGAGGCAAGGAAAGAAGGGGGAGAGGAAAGTCAGGTGGGGGAACTGCATCTTAGGGGGCCCAGCTCTGTCTGTACCCTCCTTCTCTTTCGGGTTGTCTTCTGATCCAGGCAGCGGTAGTGGTGGTGCCCTCCCATGCCAATGCCCCCCATGTGCTGACCCTCAGCTTGATGCTAAAATACCTGCCAGAGCTGATGAATCCAGGTGGTGTGGCTGAAGGATGAGGCCTGGGGGTGGAGACTCCAGCTGTGTGGAGACACCTGACTGTAGGTGCTTTGAGAAAGGGTCACTTCCTAGCCAGGCTCCATCTCTGGGTTGCATGTCGGTGGGCCCCAGTCTTGGATACCCCCCTACCCCCATTCTTTGGTGTAACAAGCTGCTTGCCACCATCTGGCAATATTGCACTGGCTGAGTTCACACATGACGCCTAAGCAGGAAAAGACCCGGCAGCTGCACTCAGTAGTCATGCTAAAACTGACTAGCGTTAATCTCCCTTAGACTGGATTTACTCACTAAATTGCACAAATCCTAGCTTTTCCTTTATGGATTGTGAAATTCCAGAAAACGGGTTAATTGTGAGAATGTGACTTCTGATGTGCGGATTTCCAGGATTGTAAATTGGGGGTGGACTTGGGGGACCTGACCCCACACATGGATCCCTCTGAACGCTGATTCTTGCTCTAGGCAGAGCTAAGAGGACAACAGGCATTTAGAATAAGAAGTAAATTTAAAATTGTACATTAACTCTTGTAAAAAAGATTGAAAGCCATTTCTTTGTATCTTTTTTCTATTTTTCTTATACTTTCTCCTCTCTTTCTTGCACGTTTAGTTTTCTCTGATTTTTCTTTTCTCATTTTAAATTAGTTTTTATTGGTTTTTAATCTTCCTTCTTAAACTTTTAATAAAATTATGAAGTTTGTGCACCAGCTGCAGCCTTTCCTGGATCATGACTCCTTGCACTCAGTTACCCAAGCCCTCGTCACCTCTCATAGGGACTACTGCAACGCATTCTACATACAAACGCGGAGGAGATTCTAACACAGAAAGAAGCAATTTCCCCAGAGCTATGAATTACCAAGAAAACCAAACTGAGGAAACGGAAACGAGGTAAAAGGGCAGGAATTTTAAACAAGAAATAGGGGAAATAGAACTGCTCTGCCTTCGATCTTCCTGACAAATTTATGCTCACTTGCTAACAAGATGGATGAAATACTCCTTTTAAACAGATGCAACTTTGATTTTCACAGCACAGCTGCCCTATGCTTTATTGAAACCTGGTTACATGATGATATTGATGACAACAGCATGCAAATTCCAGTGTTTCAGATACACAGAGCAGACAGAATTGCAGAATCATCAGGTAAAAAGAAGGAAGGAGGCTTATGCTTATATGTCAAAAACAGCTGCTCTCAGGATATAACTATAATATATAAATTCTGTGATGAAAACGTAGAGTCTTTACTTACCAACTGTAAACCATTTTACTGTCCACGCGAGTTCTTCTCATTTCTACTAATTGCTGTTTATGTCCCCCCCCCACAAGCCTGTGTAAACAAGGCATTATGAACTCTAGCTGACCAGATCATGGAGGCTGAAGCCAAATACCCTGATTCACTGGCCATTATTTTGGGAAATCTAAACAAAGCAAACTTAAGGAAAGAGCTACCAACATACTTTCAGCATGTCAATTGTCCCACTAGAGGCAAGAATACTTTAGACCATTGCTACACAACACTAAAAGATGCTTATCAGTCCTTACCACAAGTAGCTGTGGAATACTCTGATCATTGCATGATTCACCTTGTACCTGCTTACAGGCAAAGACAAAGCCAACAATTAAATCAATGAAGACCTGGACCGAGGAGGCAAAGTTAAAGCTACAGGCCTGCCTTGACTGCACTGATTGGAATGTTTTCAAAAGTACCTCTGCAGACTTAGATGAACTCACAGATACTGTAACATCATATGTCAGCTTCTGTGAAGACCTATGTGTACTGACCAGGAACTTGCGAATACACAGTAACAACAAACCTTGGTTCACAGCTAAACTTAAGCAGCTATGTCGTTCCAAAGAGGAAGCCTACAGAAAAGGTGATAAAATGCTCTACAATCAAGCCAGAAATGTATTAACAAGGGAGATCAGAGCAGCAAAAAGAAGCTACTCTGAAAAGCTAAAGAATCAGTTCTCAACAAATGAACCAGCAAACGCGTGAAAAACTCTTAAAAATATCACAGGTTATGGCAAACCTCCTTCCCAGGCTGAAGGAAATCAACAACTGGCAGATGATCTGAATGTGTTTTAGTGCAGGTTTGAAAGGAAACTACAGCAACCTATCTCCACAACCCCCATCTCAGACACACTAACAACAGCCAAGCCTCCTACAACTGACCCCATTCCATTGGGTTCACAACCCCTAGTGATCACAGAAAAGGAAGTGCAAGACCTATTTCACAGACAAAAACCAGGAAAAGCTCCAGGCCCAGACAAGATAACTCCTTGCTTAAAAGTCTGTGCTGACCAATTGGCCCCCATCTTCACCTGAATCTTCAATAAATCGCTAGAAATGTGCTACGTTCCTCCTTGCTTCAAACGCTGTACCGTCATCCCAATGCTGAAAAAGCCCACCACCAAGGAACTGAACAACTACAGACCACTTGCTCTAACATCTGTAGCTATGAAAACTTTTGAAGGGCTAGTGCTGTCTCACTTGAAAACCATCACAGATCCGCTGTTAGTCCCCCTGCAATTTGCATGCCGAGCAAATAGATCAACAGATGATGCTGTTAATATGGCTCTGCTCTACATCTTACAACATCTTGAATCTCCAAAGACCTACGCAGGGGTCCTCTTTGTAGACTTTAGTTCAGCATTCAACACCATCATTCCAGACATTCTTCTAACTAAGCTAAACCAGCTAGTAGTACCTGAACACATTTGTAAATGGATCATAAGCTTCCTAACAGACAGGAAGCAGCAGGTGAAGCTAAGCAGAACCACAACAGATACCTGTACTATTAGCACAAGGGCCCCACAAGGCTGTGTGCTCTCTCCACTTCTCTATACCAATGACTGCATCTCAAGTGATCCATCTGTTAAACTACTGAAGTTTGCAAATAGAATAGAATTCTTTATTGGCCAAGTGTGATTGGACACACAAGGAATTTGTCTTGGTGCATACGCTCTCGGTGTACATAAAAGAAAGATACATTTGTCAAGAATCATAAAGTAAAACAATGATAGTCATAGGGAAACAGTCAATAAAAATCTTAAGGATATCAGCAACAAGGTTATAGTCATACAATCATAAGTTGGAGGAGATTAATAGTAGTGCAGACTTAGTGAATAGTTTGACAGTGTTGAGGGAATTATTTGTTTAGCAGAGTGATGGCGTTTGGGAAAAAACTGTTCTTGTGTTTAGTTGTTCTGGTGTGCAGTGCTCTATAATGTCGTTTTGAGGGTAGGAGTTGAAACAGTTTATGTCCAGGATGCGAGGGGTCTGTAAATATTTTCACAGCCCTCATTTTGACTCGTGCAGTATAGAGGACCTCAATGGAAGGCAGGTTGGTAGTAATTGTTTTTTCTGCAGTTCTAATTATCCTCTGAAGTCTGTGTCTGTTTTGTTGGGTTGCAGAACCAAACCAGACAGTTAGAGGGGTGCAGATGACAGACTCAATAATTCTTCTGTAGAACTGTATCAGCAGCTCCTTCGGCAGTTTGAGCTTTCTGAGTTGGCGTAGAAAGAACATTCTTTGTTGTGCTTTTTTGATGTGTTTGATTTGGGGTGTCCATTTTAGGTCGTGAGATATGGTAGAACCTAGAAATTTGAAGGTCTCTACTGTTGATACTGTGTTGTCTAGTATTGTAAGAGGTTGTAGTATGGGAGGATTTCTCCTAAAGTCCACCACCATTTCTACAGTTTTGGGTGTGTTCAGTTCCAGATTGTTCTAGTCGCACCACAAGGCTAGTTGTTCAACCTCCCGTCTGTATGTGGATTCATCATTGTCTTGAATGAGACTGATCACTGTTGTGTCATCTGCGAACTTCAGTAGTTTAACAGATGGATTGTTTGAGATGCAGTCATTGGTATATAGACAGAAGTAGGATAAGCCCATCCTCCTTGTGCCAGCAGAGAGGGCCTACTATGAATCCGATCGGTCAAAGAACTCTGACTCTCGGGATCCAGAAGAGCCTTTTCTGCCGTTGGAACCTCCTCCCCTCCCCCCGACCCGGCTGGCCTGGGAACCCCAAGGGGGAATTTTGCACGCTGGAGGGGGCTGCTGGATTGATGGCTGACTCCACCTCACCCCACTTGCTCTCCACCTGTCCATCTTTTTATCATATTGATTCATTCCCATTTTCTTTTCCATTGTTTATTTTATTGTTGTATTATTTTACTTCTGCTTTGTTTACCCTCTTTTCTTTCCTTCCTTTTTATCGTTGTAAGTGGCCTAGAGCAGACCCACAGCGACATAGGCAGCAAATAAATTTAACAAATAAATACAGAAAATAAAGCCAACATTAAGCAGAATTGCAAGAGTGGCCCATGAATGTTTGCAGAATAAATAGTAAAAACTCCCTCAAGTCAAGGTCAGCAAGCCCTGGTGACTCTGAACACCTGCATCTCATCTTAGTGACAACATGGAAGCGGTTGGCCAGAGTTTCTCCAGGGAAGGTCACCACGTGTGTCCTCCATGGTCCTGAGCTCTTGGACCTTGTCATCGGGGGAGTTGGGGGCTCTTGGTGGTGGTGGTGGTGGTGGTGGTGGTGGTGGTCTCTGGCCATGGAAGTGGGAAGCTGTGGGAGATCCCAGGCTAGGCCCTTTGAACCTCCTCTTTGCCTCCTAGATCCCTTGGGGTGGGATCTTGCTGAGTCCCTTGCTGCTTCAGAGAAGGCTTATCACTCTGAGGGCGAAGGGATTGATCAGAATGATCTCTTTCAAGAATCTCGGGATCTGGGTTGGTTCCAGACAATGCTTGGACATTTCCTGAGTGATCCATTGAGTGCCTGGCAAACCTTTGGCCATAGAAAGTAGTTCACGCTCCTGATCTGGTTGCCCCTAGTTAAGGGATCCCTAGTTAAGGGATCCAGAGGGTTGCCTTAGTTCACCCAAGTGCTTCTGAAATGAATCTGGTGGAGCCCAGCAAGAGCTCTGATCATCTTGCCGCACACAGCCGCCCTTTCCTCTGCCTCGCCTGCCTGGGTGTTGCAGGCAGGGAATACTAAATGTCCAAATGGAAGTTTTCTTCCCCATTTCCCCCTTGGCTGTCATGATCAGGAGCTTCAGTACATGGTGGGGGCTTCTGGATGTTTAATGAGAGAAAGACGTTGAATGTGGCCCGGGGAGGGGGGCAGGCTCCTTGGAGAGAGAGGCTTCTGTCTTCTTTACCCTGCAGGTGCCTCCGCTGCCCCACGAGGCAGCCAGGCTTTTCCCAACATGAGCAAACCACACCAGGAGGAGGGGATGTCTTGCACTGAGCTTACCCACTAGGCAGCAAAGAGGCTCCAGAGCCTTGGGGACTGCGGCTGCCTTGGCCTGGTGCACCCTCATGGATGGAAGGGGCTGGATTGATGCACCCTGGGGACTCTGGAGGGCTCTTTGGCTGCAGCTGGAAGGAGCCAAGCTTGGCAACCGGCTGCTGCTTGGCTCTATGAAGGACCTGCCACCAAGACAGGGTAAAGGCTGGACAGAGGCATCTCCATGCCCAGGGGCTGTGGGGGGAGGGACCTTCCGTACAAAAGCTGCTTGTTTCTGGCGCCGTCAGGCACCACATGGCAGAGCTTGGGGCCTCCAAGCCATGCAGACGCTGCCAGATGAATTAGGCTTTGTGAGAAGACAGCAAGTCCATCTTGGCAGGGAGGTGCTGTCTCCAGAGCCCCCTGGGAGCTGGCCAGGAGGGTCTCCCTGACCTCCATTCCCTAGAGAGCCAGTGGGACAGGGACAGGAGCTGCTTCCTCCCCCTGCTCCCATCAGCCTGAAGCCTCTAGCAACCTGAGCACTGGGAGAGAACAGGGAGCAATGCCCCCTTAACTCCCCTCTCTCTGCTGCTGCTGGTTGAAACACAGCATTTCTCTCCTTCATCCTCAGCCCCAAAGGGCTGGATCTTTTGTGGTGGTGATTCCCAAGCAGACTGGAAGCCACAGAAAAACGCAAGGTGACCCAAGAGAAGGAGTATGTTGAGTGCAAGTGAGGCCAGCCTGCCAGCCCCCAACGAAGCAGCAGCTTCTGCCATTGCCCAGGCGCTTGAGATTTGCTCTGTTCGCACATCTTCGCACAGCCCCCCCCCCCCAGCAGTCCTTCAGGTGATATCAATCCTAGCCATCCCTTCCTCCATGCTCTGAACCTCACCCAGTGGTGGGTTGACCCCAGTTCGCACCGGTTCTATAGAACTGGTAGGAAAACTGGTGGGAGGCTCCGCCCACTGACCCTGACATCATCAAAATGCTTCTGCGCATGTGCAGAAGTGTGCGCAAGTTGAGTGAAGCGAGCCCCATTGCGAACCGGTAGTAAAAGTAAGTAGAACCCACCCCTGACCTCACCACATTGATTCTCCCAGGTGCAGTAACAGTAACAGAGTTGGAAGGGACCTTGGAAGTCATCTAGTCCAATCCCTGCTCACGCAGGAGACCTATGCTAGGGATTTGAACCACCGAACTGCCAATCTTTCTGATCGACAAGCTCAGCGTTTTAGCCACTGAACCACAGCTTGCAGTGATCCTGACCCCCTTCACGAACCCCCTTCAGGTCCCTCCTCCCTTTCCCTTCACCCAACGTTTCTCTCTTTCCCACAGATGCCACCAGGCCTGTTTTTTGTTTCAGGATTCTCGCATTCTGGCTTCACCTTCTCTCCTGAACGGTTGGTTTCCCTGGAATGGGAAGTCGCTTCTCCACCACCAGCAGCCGGCCACGGAGTCCGTCTTTACCCAATCCATCCCTCACCGCTACCCCTCCCATCAAGGAAGCCGCCACTGGGCTCAGCCTCGGTCTTAGCAGGGAGGCCTCCGTGAGCTGGCCTAGCCCTAGTGCATTTAGGCAAGGTAGGTGACTGGAGGTAGTTATTTCATGTGATACAGAAAATTAAACTTCATTAAAATGATAAAATCGTAAAAAAATATTGGCTGGCTGTCTCTGAAAAATACAACAAAGCACTGTGAGAAATCTCAGTGGCAGCCATACTACCTCCATAGTCCAGGCTGCAAGAGGATGGGCTTTCCCCCACTGCCTGAGGGCTGAGGAGGTTGGTGGGACGGGAGCATGTTTCCTTGTGGTTTCCACTTGTGAGACACCTCAAAAGGAGCCACCAGCAGCAGCCACCTTTCTTTGCAAATTTAGAAGAGCCACGTTAGTCCACAAGTGGCAACAACTCAGGAATCCAATAGCAGCTTTTCCAACTGGCAAATTTCATTAAAAGCAGTAAGCTTTTGTGAACGGCGGTTTAATCATCATAATGAAATATTATCCCTGTGCACTTATGTGGTCTCTGGGCCCTAATGAAGCCCACTTGTTCTACAGAGTGAAGAGCCTGTGAATCAAAGCTCTTTCCTGGTCTTAATAGGGAAAGTCGGCCTTGCCAGCCTGTGATTTATAGCCTGCTGAGTAGAGACCAGCGGGTCCAGGGTCGTCTGACTGATCAGGTGGAAAAGGCCACGAGATGGTGTATGGATTACATGCTCGGGTGGGGCAGGGAAATCTGCCCCCTCCACAGTAGCCCCCCCCCACTTCCCCTGGGGCTGCAGCTGCAATGTGTCCTCTTGCTTTCCATCCAGGCAAATGCGGCGGCAGCAGGGAGGGGTCTTCGCGGGGAGCGAGATCAAAGCGCCCCTCTGAGCAAACATTTCCACAGCCACGCGAGTGGGGAAGTGGCTCCATGTGTCTATGTGGGCTGCAGACGAAACTCCGTCTAAACTGCCAGTCCGCTTGGCGCATCTCGGCCTGGATCGACCCTCTTGGGGCAGAGCTTCTCCCGTCTGCCTGTAGCGTTCGGGCTCGAAAAGCTCCCAGAGGCAACACGCGAAGCCAGCGGGGCTAGAAGCCGCGGTGCCCACGCCGGGCTCCCCCGTCACCCAAAAGCAGGCAGAGGCGCCGCGGAAAGTCCGCCAGGGCTCCGTCTGCGGCGCGCTCCGAAGATGCTCCCGAGAAGAGCCCCCGGCGGCGATGACTCCCCCCCGCTCCTAGCACGGAGCCCCCCCCATTTGGCTCCCGAAACGCCTGCAACAAAAGGACCCCCCCCCGCCCCGCTCAGCGGCCCCTCGAGCGGGAGACCTCGGGCGCCGCGACCCCCGCAGCGTCGGGGGAGGTCGTGACGGGGCCGGTGCAGCCAAGGGCCCTCGAGGGGGAGAGCAGGAGGGGGTCAAGTTCCGCGGGGGCGGGTGGCGGACGGGCACGGGAGGCAGGGAGAGGCGCTTCGTCCGCGCCGCCTTCCTGCCGGTCCGAAGGGCCCTCCTGCGGGCCTGTCCCTCGGCCGGGGAGGTGGCCGGGGGGTGGTGGGGAATCAGAGCCCCGACCGGCAGACCTGGCGGCTGCCCTCCGCTCGAGACCGCGACCGGCGGCGCTGGGATCGGGCGAAGGGGGGGCAGTCGGGGGCGGGTCCGAGTCCGGCGGCGGCGGCGGGCCAATCGGCGGCTCCCGCGCGCTGGCTCTGCCCGAAACTTTCTGGGCGGGGCCGAGGCCTGGCGCTCACCTGGTCCGCCCCGCCGGGTAGGTAGGAGGCGGGCCGGCGGACGCGGATTGGTGGGCGGCCGGGAGGCGTGGCCAGGCGCCCGCCTGTGCCGCCATCTTGCCTGAAAACTTTTGGGCTCCCGGCGCCGCCCGTCCGCCCGGAGGGAGCCAGGAGCGTCGCCGAGGAAGGAAGGAAGGAAGGAAGGAAGGAAGGAGGGAGGGAGGGAGGGAGGCCGGAGCGGCGCTCGCCATGCCCGTCAGGAGGCAAGGTGGGCCGGCGGGGGGGGGGGGGGGGGGGGGGGGGGGGGGGGGGGGGGGGGGCGCGGGCAGAGGGCGGCGGGGCTCCGGCGGGGCTCTGACGGCTCCCTCTCCGTCTCTCCCGCCCGCCCGCCCGCCCGCAGACACGCAGCGCGCCCTGCGGCTCCTGGAGGACTACCGCGCCAAGCTGAGCCCACGGGAGGACCGGCAGCTGCGCAGCTCGGTGGAGCGGGTGATCGGCATCTTCCGGAGCAGCCTCTTCCAGGCCCTGCTCGGTAGGCGGCCCCCAGCAGCCCTCTTCCCAGGCGGCGGCCGCAGGGGCCCGGGGCCGGCAGTCGGTCGGGGGCGGCCTCCGTCCCTGCCCGTCGCGGGGCCTCCTCTTCCCGGCTCTCCCGCCACAGCTCCTCTCCCAGGCGCCCCGGGGGTGGCGTGGCCGACGGCCCGGGGGTGGGGGGTGGGGGGTGGGGGGAAACTTCCCGAGAGCGGAGTTTTCCCTTCGGCCTCTTGGCTGGACACGGGAGGGGGCCTTGTTGGAAGCGGACGGGTCCTTTAGCCTTCGCTCCGGGAGGAGGAGAATCCCTTCTGAGGAGCCGTTAATGAACCTCCAGATATCCAAGAGTTCTACGAGGTGACTCTACTTGAAAACCCCAGGAGTGCCGATCACCCGAAGCCGGCTCAACCCGTCCAGCCCGGGGGCACCTGGGACTTCCCCAGTCCGCCAAGCACCGGCCTGACTTCGGAGACCTTGCCCAGCAGCCAGACTGCCGACACCCAGGTACGTAAACCCAGAGCCGGCCCTCTGTCTCAGACTCTGCCTGGGGATGGCAAATGGGGCGCTGGTGTAGGACGGGCCCTGCCCCCTTTGGGAAGCCTCCTTCTTGGAGAAAAATGTATTTTGTTTTCCCTGCCTCTAAATGGGGGTAGCTGAACTTCTGGAAATGTTTCGGTTTGTTGTGCAACACTTGCAAATAAGTGTTATAGTAACAATGGATTAAAATGTATTAACGCGGGAAGCCTTTGAATCGGAGTTAGTTTCTGACTTGACTGAGATTGAAATGTTTAGAATCTACTCCAGAATTGCCTTGGTTGCAAATTGCACCGGCATGATAGTTTCCCCAAACAGTCGTGGAAAAAAAAGATGCCCAAGGATGCATCAGATCAGAAGGTTTGGGGTGGACTCCCCCCCCTTGGAAGAAGTGGGTGTTTGGGAGGGGGCTGCTGAAGGGTGGCCTTTCAGAAGGGTGGCTTGAACTCTGATAGAAAAGCCCCCTGCCTGCTTTGGGTTTCTCTGCCTAGGTGGGCACCTGGGCAGTGTGCTCTGGGGAAGGGGGACATGCTGTATGGGGGTGGGGGGGAGGAGGCTTTTTTATTGAGTCTTTGCATTGGTCGGTGGGTGGGCAGGAGATGTTGAGTGCCCAGAGGAAATCACCCCCCAATAGATGGCTAACCAGTGGCTGTCACTTCTGAGTCAAAGGGCAGAGAGGACCTTGCTGTGGCCCCCCTCCAAAGAAACCTACCCTTGGTTGGTAGAGGGAGAGGAGAGCCCAGGGCCCCTCCAAAGGACCTAGTGGGATGTTCATTTAGCCTCTTCATCCTGCCTTTGGATGCTGCCTTCTACCTCCAAATCCCACTGCCTTGAACAGCCAGAGGCCTGCGCTTGGGCGGGACCAGTGGGCGCATGGAGATTTCCCACTGGAAGGGCAGTGGGGAGGCCAGAGGGGCTGGCTGTTAGTCTTCCTTCGTAGTTGGTCTGACTACAGTGGACACAGTTGTGAAATGCCCACTGAGAGAAATGTAGTTGGTCTTCATTGAATTTCTTTTGTTGGGCCAGGAGAACCAAACAACAATTCTTTATGCCCTTCTTTCACCATTGTACATTTGGGGAGAAATGTCAACCTACCAACTTATCTACGTGTGCATGGTGTAAATGAGCTTTTGAACAGTTCCTTGTTTCTAGATAGGTGTGTTGGCACTGATGGTAAGCAATAGCGGTTAGACTTATATGCCACTTTACAGTGCTTTACAGCCCTCTCTAAGCGGTTTGCAGAGTCAGCATATTTTCCCCAACAGTTTGGGTCATCATTTTACCCACCTCGGAAGAACGGAAGGCTGAGTTAACCTTGAGCCTGGTGAGATTTGAACTGCCGAATTGCAGGCAGATGGCAGTCAGCAGAAGTAGCCTGCAGTACTGTACTCTAACCATTGCGCCACTGTGGCTCATAGTGATAGGACAGAATTTTTCTCACGCCCAAACTGAATTCTACAAACTTAGTTTACTTTAATTGTTATGGACAGAGAGGATGGAACAAACTTTCTTCTACTGAAAAGACAGATACCCACAGCAGAATAATGTAAATTTGTTGTTCTTTTTGGCAAACTTAGTGGTTTTTGCCTCAGCCCTTGAGCAGGGATGCAAGGGAGTTATTGTCACTTAAAACTTAGAAAGAGGGATAGGGGGACGGGGCACTTAGTGTTCTGCAGAGGAGTCTTTAGAACTGGAAGCTGTTTCAAAGTGGTAAGAGGGAAATTCAAAGTCATGTTAGAAAGTAAGACTTCGCAGAAGTTTAGAGCCAACTTCCATTGGAGGTAGTGGGTCAGGCATCAGTAATTACGTTTCAGCCTGCTTGGGATAAACATATGTCCATCATCCGACAATTTAAAAAAAAACAAACCCTTAAGCACAGATTCGATGGACCACTAGTCACCATCAGTTATCTATGTTTTTTTCTATGTTTCTGTGTTTCCGATGTTCTGGCAGAAAAAGGCTGCCCTTGGGGCTGTATCCTCTGGAATACCATGAAATGCTTCTGGTAGGGATTAACATGTGGAAAATTGCCAGATGGTCCCAAAGTTGACAATGTTCCCCACAATTAAAGCAAATTCTTCTATGCCTACCAAAACTACATTTTTCAAATTTCCAATTTCTCTGATCCCAGCATAATTCTCTTACTATTCACATCTAATCTTAACACTGTAAGATTAAAGGCACTTCCCTCTTCTGTTTATGTGGATACGAATATATAAAGATGTACCATCGAAGTAAGATGCATTATTTTTGGAGACTTTTAATTCCAGTTATAGTAACACGAAGCCTCTCCTTCCAGCTATCCACAGCTGCTAAGCGTTATTTAAGAGTAAAGGGATGGACATTTCAAGGGGGATGAATTGAGGCTTCCAGCTGTCCATCCCTCCTTTTAGCAGTGGGGAGGGAAAGGATTATTCTTTGCTGTCCACGACCTGTGAAACTTCCTCCTCCTCCTCCTCCTCCTCCTTCTCCTCCTCCTCCTTCTCCTCTATGAGACTGAAAAAAGCCTATGTCCCTCCGGAATATCATCAGTTGGATTCCTTCAGGGAGCCCCCTCTTGGGGGTGCAAGCAGACAAGAGGGGCCAAGCTGTGAGCTCTTTGGGGCCAGGAAAGTCTCTTGCTCTCCCTCCATTCTTTGGGGGTTTGATCTTCTACACCCCTTTCTTTTCTAGAGCCTCTTTGGTATGTACAGTCCTATTTTGTGGAGAAACTTTGCTTCCTTATGGAATTAGCATCTTGGCTTGGTAGCCAGTCTCTTTCTCTAACTCCTCAGGTTCTTTTTCTCATCCATTTTCACAACCCACTAAATACCTTTCTTACTTACAATGATTTTATATAATGGTTACATGTTCTTCACTCATAGCGGTGTCACATGTCTTCTCTTTAATTTTCTGAGTTTAACCATTTTCTGACATTAAAAACTAATCTTCCACAGTCCATACCTGACGGTGCACTAGTTGACTGAGTGGCCTTTCTCCCTCTCTTCCTGGCTCCTCTGAGATGCTGAAGTGGTGAGTCGGGCGATGCCACGGGCACCGTTGCCTTCGGCTTCCTTGGAGCCTCTGTAGCTTGGAAAGAAAGGCTTCTCTTCCCTTATCCTCTTCCGCCTCTTTCTGCAGTGGGAGAGAGTTGATCCCATCCAGGTCTCCAGGGATCCTACACTCCTGCCTTCCTCCCTCCAGATCACCCATCGGTAGCGCCGTGTCCTTCCTTGACCTGGTGCTCATTTACCTCACGTTTACCGAGCATCTGTTAACTCTGTGCTTATGATTCCATTGTTTTGGCTATATATTTCTTAGTATCATTGCTGTGCCAGTCTTCATACAGATTTATGCCTTAGATAATACTGTACAGTATATATTTTTTGAGTTCGTGGCCCATTCCAATTCATGCATTCATACATGTGGCACGTTTATATGGCCATCCATTTTATAATCCAATAAGTGACGAAGGATTCTGATTCACCTAAGTTCAGTTATAGCTGAATTATTGAATTTTTTTTAAAAAATAATTTTTATTGAACTGTTTTTTTAAAACAAAAAATGAAATTTTTACAATTTTCTTCTTTCCAACATTTCTGCATCAGTATTCATTTCTTATATATCCATTGATATGAATCCTTGGATTTGATAACCCTTCACTTTCACTTTGGCAATTTCATGTTTTCCTGGAGGGGGAAGATTCTCCGTGCCCTCTTTGGAAGCGTGGGTCCAGTCACTTGAAAAAGAACGTGGGGAGTTGGAGTAGGGCACCCCTAAGCCAACCTCTCTGAGGAATGGGACAAGAAGGTGGTGGGTCTGTTTAGGGTGTAAGTATGACCATGTCTACAAGTGCAGGTAGTCCTTGACTTACGACCATTTGCTTGTGGAAGGACATTGAAAAAAGTGATTTACAGCTGGTCTTCACACTTATGACTGTCTGGCATGGCATCTCCGCAGCCCCTTGGCAACCAGCGGGTCTCTGTCCCTGGGTTTCTACCATTTGCCACCTTCCCCAACCGGCTTCTGACAGGGAAAGTCAGTGGGGTAAACTGGATTAGTTCAGTGACTGGGTAATTCACTTAAGGACCACAGCAAAAAGGTTGTAAAATTGGGTGTGACTCACTGCCCACCTTGCTTAGCAACGGGTGTTCCAGTCACAGTCATCAGTGGGGGACTATTTTCCCCCTGAAATGTGCAAGCAGGACATGGACCACTGCCCCCGTGGTTGAAAGAAAGCAGATCTGGGAGCGGGGTGGGGGTGGGGGTGTGAGCTCTCTCGACAATAAGAGAGGTTAAGCAGCATTGCATCCGCCCCCCCTCCGCCCCATTGCTCTTTGCAGTGGATTCCTGTGCCTTCTGAGGTGGGTGGGGGATTGGATTAGAGATCCCTTGCAGACAAGGGAAAACTGTATGTAATCTTCTGTTTCTCTACCCCCACCCCCACTCTTTGTTATCTGGAAATGAAAGCTGAGTCTGTCACAGAAGCAGCCTAGCCAAATAAATATCTAATAACTAAATAACTAGAAGACTGGTTGGGTTTCATGAGCCTGGTGTTTGTGGAAAAGCGCTGGCATCAGGAGAGCATGGTGGGTAGGGATGGGGGCTTGACCAGTTGGGAAAAAGAGCGGGGTGGTGGGGGTGATGGAGAAGGAGAAGGACTGCCCTGCAGAAGAGGGGGTGGAGATGGGGGCAAACAAGAGGGGGTTATTTGCAGGGACAGAAAGGGGGGCAGTTGCTTAGGGAATAGGCCAGGTCCTCTTTCCTGTGGCTTATCTTTGCTGACACTTATTCTGTCCTTTGCATAATGTGGCTTGTTCCAGGAGGGGGAGGGGGAGGGGGGGGGGGGAGAGAGAGAGAGAGAGAGAGAGATGGGGAGATTTCTGTCTTTCTCAGGTCATGGATGGTTGTGGGGAGGCTGAAGTTCCAAGGGATCATTTAGTGCCAACATAGACAATTTCTTTGTTTGGTAGGTCTGCACTATTTTTTTTTTTTTGATCATCTGAAATAAAATGCCAAGTTCCTGAACGTTTCAGATTCTGGCATCGTGGGGGTTTTTTTTGGCCAAGGTGCGTTTCAGGTGCTACTTTTAGAGACCTTTTTCTCTTTTCTTAATTGCTATCTCAGGTGAAAGAAGTCTTGGAGGGAACATTTTTAAAACTCTTAAGACAAAAAGCTGTTCACAAAGTCAGTGGTACAGATAGTCTTCGACTTATAACAGTCCACTTAGTGACCATTCAAATTTACAACACCTGAAAAAAATGATTTATGACTGTTTTTCACAGTTAAGACCTTTGCAGTATCCCCCCTGATCATGTGATCAAAATTCAGATGCTTGACAACTGGTTCATACTTACGATGGTTGCAGCATCCCAGGATCACGTGATCCCCTTTTGTGACCTTCTGACAAGCAAGGGGGAAGCCAGATTCATTTAACAACCAGGTTACTAACTTATTAACTGCAGTGATTCACTTAACAACTGTGGCAAGCAATGTCATAAAATGGGGCAAAACCAGTGGTGAAAGGCAAATTTTTTTGCTACCAGTTCTGTGGGTGTGGCTTGGTGGGCATGGCTTTTGGGGGGGGTCATGTGACTGAGTGGGCATAGCCAACTTTTTTTAAAAAAACTTTTTTTACTGCCTATTCGCCCAAACCGGTTGTAAAAAAATGCTGAATCACAGCTGATTCAGCTGTGCCGTGTGATCATCAGAACCTTTTAAAAACTTTTTAAATGCATTTTTTTACTACTGGTTTGGGCGAATAGGTAGTAAAAAATGCTTTAAAAAAGTAAACAAAAGGTTCCGATGATCGTGCAGCACAGCTGTGATTGTCGGAACCTTTTTTTTTTTTTTTTTTTTTTACTTTTTAAAGCATTTTATCACTATTGGTTTGCCCGAACCAGAGCGAACCGGTAGCATTTCACACCTGGGCAAAACTCACATAACAAATTCTTACTTAACAACATAAATTTTGGGCTCAGTTGTGGTTGTAAGTCGAGGACCAGCTGTATTGTTTGTGTGCTGCTGTTCTTCCCTCCCCGCTTCTGTCCTGTCCTGCTTTGTGGCAGGGGAAGTGGCCTCTGAGAAGGGCTGGCTGTGCCTTAGAAGGCGATTATGCCCCTCTAATTTAGGAGACTTCTTCACCAGGATTTGACTTGGATGGCTATATAAACTGAATAAATGAATGAACGAGGGACTGAAAGGCAAATGAAAATTACACATTCATTGTTGGTCTCTGAAAATAAAAGAGACAGAGGGGAAGCTTTGGTAATATAACCTTGATTTTACAGGCCATTTGAAGAGAAAGGGTGCCTGTTAAAGCCAACTATTTGTTAAAGCTGAATGTATGAAATGTGTATTAATTTTATATAAAATGTTTGTGCAAAAATTAACGTAGTTGAAAGTAAAACTTGAACTCATTCCAGAACACAATTGGCCTGAATTCAAATTTTGTTTGTTGCTGCCAAAGTCTGCTGAATGAAGATTTGTAAAATCAAGGTTTTACTGTAAAAGACCTGATGAATTAGTGCAAATAGTAAAGGTCTAAGTTTAATCCGTAGAGTTTAAAGTCTGGGATTTGGGTCCCCCCAAAGAGAGGAGAAGTTGAAGGAACCAAATGCCGGGGACCAGTGGCCTCTGAGTGTGAGCAAGCAGGGCCCATTTGCAAGGGTGAGATAGTCTGGCCCAGAGGCTCTCTTTATTTGTTATTCAGATATTTCTTTTAATTATTAAGATATCAGCTGTTTCTTTTGCATGTCCAGGGTAACATCGTTTTGTGTGTCATTCTTATAGGATGTCATTTTTAAACCCATCACTCATTTTGAGTGTTTTCTAGAACCTTGGTTACTCCTGATAGGCAATAACTAAGTTTTGGGTACTCCTGATATGGATAACCAGGTTTGGGGCATAATACTTGAGATGCCATAATAGCACTGCATAAATACGAAGTAACATAAAGAAGCGAAAAGCATCGGTTGGGGATGGCAGTGGCCAGGAAGGCCCATGAAAAGGATCTTGATGTGCCCCATGGGAGGTTTTGGAGGAAACTCACTTGCCTTCCCTGCCGGAAGCCTTAGCGGCACCTGGCAAGACACATGTGGCTGTTGAATTCGGTTTGGTTGTAAAAATCACCTCTCTGTGCACATTGCAGAAATTCAGCTCCCAAGATGAAGACTCTTTTCCCTCGGAGCCCAGCGGCTTTCCTCAGGCTCCGGGCACAGGGATGCCAGCTGCAGAGCTGGTGCATGTGTCCGAGAAGAACCTCTCACAGCTGGAAAGCATCCGTGGCTTCGTTGGCCACTCGCACATTTCACCAGCCAAGGTAAGAGCAAAGGCTGGTAGTTCGGGACAGCTGCGGGAACCAGTTGGAGCCCCAGGGGAAGCTGGCCTGTTTGGTCCGGCCAAAAGTTGATTAAAGGTGGGCAACTCTTGGCCGCAGCGGTAGTCATCGGGACCATGGCTGGTGGGACGCAATACTGGAGGCAGCTCACGCTCAGGTCCCTGGTCTCCTATCTCTCTGATCTTTGCTTCATCATTAAAGTCTAAAGTTCTGATTTTCTTAAAACTGATTGCCCATTTCCTAGTATAGGTAGTCTTCAAGTTATGACCATAACTGAGCCTGTAATTTCAGTTGTAAGTCGTTGTGGTCATTATGTGAGACATCATGTGACTGATTGTGACTCAACGGCTGCAATATTAGCACTACGAAGCTGGGCAGGGTGGCGCAGTGCGACCTGAACCCAGGGAGGCTGCAGAAAGAAGTGGCCCCTGCATCCTGGGAAACCCCAAATGCCCGAAAAGCTGTAAGGGCTTGGGTGAAATAGCCACTCGGTAATCGTCCATCGCCCCAACCCAGCCTCGCTCCGGGGTGGGAAGGCAGGAAGCAGGCAGGCCACAGCGATGGGGAGGCCTTTAAAGCTGCTGCCATCCAGGCCTTTTTTCCACAACTGAACTGCCCCTGCTGATGGCTTCCCTGCCCCTGTGGGCTTTTCCTATGGGGCTGTGATCCCCCCACCAGGATTGGGTTTAGCCCCCCCCCCCCTGCATCACTCATGGATGCAGGAGAGAAGTGAAGAACATCTAGGACTTTTAAAGGAGGGGGGAGGCTTGCTGCCTTCGGGTACACATGCATGCACCCCCGCCCCCAAACGTTGGGAGAAAGGGGGCTGGTGTTCCAAAGAGTTTGGACTTTTTCAAGGGGACTCCAAGCCTCTTCTTCCTCCACCCAGTGACAAAGGAAAAGAGGAAGGGAGATCTCCTCCAATACTCTTCCTCCTCCTCCTCTTCCTCCAGAGCCCTAGAAACAGGCCGGAGAGATCCTTCAGGGTCCTTATATATGTGGAGGGCCCCTTCCCACAAAACTAAAAGCGAGCTTGCACCACTTCCCTTCCTCCCTGTATGGATTCCAGTGGGCTTTTTCTTGCTTTTGAACCAGGGATGGGGGGGGGGGACAGGCAAAGGTTGAGTGGGGGCACTGATTCCTGAATGGGAGGGAAGCCACTGGCTGGAGCCGCGCAGGGGGAAAGGCTGGACGTGGCTTTATGGTTGCCTATTTCTGGGGGACACCTGCCTGTTACGGCCTTCCATCTCCCTCAGGCTTGCTGGGAGGGGGCAGAAATGCCCCAGAGCTCCCTTTGTGGCGGGGTTGGGGGGGAGCACCTGCTTCCTTTGGGGCTTCCCGGGTGTTTATGGGCATCGAAGGGAAGAGAGAGAGGCAGGAGGGGGCAGTTGCAGCACAGCCCTGCAGTAGGGACCTGTTGTAGGGGTGGGCAGAGTGCCAAGCACCCAGTTTTCATCATGTGACTGCGTGGGGCGCTGTGACGGCCATAACTTCAGGCACGGGTCTTAAGTCCCTTTGTCAATAATTTTGAATGGTCTCTGAACGGTCATAAATCAAGGACTTGCTGTATTAGCAGAAGAATCCAGTGCAGGTGTTAATGGTGTAAAAGATGGGGCTTTAGAGGGCTTTAATGAAATGCAGTATGTCTAACAGTATGCAAATTCTGGGCTTGCTCCTGGCTGTCATATGAAAAGTTGCATATTCCCTCTTTCTTGGAATCAGGTGGTTATCACGGAGCCTAAAATAATAAAAGCATTCCTTTTCTCTGCCACGTTTAGAGGGCATTTATTTAAATGAGGGATACAGTGTGGAACTTTACTGAGGGAAAATGCATATCGGATAGAAGGAGGCTGGGGATGAGCCCCTCATCCTTCTGAGGTGGCCTCCTTAACCTGACTAAGGGCGATGGGCTTACAAACAAGCCCTCACACAGACCAGTCGGTGACAACATTTAAGGGATTTTATTACAAACACCTTAACTGAAGTCGCCTTTGCGTTTTAGAACACAGAGTGTTTCTGATTTCTAGAAATCCTATTTTGTTTCTCCAATGCTTGTTTTTCTATCTCCTCCTTCCTTTTCTTTTCGATGGTCTGTCTCTCCCCTTCCCACGGTTTTGGGTTCTCATGTTCCTCTCCTGCCTTTGTGCCCACAACTCCTTTGAGCCTGCTGGGCAAAGAGTCCCGCTGGCTTCACCCGGCCTCTTTTGGAGGGCTGCAGCTCTTGGTGGCCCCCAAGGACTTGGCTGCTGCTCTGCTCTGCTTCAGCATCATTCATGTTTTGGCCACTTTGTGCTGCCAGGACCCGAAAGGGGCAGTGCTCCAGGTTGCCTGAAATGTTTGCCCTGGCTAAGACTGCTGCCTGGTTATGCCAGCACCTGTGGCTGCGAGATGGGCGCAGTCCAGAGGGCTCCCACTGCTCAGCCAGCCCACTGCTCTGCATCCCCCGCCCCTTTTTCTGTGTGTCCCTCTCTTCCTTTGTTCTTCCAGTCTTCTCTTGGTGTTTCCCGATAACTTCTTCAGCTGTTCTTGCTGCTTCAGCTTGCCGGCTCCCCTCCTGTTTGGCGGTTCCTAAACAACCGCAGGAGCAAGACCCTCCTAGGAGGGGAAAGCAGAGATGCTTTGTCATTGCAGTGGACATCCAGGGGAAGGAAGAAAGAGCCAGGAGGCCAAGGGAAACACTCGAAATAGCTGCACACCCTTCATTGGCGTCCGCTGGCATTTGGCCTGGTAGATAGAGCAATGTTGCTTTACAAAGACACTGGGAGGTTTTCTCCCGAGAGTTCTGTCCACGTGTTTACTGTGTATATGTGACAGAGAGGGAAATTTGGGAGAGCTGCTTCCCTGCCAAAGTCCCCCTTCATAGGGCAGCGTGAGCCGAGTCTGAAGTTGGGACATAGTTTAGATAACCCCAAAGACCCTCGAGGGCAGCAAAGGGGTCTTGAGGAAATAACAGAAGAAGATTATTTCATTGCCTTAAATGCTTTCTGAGGCTCTCTTGCTGCGTCGGAGATGTTCCTATCATATTTCTCCATTTCAGAATATTGAGTTACTAATAAAAAAGCTGAACCTCTTGAATAAATATAATTTATAGGCAAAGTAGCCATCTCATACTGCCACTAGATGGCAGTGGTGTTGCCAAAGGAGATGCCCATCCCAGGGAGCCTGAAGGGGAGCCGGAATAATATCCTGAATGAATGAATACACTCTTCCTGCAGGGGAAGCAGCCAGACGTGGTGGATTAATGACTGTAAGGACATGGGTGGCGAATGGTGAGATGAAGGAAACAGGGTTCACCCTTCTTCCTGCATGGAAGAGGCTGTGCTGGGAGTTGCTTCAGGGGGGTTGAGGCATCTCCGAATATGGGCGAGTCTCCCAGCACAGAGAACACAGTGGTTCTGGATGGAGAAAACCAGGATTCTGACCAGCCTGGCATTGATGTGGGGAGACATTCTGAAAGCCACTCATGAGCCCCATAAAAGAGAAAATAATAGGAGCCAGCGTGGACCATCAGGGAGGAAGTCCTGCTAGGTAGGCTAATCTTAGTTTATTCTTGTGATTATGGGGCTGACTAGTCTGCTGGCCTTCAGAAACTCTTTTCCTACCGAAGTCTGACGTCTGCACCTCCTGTCCATCCAGTGCCTGTGCTCATAAATAGCCAGTCGTGCCACCCTTGGCCCTTCCGTTGAGTCCCTGGTGGTTCTTGTCGCTGTGTCCGGGGAGGACACGGAGGCTCCAGGTGGGGCCTTGAGATGGAGGGACTAGGGCAACATGGGGCAGCTGGCAAGGAGTTGGTCTACAAGAGGATGAGCTCTCCAGCTGATGGGGGCGGGGCAGCAGCAAGAGGGGCAGAAGCACGGCAGAAGTGCTTGGGGTGGGGGCAGCTCCTGGGGCCTGGCTCCACCAGGGTTCGGGTTGTTGGGATGTCCCGAAGGAGCTGCCAGGTTGGGAGAGTTTCATGCTGGATTTGCTTTGTGCTTGTGGAAGGCCTGGATTTTTTTTTTTTGACCCTCCTGCTCTTCTCCCCTGCTTAGACCCAGAAATCTGCCCCACCCCAGGAACCTTTCTCAGTAATCTTTGAGATGACAGGAGGGGGTCCTGTATGCAGTTGGTGTAGGATTAAGCCAGAGAGCCCAGGAAACGGGGAGGATAATTCAAATGTATGCTCCAGCTGTTAGACTCAGAATAATAGATCCCAGCGTTAGAAAAAGCTGCTTGCCAGGCAGAGCAGTTTGAGACTGCGGAACTACCAGCCCAGAGTCCTTAGAGCATCCTCCCCCACCCCCCATTTCTCTGGGGCATGTTGATGTTCTGCCTTGAATCGGTTTTGCTTTCCTCTCTTCTAGCCTTTATGGGGCCCCGGCTCTTAATGGAGATGCCGCACTAGTAGGAAAGCAATCGCAGAGCTGGTCTCCGGCCAAGACTGCCCTGCCAGAATCTGCCCTGGCTTTGTCCCCTGCCTTGCCGGCACCCACTGTGGACTTTCACCAGCCAGATTGGGAGTAAAGGCCACAGTGAACTTTGTGCAATCTCGATCCCTTTAAAAAACACTTATGGCTCCCTGGGTCTCCCGCAGGATTCTCTGCTCTGTATTCTTTCTTACAGTGTGGCAGAGTTGGGCGTTCAGGATGGGCCTTGGGTTCTTATTAGGAAATTCCCTTCAGGACAATGGAATTAGTGGTAACTTCCTAAATACAGCAGTTCCACCAGTTGCAAATCCACCGTCTGCCCCACCAAGGATTTGATACCTCTTTTTCAGGCTTCCAGGGTGCTTCTCAGATGCTGTTCTGAATATTCTGCCAAGGGTTAATGGACTTTCTTGGGCACTTCGAGTTTAAGATTTCACATAGTTTGATTTATTTATTTATTTATTTATTTATTTAATTAATTATTTAATTATTTAATTAATTAATTTCTATACTGCCCTACTCCCGGAGGACTCAGGGTGGTGAACAGCCAAGATAAAATACAGATAATACAAACAT